GGCCCGTGCGATTAGTAAGCAGGAACATCAAAAGTGACGGAGATTGCCGTTTTGCAGCGATTTCTCATGCAAATCAACACGTAACAACATCTGTATCGTTTTGAAGCTAGAAATTGATACAACATCTATCTATACAAGCTGTAACATGGTGTTAAGACTTGTTCCAACTCGTTCACCTATAATATCACTTTGTTCACTTAATAGTAGCCCTCCTCAACACTCTCCAGCACGCGATTCCCATCCATTTCCCCATCCTCATCAATTTCCTCATCCATTTCCTCATCAAATTCCTCATCAAATTGTTCATCGAATTGTTCATCGAATTGATCAATTTCCATCTCATCAGCCCCTGCATTCTGTGTTGAGTTCTGTGTTGAGTTCTGTAGGGAGGCCACATGCACGCAGGCATGCTGCCATGCTGATATAGCTTCATCAACGGCTATCTTAGCAATTGCATTAGCACTTAAAGCAATTAACAAAGCCTTATAAAGCTTCTTAACAGCGTTTTTCGTAATTTAGCTGCCGTTCTGGCTGTCGGCTATAATAGCGTTATCGTACTTCTTTTGCACTTATTTACGTTGACGTTGTATAGCTTTATATTCTTTCTCCTTGGCTAGCTTATACACACGCAATTCGACACGCTTGGCGACGGCTTCCTTCCTCTTCTACTTATTCTCATCTTTATCTATTTTAGCTTCCTTCTTAAGTAACTTGGCGGCCTCTCGAAGCTCCTTAGCGTGTTGTTTCTTAGCTGCAGCAACAGCCTGGGTATTAAGAATTCTCCGGATTTTAGTTGTGGAAATATAGTGTGATTTTATAAGCACTAAGTTCTTTTTCAATTGCTTATATTTTTGTGTAGCTGTAGCTGTTTCAAGCTCGCAATTTCGATTATTAACAAGCTGTAGTTCTGCTTATAGAGAATTAATTATAGCGTATAGCTTGCTAGTAGCTGCATCACGTGTGGCCTGCATAGCTGAGGCATAAGAAATTAATGTTCGGTAACGTGATATATTATCTTATGTTAACGGAGTTTTTAGATATATTAGCGATAAAAGGAGAGCTAGCATTCCAATCTAAATTTACTAAGTTGTATAGCGCTTAGATTAATTAGGCTTCTTTAATTTCTATAGAATTTTTTGGGCATTAAGAGGCTATATTCCTGCTGCTAAGAAGCTTATTTTAATATATTATAAGGTGTATATATTATTATAAATCTGTCTATAGAGCTCTAGGAACACTATACAGTTAATACCACGTCGCTAAAGGCTAATATACTTATTAATCTTATCTAAATATTGTTTCTTTAAGATAGAAAAAAGATAATAATCTAGCGGTTGGATATTATAAGTAGTATAGGGTGGCAAATAGAATAGGATAATCCTGGCCTCTTTATATTTAGTAATAAATTCCAGAAAAAGGTAAGAAATATAGCTATCTATTAAAAGAAGCCGGTAACTATATTATTCTCCTGCGGATTTTCTATTTTTATAGATATCCTTCTAATAATCCTCTTATTAAGTCTATATATTAAAATAGTTAATCCACGCAGCAGTATATTACTAATTACTCTAACTATTAATAGAAACTCTAATCTCTAAATCTAGAACAGAATTAAAAGCTTCTATACCTATATTCTTAGTTATTACTTTCCCCTTAAAGATAAAGTAAGAGGAAATAGAAATACCGCCAGCAGATATAGCACCTATTTCTGTAACCTATTCTCTATTACCAGGTAATAAAAAAGAATACTTTTAGCTGCTATAGAGTGTTACTTTCTTATAATTATATACGTAGCCTATTTAATAGCCCGTCTTATCTATATTCTAGAGGTCCAATTCTTTAATATTATATTTTATAAGAGTATTCTCTAACTTATTAAAGAACCTTTTATATGCTATAGTATTATTATTAGCTGTAGATCTATCTATTTCCAGATAGCGGGCGTATTAAATTTGGAAGTTTAGATGGCGTTTTAAGTACTAATCCACCCATCTAACACCCAGTATAGCATTAGAATTATCTTTACTATCTTTATGCAGCTGTCTCTTGTACACTGTAAGCGCAATTTAATAAATCTGAACCTTCTTTAATGGAAAGCTATTCTTAATTAGTATTGTGCAATAGCGCTCAACTGCTGCCTCCGAAGCTAGGGTTAATTTCTGATCTTTTTGGTGTGATAGCCGTGAGGTTGTGCGCTTGCCAGAGAGCCGATCAAGGATGGTTTGTGGGTGGATGGCATACGCATTTGCGGTAGCTGTAGCGCTTGGATGGTGATGATTTCTGTACGAGTTAATAGCTTGCTGTATTCTCTCGCCTTTGCTAGGCCCACAGCGAATTCTGGGCATGTTGGATTTGTTATTTGAACGTGGTTATGTGGGTTGTTTCCAGCGTAAATACGCATCTCGGAGTGATTTGATGTTCCTGCTTACTAATCGCACGGGCCATACAATAACACCCTCATATACAATAACCTACTCAAGTACTCTACCTATTCAAAGAGCATCGCAGTTAGCTGCGATTCCTTCTGCGGTAGAGGCGCAAGGCGGGGCAGGATATATACATTTGCTTGAAGTCAGGGACCTGGTCTAGATCGCAGAGGTAGATGGGTAACACCGGGCTGCTGGGGTGGCCAGAACGGGCATCCGGGTGGCAAGAAGGGATTGCATAGCTGTCTGAGGGCAGTGAGAGCAAAGAGGAATGCCTTCGAGGTAGCAGTGAAGATGATGCAGGAGTGGTCGTCGGGGATGACCGCTTGAGGTGGGAATGCAGTCGCCTGCCAAATCCTGCCGGTGACGTTTGGCCTGCTATCATCGCCCCCGCTTCCTTCCCAACCTTCTCCATCCTCCATCCACCACCATCCAACCTTTACTACCTCACTTCACCTGGCACCATCACCAATCCCACAATAGTGAGGGCCGATGTCCTCCGGTATCCATAAGTGCTCTCATTACGAAGGCTCGAAAATCCGACCTAGGCTGCAGGACATCTCCATGCCACAAATGAACGGCATGGACGCGACCCGCCAAATCCAGGCAACCAAATGCGAGCTAGGCCTCAACTCAGCGGAAGTCATTGCTCTCACTGGACTCGCGAACGCGCAGGCTCACCAGGACGCATTCTGAAGCGGCATGGACACCTTTCCGACAAAAAGTCTATCCGTCAGAGGGGACTAGAGGAGGCGTTACAAGACGTGGGAATGGGAGATGAGAGGAAGGGCTCGGAAGGAAGTGTGGGTGAAGGAGTCGAAGGAACGACGGCACATGTGTCATGACTTTCCTAAAGATCCCTTTGCTTGAAGCTTCGCCATTGGCATGGATGGCACTCTCTCTGCACTGTCTGCCCGAACTTCACATGAACGTGTGTTCTAAGCGTTATGGATGAGAGAGCGATGGGCAGCATTTCTTTCTTAAGATGGTGGGGCCTGCTGTTCTCCGTTCTCCAATATCCGTAAGTACTATTCTGCTCCATGGCGGCACAGGGCCCCCAAGACTCGGAGACATCTGTAATGGCTAACGAGTGTAAACATTAGGGAAGAAAAGTTTCTCCGTAACGAGAACCGCCTGGACGACGCTCTTGGTGACGAATCTCTCTGCCCGGCTTGTAGATCTCGTAGGGAGGATGTCAGACCGAAAGAATCCCGATCTGAATGATCTGCTTCGGTACCATGGGGTGGTATTAATGGAGCCTGATGCTCCTACAGACTTCCCGGCACTCAGGTATAACAAGAGGCTTTCTTAAGCAGCACGAACAACTTCCTCAGGAGCCCCAATTGTTAGGAGGTTAGGAGAAGCGTCGTGGGATATGGGAACGCTAGACGAGAGAGCGGGCTCATCACAACTTTCGACAACATGCAGAAACCGGAGGGTAAGTCGCCCGACATTGGTTCTATTAGTCGATCACTTTGAGCTGACGATAATCTCGTAGATCAACCAAGGAAGCAGGCGCAAGCAGCCGTCTTTATTCCTCCACGCCGCCTCAGACGCAGATGCATTACTTCCTTGCTCAAGGCACTCGGCTGGAGTTCATGGCACCTCCGCCGTGGCCGTGCGGGAAGAAAACGGCTCGAGGCTCACGTCGTGCCGTTCGTCGTGCCGTTCGTCTAGGACACCGTAACAACCCTTCTCTACCGGACGGTCATGAAGGACGACCAATCCTCCTCCTTCATGCGCACAACGCTACCCCGGCCCATGGCTAGACCTGCCTCCATTCCCAAGACCGCGATCCTCACCCGCCCAGTCAGGACAACACTCAAGCGCCTGTATCCTCTACCGTGCCGTACAATGGCACTCCGAGGGATTTCTTCGCCCCGCAGAATCAGCTGGATTTTCAAGTCTTCGAGATTGAGCGCATCGTCTTTCTTCGGACCGACAGAATCGCAGCCTAGGAGCTTGTAGGGTCCATGCACAAGGGTAGACGTTCTCGAGTCATCACGACGACTTTCTGGATGAGCTTCTTCGTCAGAGGATTTGGAAAAAGCGTTCCGGGACGTGGGATCCGAAAACGATATGCAGTGTTCGGAGGGAAAACGCCGTCAGAGACAACTTTGGAACAACGGCCCACGATACTCTCCCCCTCCGTTTCAGGCACCAGTGCGAGGATCTCCGATGGGTTGCGTCGGTGTGCTGAGTCACAACACAGAGCCAGCCTCTCGACCACTCCAGTTTCAGTGCATCCTCCTGCTCTAGACCGACGAAATCGCAGCCCTAGAAGCCAAAATTGACGAAGTCAGAGCTGACGGCGTGGTGAATAACATGGAAAGGGCCCCACCTGCGGTACCTCGCGGTCGTAAACGGCACCTGTTGCGGTCCTGAGCGGTACAATCTGCGGTGCACGCCTATGCACCTATTCAACCGGGCATGGAAAACGCTGTTGCATGCTCTGCGCCGATTTCTCCGTCACACATTTATTCTTCTTTCTCTCTTTTTCATCCCCGCCATCAGTTTCCTATCACCTCCGGCAGCTTTGACCTTCCTCCAACAGCCCGTCCAATCCCATTCCATTCAACATGTCTACGACCATTGTCATCCTATCTGGGCCCGAGCCTAACAGTGTCCGCTGCTGTGTGGGCTACCTGGCATTTGTAAAAGTCGACAAGATGACCGGCGAACAAATGGTCGAATTGCAATCGACGATGTCCGCTGCTCCGTGGACTACATGGCATTTGTTAAGGTCGATAAGCTAGCCGGAGAAGAAAGGTTGAACTACAATCGAGTTGCCGCTGCTGTGTGAACTACAAGGCGTTTGTGAAAGTCGACAAGCTAACCGGCGAACGAAAGGTTGAATTGCAATCGACTTGGCGATTTTGTTCCTGTTGATCGGAGGGACGGGAGATGTCGAGTGGGGTGAAGCCATGGGCACCCCGCCACGGGGCCCAGGTAGCAAATTCAACTTCGATTCATCTTTTATGTTCTCTTTTCTCTAAAAACTTATTGTCTTCGCAGTCCATTTACTTGATGACTTCACTTTATTGTCCTCTAGTGAGGCGGGCTGATTACTTACACTTGCGCGTCCTGGCAGCTTTCGTGCTTCATAACCTTCTAGTATCGCGACTCAACTCGATTTACCAATCCACTTCGATTAACCATACTAGAAAACTCACATTTCACTTTGAACTCACCCTCGTCTCGTCCTTCTTACCCTATCTCCGCCGCTATCCTCACCCTCGCGGCCGCCCGTGAAGCCTACGAGGGCGTCCAAAATGTCCACCGCGCGCGACTGTCAGACTCGCAGAACGTCTATGGGGGGGCCAGCAGCAAAAAGACACGTTACTTGTGCAGCAATACCCCAGAACTTCGCCGCGTGCACCGTGATCGGAATTCGCCTTTCGTAATCTACATCAACGAGTACAAGGACGATTTTCAACTTGAATGTCGTCTGAATTTCGACGTTGAAACAAGCTTTTGCGGCGGCGTGCGATGGCGCCGTGGATCGTCGCCCCTGTGGTGCCATGGTTGCGAGTCGGTAGGCGAAGCGTACCATACTCCAATAGGAAGACCATTTCGACCAATACGACCAATCAGTCCGCGATCCTCTGCCAAATTTAGTCTCAATGGAAGATGGTGCGATCGGCTTCGCGTCCTTCCTCCCGGAGAGTGGTGGTCTTGTGGATGCCGGCAAGGTTAGCGCAAAAGAGAAGACGGTGGTCACTTGAATGTCAATGCTGCCCATGCGGATAGAATGCGGACAAGATGGGCACAGCAGCAGCCTTGCGAATTTTGGCACAAGTTCTACGGTGGGTTCGGCGAAAGTGGTCATTAACGGAAAAGCATTCGATGAGAAGGTGTTCAATGCGCAGGTGTTCAGCAAGCCGAAGCACCACGTGCTCCTCAATGCTACGGTGGAGATTAGATTACAACGACTACTCCGTGCTGTCGTGAGGGCAGCAAAAGAATCAACATGCTTCTGACTTATGTCACCTTTTAAACATGAACTTTTTATTCTCCAAAAGACGTTTTGCTTAACATTTTGTACACAGCATCTAATGCAACCTTGGCCGTTCGCTGCCTCCATGGTCCTCACGGCAAAATGCAAGGCAGGCTTAGGGCCAGAATTAGATGCATTCCACACGGTGCTTGCATAAACTGAGAGTGGAAGCACGGTCATAATTCAAGAAATTTCAGAGCTCAACTCTCTAACAACGCCACCCTAAGCACGCCAGCAGAGCCAAATCTAATAACTTCTAGCGCAATGTACCAGCTATACTGCCAACGACGTAGGCTAGCAGTAGCTCAGGAACGATATGCCATGGCAAAGTGACGAAGAGAGCTACATGCGTGTTCATGTAATTTGAAACTGCATCCAACAATTCTAGTCCCCTCGACCTCACTGGTTCATCGGAGCCCACCCAAAGCGGCCCACCGTATCCCAGTGGACCTGTAAACCGACGCACGAGTGCCAAGGTGGGCTGGTGATCCGAAATTGACCCGGCGTGGCTCTCTTCAGCTGCCCGACCCCTCCCCGCGCGCGTCACATGCCTAAAGCCTTCTTGCTCGGCCCGTCCACACTCCGTGGGTATTCGACCTGCCTACTTTTCTTAGCGTTGATGAGTAATTGCTGAGTAAGTAGCTAAGCGACTCTCCGTCGTCTCGTATAAATATTTGACGGTTGACACCTCTGCAACTCAGCCTCCTTTGCCCAGACTTGTAAGTCCCCATCCTTTGATCACTTCTTCGGATCATCACTAACTGTCTTCCAGTATTGCAGGAGTGCAAGCGTCCCACTCTGTACCGCGGTATGTTAGTCCGGAAGCTCACCGCAGCTCAGCTGTGCCGGCATTCAGGGCTTGTGGGACGCTGAGGCGCGAGGGCGCGGGCTTGGGGGGGAAATCTTTGGAAACCGTTCCCTGGCCGCTGGGCTTGCCTATGTCAGGGGACACAGTGTCGCTCGTATTGCACTATCTCGGGCTGACGCGAACATTTTTGTTCAATCTTTTTATCTTTTTCATTGATCTACTCAGCTTGTCTGGGTACTCGAAGAAGAGGCTTCTTTCCCTTTTGATATCTCTTTCGTCTTGCTTGTCTGTGATGATGGCTTTTGGTATCTACCTTGGTGGTGATGTGACTCGCCTTGTTAGTGATTTGCCTTGTTGTTTACTGATGATGCGACGCGTCAACGCCCGCCTCGCTGCTGCACAGGTCTTCCTAACAATAGCTGATCGACTTGACCTCTACTTCACTTCCGCTTCACCTCACAATCATCTCACAATTGTCTTTGGGCGGCCTCACAGAACCGCACCGCACTTCACTACACCACAATTCAAATACACAATCCTCATCATGGCAAGCTTCGACGTCGCAAGCCTCATCCTACTCAGCCTACTTGTCATTGTAACCTTGCCGATCGTGCTTCGCCAGCTGTACGACGCCCTAACCCTCGACGAAGACGAATACTTCGCGAAATATGGACTACCCACAATGTTCGTCGATCTCTAAGTAGCAGAATTGTTCACAAGAAGGTACCCTGTAGTATACTGTTCTACTGTAAAAGCGCCTATATGCTAATTCAAAGCTTCCGATAGAGACAGCGTCGCAACCGCGCACAATGAGTACCTCAAGATGGCACGGGATGTAGGAATAGGGACTTGGGCGGGCCGGGCCCTTTGCAGTTTTGGTTTTTTCAGAAGCTTGCAATAATGATACTCTGATCAAGTCAACAACGATCCGCTCGCGCCTCCGCGTGCTTGAATTCTATGGTGTAGCTGTGAACCCGCACGCGTGAACCTTTCGCACAGCTCCATCGCACGGACGGCGCTACTCCTCGTCTTCAAAAATTCTATTGCTAACACGCATCGTAGGGCCTCATGCCAATTCCGAGACTGACCTCCGAGCACCTCGCTCAACCCAAATCCAGCATCTTCTTGACTACAGAAGGAACACATGCAGGCCCTCAACATCGACGCATGCCGCACTAGGACATCAACCCGACCGCCACATCCACTACAACCGCCTCGCCGCGACCTACACGGTCTTCAATCCTCATCATATTCTACCTATTTCGACGATGCGACCCCACGCAGCTGCTCAAGCGGCCAGGCCCGCGGAATACATTACAATCAGGGGAAGGCGATGTGTCCCGACGGTGGGTAAAGTGAGGACGGCATGGCCGAGGCGTCAGCTATCAACCAGGCCGAAGCAGGCTGGCTGTACGAATACGGCTAAGGCTAACAGGGAAGGACCTCTCGCAGGCTCATGCCACGGCATTACTTCTCGACTCAAGGGTTCCAATCTGTTGTCACGAGCTCTCGGATTATGGTGAGATTCAAGGGCAGCTTCGCCGAGGTGGTTCCAATATGTCTTAGAGAGAGACATGGGGCTCAAGATTCTCGATCTTGGGCTCATTTGAATAGTCAGCGGCAGTCTGTTGACACTGTCTGAGGGGGCCCGGAGAGCTTTCAGGCGTGTCGAACCTGCCGCTTTGCCATTCCTAAGAACGTAGCGGAGAACCTTATGCGGTGCGCAAAGGAGGCCACGAACATATCGCGATTCCCAGTAGGACGAGAAAGCTTAGGGGGATGAGAGATGATTTTCCAGGCCACTGACGCTCGAGTATGTATCCACAAGCGCCCTCCCTAAGTCCCACGACCACGAAATCCTGACCGCAACTAGAGTCTCCAGCTAAAAAGGGTGTCCAGAAGATCCACATCAGCTTCCCTACGGAGTTGTTTTTCCCGCTTACTACAAAACGTCCTCTCTTACGTACGGCATCTCTCCCGCCTCCATCCGACTCGTTCTTCCACAAATGCCTCTATCATGTCGTTGCAGATGTGGAAGGCATTGTAGCACGTCCATACAAATACAGCCTTGACATATTTGAGGATCCGTGTTTCCGCTTCTTTGACGAAGAACTGTCTTCAGTTGTCGACACAGGCCGCTCGCTAGCTTCCGCCTCCTCGACTTCATGGATCTATCGGATTTTTATGTTGGTATCGTCGCCAGAGCTGATGGTAGGGCTACCTTGCCAACAGATGAACAAACTTGAGGTTCGTAAATATTGTTCTTCCACTTGGGCCGTAATGCTGACCACTTGAGGAATAGCTACTCGTATTCGCCTTGGCCTCACATGCGCTTCCACCCCGCGACTACCATCCCTGATAAACGAAGTAAGGTTGCACAGCCTGTCATCTCTTTCATCTTACTGGCATACAACCCTCGCTTCATACTGGCCCAAAAGTCTATGATGAAGCCGGAATGGCGTCATCTACTCGAATCCTTAGGACAATGCTGTCAGAGCCCAGGCCTACAATTAACGCATTGGTACAATGCATCGTTGTATGGATACTGGAAGAAGATGACCCAAGGTTGTCAGCTTTGGCCCGCCCGAGAACGGCAATTTCAATGGCAATTCGAACGCTCAGCGGCGGAAAATCATCTCGAAGATACAAGCGTCTCCTTCCTGTCGTGCAGGCTCATCCGAAGGCAGTACCCCAATGACGCAGCAAAGGACCTAAACAGAAATTCCGTCTAGTCATCTAGGTCTTTCCACTCTTCGAACCACTAAAACAGCTTTCTACGCCAACGGAGCGGAGCCCTGTCGCGATCTCTGGACCCTGCAGGGAAATACCGGGGACCGTAAATGCCCTTGTTTCCCATTTCCTTGTGCTAACTGATGGGAACCGGAGCAGAACCGAAACTCCCACCGTCGGTCCCATCGAGCAGCTTGGCCACGTACCATCCCTCGGTCTCACTACGGATGTTAACCCTATACCAGCTAATGAGGACGTGAAATCGGCGGACAATACAACGCCGAAAAGGCCAGAAAATGATGTCTTGGACTGACGTCGGCAAAAGTGGATTGTAAGCTTCCTGCAAAGGGAAATTGTTGGATAACGGACCTTGCATTCGCAGGCATACATGGTCAATCGATCAATCTTCTTAAACTTCAATCCATGAATGCCCGTCTGGGCGCCTGCAGGTGTAGGTAGTCGCCACCGGCGCTCTTGAGCCACACCCGCCTCGTTACTGAGCCACGCCTGAGTACCTCCACCCACTCCCAACGCCGATTATCCGACCACTGAACACGCCACAAGCCTACCTAGGTAGGCTGCAGTCAACAGACCTTCCACGACCTTCTAGCGCTACATGCTCCTCCAATCGGAAGCCTGGCCTACCACTAGTGTTGCTTGGCACGAATCTCTGTCGAGTATATATGAGCAGCCTCCCCCTCACTGTTACCTTTTCTCTACACCGGTCGGTCGGTAGTTTCGTCCTCTTGCCGTCTGGCTTGAGGCAATTTTTGGAACCCCAAGGGGTGAGAACCCCCTCCTTTTTCATTGATCCACTCAGCTTGTCTGGGTGCTCGAAGAAGAAGTTTTCTACTCCTCATTCTAATTAACTTCTGGCCTCTGGCCTCTGCACGCTGGACTTTTGAGGATGGTTGACGCGTTGTACGTGCGCTCGGGCTAGCTAGACTGTGGCTTTGCAGTTTTTGATGATGCACTAAGGGACCTTACACGCAGTGCTAGACGAGTTTACACACAAGTCTGGAGAGAGTATATGCCTCAGGATCTGAAGTTTGGCGACACGACCTCCGAAATGGCTGTAGGCTCCCACTCAACATTCAACGAAGCCTGGTTGTCCGGCTGAAGCGGTATGGGTGCACTGACCTCGCCCACAGCATCTTCTCTTCCGGCGGCCGCCGGCTGCTTCTCTCCCCATGCCATCCCCACCACGAGCTCGATTGACCACCTCCGTACTCAAGCTCCCAGTGGACAAGGCTGGCTCAGAGGGATTGAAAGGTCTGCACGAAGAAAGCTCTGGGTACTCCAATAGATCAAGTCCGGCGCCGCGCCGCTGGAGAGTACAGACCAGAATGCTTCTCGCTCTGCAGGGCTTGTGCTGTCTTGACGATACCACGTAGCCATAAGCTTGACGCGAAGACGCTCAGTGGCTACGGTGGAGGTGACTTCGAGCGCATACATCTTTTCGGACTTTGACTGCTTTTGGACTGAAATACCGTGATGTGATATGTGCTCCGCGGGGGTCCTGACTCTTGCAGCAGGACCGCGACTCCATTCGTACTACTATCAACAACTTCGACTCGAAAACCTCCGGCGCCACATCCATTGTCCCCTCCGCTCGCTGTATAACGTTTCAAAAGTCCGTATCGTATGCTTCAGTATCTGCTCCCTGCCAACCGACCCCGATGGATATCCTACTGATTGGACTCAACTCCTGCCCGAACGACAGCACCGGTAGGAATCCCATTCAGCAGGCAGTAGATTAGTCAAAAGCTAATCTCACTCCCAGTGCATTGAGCTCTCAGGACGACGACAACGACGATCATGCGAATCTAAACCTCACCGCGCTTCCTCCCATCATCGTACGCGTACGCACCCCCTCCACACAACCACGACACCGACCCAACCGCTTCCTCAGCGGTATTCGCTCTTGCGGATCGCAGCCTATTCCACTCCCATTCTCCACAGCGGCAAAGCCCTCAATATCGGGGAAATATCTTGAACATCGTCTAGCGAAGCATCGGGACCGCATCTACTGGCCTAGCGCTACGGCTTCTCAAGACGCTTCGCAGGAACCATTGCACTCGACCGGGGCACGTGAAGACGCTGCCGCCGACAATAGCGGCGGTAACGAAGCTGGAACATAAGGAGGAGAGACGCAAAATGTGGTCGAGTTGCTCAAAGAAATGATTGACGTTTGGCTAAAGATTAGAGAGAGATCGAGGAAGGCCCAGAGCGAACGGATACAGTCCAATAAGACGAACCGCGCTTTAAACGTGGGCAATTTCAGCATTTGCGAATTGAGAAGGTCACTCCGATACCGTGGAATCTGCCTCTACAGTATCAAGGCAAAAGTCTGGGCACGCCGTTTTTCATTCAGTCCCGATTAATGACGAGGCACTGAAGCACCATAAACACCGGCAAGTGGGCCGACTATCAGTATGAGAAATCTGCCTGATTTGAGCTCTTAGGGACTTTACGTCTTATCAGAACTGTCAGAATCCGCTGAAGTGCCTCCGAAGGTGGTGGGCAAGTGTGCCCGGATTTTTGACAAGGCACTGTAAATTAGAATGGCTTCGATTTAGAGCTCACAGCATTCATCCTTCTGAAAGACCGCGAACGGTTGACCGCCCCAGTCAGAAGGAGCCAGCGCCCGCGGCGATCCCTGGGTCTACCTTTTCCGACAAGCACTGAGGGTTGATGTAGCGGGAATGGTCTGGGTTGGATTGGGGTCGAGGGCCCATCGAGAAAGCTCTGAGGAAGGTTTTTGGACAATACTGCGACAACGCCGGGCACCACAGAGCGAGTCTTAATTGGCCCTGTAATGTTTTGTGGAGAAGGAGGGGTTCTTGGGAGATTCTTCCAAGACCTCGAGGTGACACAGATCTCTCTATCGAACTGGCTCTGCAATTGAGTAGGTTTGGCGGGGCGGATTTCCTATGTTGACACCCGATTGAAGCAGATCTTGTATAGGCCTGAGAAGGCGCAAAAGGGAATTGGCGATGGGCTGATTCGAGCCTTCTAGCTAGTGAATAGGTTGTTTTCTGCTCAATTTTGGTGCTGGCTATGGCGACTGGCATTTATGAACCCGTCAATAAAGTTCCCTGGGTCCATCTTTTAGAACCCATTATGCGAAGATCTGCTCATGCAAAAGATGCGGAGCATTACCTACTCCAGGTTCGTAGAAATTTGATACGTCTTCTTTCATGCAAGATCCTCAAGTTGTACGGAAATCTCCGGGTGCATCTTCTCATCTAACAGCACAGTACTGGGTCATGAGCCCAGGAGCCCGAATGTACCATTGCATTGGTCCAGTTCTTGACTGCCCGACACCATCGCGAGATGTAGCCTAACTCGCAGGTGTTGAGGTAGTCAAAATATGGCCTGAATTCCACTGCGTCGACGTCTACTGTATTTTGAACTTCAGAAAGTCCATGGACGTACCCCAAGTAGTGGTAAGAGAGAGTGCCCAAGCTTATTCCTCTGGACTGTATATGAGAGACTCGCAAAGACTTCAAGAAGGGGCAGGGCAAATTCGAGACGACCTCGAGGTCAGGAAGGAGATGAAAATCATGTCAGCAGTGGCTTCCAAGGCTGATGACAGCCCTTTTGCAGGAAGGTGGTGGTAGTGGTAGGACATGCGCATGATCTTGGATGCGCAGAGCTTCATAGGCTTGAGTACACGATTCTTTCTATATCTACTTGCGACTTCCGACTGGTCTCCAAATTAGTCCCCAGTCAAGAAAAACCTTGGAGAGCTAGCCCAATTTGAAGGGCATCAAGCTTTCCATCTTCATATGACTTTGAAACGTCATGGGCGTTGCCCAGACAAAACAAACTTACAGCTAAACTAATACCCCGCACTAACTTATTTCCTACCTGGGCTACATAATAGCAATAAGTTCGACCGTCTTTCGCCCTCACCCGTTCCTGGTGAGGGTGGTTAAGAACCTCGCTAACATCTTGGCCAGTCTTCTTCACACTCTCCCATTGCACAAAAGGGGGGAGCCGGGTTCGAAACCCTAAGACCTTACGAGGCAACCTTTTTTTTGTCCTTCAGTTTTATTTGTACTTCTTTTAGCATTAGTCGCTATTAGGTCTTAACATATTAATCATGTAGTCCTCTTTTTGCTTCTCTTAGGGTAGATCCGGCCAGTAATGAAAAGGCGTGGCAAAAACACGCGGACAGCCAGCATTTTTGAGGAAATTTGAGTTCGCTCGAGGTAAATCGCTTCAAAAACTGCCTGGCAGAAGTTCTAGTCTAAAATAGTATCAAGACGGCATTTTCCGGCGTTTTCGGCTTAGCCGTGCCCGGAGTCTTTCTCCGCCCAGACAGCACTCCCACTACCAGCTCCACGGTGCCTCTTTCTCTACCACCCGGAGTCCTATCCTCCGTCACCCGACCTGCAGTCGTTACCCCCTTCTCAACCATCCCCGCGAGGCGCCTTACGCTGAAGGAATCTCTAGCGATGCGCCCAGGTATGTCAGTCATGTCAAATGTTGCGTATTTTCCCAAGCTCCCTGGAGACTAACATGGTTGCAGTCGATACTCTCTCGCCGACCCAGGTGCCTCAGCACGTCTTCCCGCGCGTTCTCGAAGAGATAGTGGAGCCCGCCTTTCGAGTCCCTCTTAATGCCGGTATATGGCACGCCCATAACCCGCTCCGTCTTCGGTGATCAGCCTCACCCAGGCGATAAGCACGTCACCTTGGACACGCCTAGTTTGGAAGACGTGGGTCCGACCCTCAGCGCCGTCCAGGTTCTCCACAAGAGGACCGTCGATGACAAGCTTTACTGCCCCATTGTTCCTGGCATCACAGCATGCCACAATTCTCCCAGTACGTCCCGCTATAGAATGTGGAATATTTCACGATCGACGAGAAGCTTGGGAAGCTTCCTTCAGCATGCACCACCTAGTAGTATGGCACGTTGCCCACTAAACACGCATGCAACGCGCTCCGTTTTCCGCGATCAGCCTCATCCGGGCCACCCAGGTAGCAAGCACGTCTTCCGGCACACGTTTCGTCTTTAGTCCGTGAAGCCCAGCTTCTGCGCCGTCTAGGAGCTCTACAATGAGAGCGTCGACGACGAGCTCTAAGATCCTATTGTTACGGACAACACACCCTGCCACGGCTCGCCTCACTATCCGCGCGTAATCCTTTTTGCGGCCTCCCTGTTCCGACCCTCCTCCTCGTGCCTGAGGGAGCGCGGTCGAAACGTCGCCACACCCATTGCGCCTCGGACGTCATATTCTGTGCGGTGCTATACCGGGGAGGGGGATCTCTGGATTGAGTTCCCAGGGGTGGTGGAAGCGAAGGAGATGGAGGAGTATTTCGGGGCCATGCTGAGATTCATTGTTGGATTCGCGAGGGACCCAGCGATTGAGGATAGAAAGAAGATGGAGCAGTGGGAAGAGAATGAGAAGAATGAGATTGAGTCTAAAGAGAAAGAGCACAGCAAGGTGGATGGGTATGATGGGGATAGAGAGGCGGGCCAGGAAGAGGCGACGGTTGCGGGTGCTGAGCGCCCTTTCATTGAGTTCTAGGAATGCACCATAGACCGGCTCCTTTCAACCCCAAGTCCCTCTTCTGAATCGTAGTCTTAGCTCATATTGTTATACTACGCTGAGGCATCCTACTATCGACGAGGACGACGACGTGGACGCGCTCGATTTCAGTCATTTTATCAGCACGCCTTGCCATAATACGCCAATCACATGCCCTAGATCCGGTGGTTAGCCTCGCCCTGGCAACAAGTACGTCTCTTTGAAAGCTTCCAGTTGGCACTTTACAGCACGCAAGCTTCATACCCAGCACACTTTGTCAGGTCACAGAGACGATCAAAGACGATGAAGGATGGAACGGCAGCGATCGCGATGGCGGCTTTTAAGAATAGGAAGAAGAGCGCATTGTCTCTCCATCATCGTGCCAATATCGCTGAGTGTCCTTCAAAAGCAACTCTACATGCCCATCCTCTCGAAGAGCCCGGACTTGCTCAATGCTCTCTTCTCAACGACAACACTAGGTCCTATGGAGCGGGCAAGCTTAAGTAATGATCTTATGCAACCCCGGAAGTGCATGTGCCATCCCCTAAAGATGAGGACAAAGCCACTCTCCCTCCTTCTGTGGAGAGAGATCCCACTCTCCGGCTCGTTAGTATGGCCGGACTTGAACAGACCTTCACCGCATGTGTCGCATTACCCAGCGGCTAGAAAGGTTTGCTTATGCTATGCTCTTGGGTACATACTTCTTCCTGGCATACTCCGCATTCAGCGCATGAACCCGAGCTGTCTCCAGGCCTTCATGTACCAGTCCGCTGGCTTTCCGACTGCATCCGAACTGGAGAGCCCGAAGAAGAACACGACGTTTCCCCTGAGGAAGAAGACAACGCCGTTTACCTTCCTCCTGTGAAGAAAGAGCCGACTCCCGACTTTGCTAATGTTACCAGCCTCGGAAGTTTCTTCTCCGCAAGTGCAGCGTTACACAGCGGCTGAAACTGTTTGACCACGCCGAGTTTTTGGGCAAGCGCTTCTTCCCGGCGCGCCTCGCACATGACTTTTACCCCGAAGACAGGATTCTCCACTCATTTTGCTCAGCTAACCGCCACTGCTTCCCGAGGACAACGTATCTCGCAGCGAACATTCCTCGGACATCCTAATGAAGAGGACTCAGAGTATTCGCCATACGAAGTCGCGGAATGCAGCTCATATATCCAAGTCGCCACCTGGATTTCATGGACTAGTGTACGGGGTTTGAAACGGTATTCACACTGGTGTCACCATAGTAGTAGCCTCTACGTCCAGGAGAACGATGCCATATCACCCGCACAACACCAACAGCAGCAGCATGGCCCGACCGACTGCAGCTCCAGGGGAACCTACAGTAGCATCTTGGTCGATAGAAGAGCGACAAGTTGCGTGTGCGTGCATGGGCCAGCCGCTCGCTCTGGTGTGCTCACGAGGGGCAGTGGACCGGTACCATGGCTTTACACACTTGACAGGTGACGTCGCTGCTGCGCGCCGCGTGCGAGGGGTAGTGTTCGCGTCTGCTCGACTGAGATGCATGAAGGCAATTGGAGTCTACTAGTCGCTGCTAAGACCCGTGAGCGAGTGCCGAACAGATGGTCGACTAAGCGTAGGCTGAGAGCCAAAAGAGAGCGAGTCGGAGGACAAACGGCGCGCTACTAGGTCGTCCTGGGGGCAGCGTGAAGAGAAACGTCCATTGGGAACCCCTCTTGGTTGAGGGTTGCGAGCGCGCCGCCGCAAGAGCATTCCATGAACCAGCCTCACCACCAAGTCTACATCCGGAGAACAGCCCGTCATTTTCTCTGAAGATGAGGCAATCCAGCGAATCCTGACAGGGAATCCCACAACTTCGACCGCTTTCGGAGCAATGTTGCTTTCCAAGCAAGTGAGTCCGCAATAAGATCTACAAGAGCCTGGAGACGAGCTCGCAAGGTCACTGCCCAAGACGTAAAACCGAAGAATCAAACGCAGGTTTTGGAGAAGCGTCTTAGCAATGCGCTCGGAACCCCGAGTATGATGTCGAAGGTCTATGATAAATAACAACAAGCTCACGGATCTCACTAATCCTTCTCTAACAATTCGGTTATTCTAAAGGGGCATAATGCCGTTCGACACGACATTGCGACAGCTGAGCGGTATGTAATGTCGGACAACTGAAAAGCTTTTTCAAAGACTCAAAGTTGAAAGAATAAGGCCCTGAAGACTTTAAGGACGATGGGGGTGAGGGTGGCACTGTCAGGCTGGCGAGTACAGCTAACAGGTAAACGTCTTCTTTTTTCTCTTGGCGTTAATGGAAGGCGGGCTGGAATTCACTTTAGTAAAACCTAGTGAAGAACTCCAGACGGCGCCAAGTGGAGGTATATAGACCCCAAGTGTACCAACGTAGTCTAAGAAGAGTATCGCAGATGTAGAGGTATAGAGGTTCTGGTTCTCAATCCGGTTAAGCAGGCTTTATTATTGCAAAGTATCCAAAACTCCAAACACCAAGCCTTCACACTTTCCTAAGAATTCAGCCTCCAGTATTCCTACATGCTGTACTATGCTCTAGCAGCCCAGCACCTCGCTTAATATGTGACTCTATATTAAGCTATCTGTCGTGCGCCGTCTATATCAAGGACATTAGATTAGTGTACACACCCTGTGAAGTATGGTGATAATGCTTCTATATACCTTTTTATGAAGTATGCTACTTAAACGTTCATGTACGTTGCGGGGAGGCCATGTTTCGCGTAGTATTCTTCAGGTTCCATAGTAAAGGCGTCGTAGACGCGAGGAAGCAGTATGCAGAGCACAACAGCGGCAAAGAGGGTGGTGAGGAGGAGGGTGGGGACGTCGTCGGTCATGATGGTTATGTATTTGAGGTTTGATAAGCTTTTGCTGGGCCGTCTGATGGCAGAGGTGAGGTGACAGTAAGGTGACATTAAGACGACATTTAATAAAGGGCAAGTATATTGTCCTTATTTCAACTTCACTTGTCACGTGTAGTTGGCCAAGGCGCGCCAAGGGCCGACAGCAAACACAGCCTCACCTACTGTCCGCTGTCTTCACCCTCTTCCTCTACATCCTCTCTCTCCATCGCCCCCTCTTTCCTTATAATAGCCTACGCTAGATCGATCTGGCACGCGACTCTTGATCTCTGGATCAAATACAGTGGATTGATGTCCGGAGCCGAGAAGCAGTAATACCTACAGGTGACGTGGATACCAGCCAGCGCCAGCGGGTAGTCGCTTCAGCGTTGGGTAAAATACAGCGGATTGACGATCGGGGTAAAGAAGCAGCCAAACCTACAGATGACGCCGATGCTGGTTAGTGCAAGCGGGTGGTTGCTTGGGCGTTGGACATGCCCACTAATAGAAATGCAAACAGTAACGAGTGAGAGCGGATATATCTACCTACTGGAGGGCGTAGGCAGAGAACAAGACCGAGGACGACAAGAGCTTAAGGAACGCCAGGTTGCCGTACCCAACGGGTATTCCACGACCCAGAATTAGCTGCTCGCGCAATTGGTTGCGCAAGAGCAGCTGCCCTTCCTTATGCCTCTACCACGGATACCAAATTGGAGACCTGCCTAAAAAGGATTGAAGAGTTGGAAAAGGAGGTGAAAGACTCTATCCACGTCCGCCTGAACTGCAGCTCCTTACTTTAACAATCGACCGCGAATCGCTCCGAAAGGCCCTGTAGTCAGCTGGTATAAAGCCCTCTCGCCTCTTGCTTCCGATAGACACGCTAGTCAACAAATCAGGGTCTTGAGGGTGATATCATTGGCTGTACACGCGCCTGCCTGGGCCAAGGACGGTGTTGTGTTTCTGTTGCAGATGATTGAGTCGTGGCCCCGCCAAGAGTTCTGCTGTCACTTCCTCTGCCGTCTAGATTGCTCACCGACCGGATCATCCCTGAGGACCTACCGCGCCGCAAACTTCACCGTTATCTACCTCTGCACGAGCAGATCTCCCTTGGTAATATTCAGATAAAGGAGGTATTTGGTAAGTTGACCGAGCCTGCAAGAGACCAACAGTATCTTTCTAAGGGAGCATTAGAGCTGACCTTCTCCATCTAGTGACCTTTGAGCGCAAGGACTGTATGACCTAAGACAAGATCCTGTTCCGGGTTGCCGACTGCCCCAACAGCTTCGCTGATATCTAGCTCCGCGAGCTGGCACATCGACCAAGTCATTATGTCTGAGGAAGGACGGCTGTGCTTCGGCTGCCACTGAGAGAAGGACTGCGTGGCCGGACACAAGAGAAGGACTTATGTCTGCCTCTTCGATCGACGTTAAAGGTTCGATGGCCCGGAACGATAGTTTGTGCAGGCGGGTGGATTGCCGACTGCGTCAAGAGCTTCAACTTCGTCCCTCTGGCTACTACCTGGTACGTCAGCCAAGCTATCATGGTCGAGAAAGAGCGGATTTACCTGAGGTACAACGAGGACACGGACTACAATGCTGAGCCGGGGGAATACGAGGCACCATATATAAAGAGCAAGTTCCATCGCTTGGGATTTCGGTAAAGGTGGGATTCCCGACGGCGCAAGGGCTTTGCTGCAACTCACCTCTTCGACCGGATCAAAGTCCAAGACTGCAAGTAAATTTGTGTACTGTACCCTCAGTACCCACGCTAGCCAGTAAAGCCTCAGAACAGTATCCAAAGTGAGGAGCTAAGTGTGGTCTGCGTTGGAAGAGCTAAAACTCTATGACTCCATGGCCATTAGTTCTTCTTCCGCAACATCGATTATTTGGCGGGCTGCATGTTGAGGAGAAGATCATGTATAGTGGTGTTTTAGAGCGGAGGGACTTCTAGGTAAGAATTGACCGTACCGCAAAAGAACAGCATCTTCTAAATCAAGAAATCGGGCTGACATTTGAGACCCAGTCACCTTGTATGTCCTGGACTACCCCGTCTTCAGCAATCGTGCCTCATCCTCCAGCGCCGGCGAACCCTTTACCGAAAGAAAGCATCGCCACCGACACCCCTTCAGCAAATGCACGCTCAACCTCTAGACCACAACTCTACGCCGATGTCCCCATAATCTCAGTACAGCACTCCATCATACTCCCGGTATAATCCAGGACTGGTTCCGAGCTCTGCGATAGATAATCTGCCTGCATCAGCGCCGCAGTTGTGGGCAGTTCCTCTCGCGAAAATCTGGCGGCTTCGTCGCTTCATACTTATAAGATACTCCAACTCATGGAATGCGGCTTGTGAAGGGGATGAAGCTAGGTGAGGGTAAAGCGTATAGATACAGGTCCACACTGAAGCTGAGTCTCCTATCACAGCGGCGATCTACAACGCCCATATCGACAGCCAGGACTTCCTTCATGGGGATTTCCCGACGTTCCCGTCACGCACAGACGCGATGGGGACGTGTTCACTACCTGCGCAGGAGCCAGGCCGGGCCGGCGGGCTCCCGACTAGCCAATTTTGCGAGTTCCTGGAGAGCACGCCTGGCCAGTACATCACCAAGCGGTACACCAAGAAGGGATTTAGCCCACGTCAGACTAACGTCCGCGCAAGCCCAAATTGTGGAATGAACGACCTTTTGCAAGCTCCTCTCGGCCCAGACCTTTGACTCCAGCCCGACCTAGGCCCAACGACACGTCGCTTGATGCCCAAGGCCGACTTCCAGATCCCAAAGAGTTTTACCTACCACTCAGCTCTGAAAGGCGGAGCCCCTGCTCCATGGCGGGCGGCAGTAAGGAGATGACTCCTAGCACTGGGGAAACGAAGAAGTGGTGTCCAACCCGCAAGATACTAATCTCAAATGTCGCCAAATCGATCTACTCACACAAGTACAGATCGTCGGACGACGACCCATTCTTGTGTCCGAACCTCCTCACTTGCAGGAAATTAGCGAACAGTTGCGCCCGATGGTGCTGCATACAGGTAAACCACAGTTCTCTCGCTTCCGGTGGACATAGTTTGGAACGGGACGAGCTTGTTGGAGTAATAGGGTCAGCCGGGCGTGCATTTGGGATCCACTCCCTAGCATCAGATGTGGAGCGGAGTAGTGGCTGGACTATGTACTTAGCACTTGTAGTCATTGACATTGACGAATTGAGCGATGAAGTACTTAAGACGTTGTACTATGAATATCACATTTTTGGTAATAGCTAAATGTGCACCCTCACAGAGCCTGTCTCGTGAGTATCGCCGCCTTAGGCGTCACGTGCCACGCAGCATCCACGACACGATTTAAATAGTTGGATCTGGACCTAGTTAAAACGCTTAGCGTTGATGAGTCATTCACCTCCACTAGCGCGGTCTGTCACCTATAAGATCTCAATCTCATTCTCGCCTTTGAAATTTTCTTCTTTTTTCTCCAGTGCAGGGGCCTTTCATTGAAATTTTGGAAGACTCACTACGCTTCGTTGCCTTCTGGCTTCGGGGCTGTTTTTGGAAACCGTCCGCTGGCCGCTGGGCTTGCCTATGTCAGGGGACACTGTGTTGCTCGTATTGCACTGCCTCGGGCGAACGCGAATCTTTTTTCATTGATTGACTCAGCTGGTCTGGGTGATCGAAGAAGAAGCTGCTTGGTCTTAGTGATGATGAGACTGGTCTCTGGCGTGTGCTTGAGGATGATCTCAAGACTCTGCATGCCTTTGATCTATCTTGCTATGCGTTCGTTGCTTAGTTATTAGCTATAAAATGAAGCTATTTTGTTGTACCCCACGTTGTGCTGGATGCGTTGCCGTGGTGTTGTTGTGATGCAGACGCGTCGCGCGCCCATGCAGGACTCTGACCAGCGCCATTCCAGTCGCTCTTGCGTATGTAACACCGCTGCGGAGAGATACTCCGAGACTTATTTCCGCAAGCAGTTGCCTTCTACCTCGCCATTTATGAGGCTACCGCCCGCGGACGCAGCGCGGACGGGGTTGAAGACATCCTCCAGAGGATCAAGCCCATGCCGCTCCCCGACACTCATCCAGTATATGAACTCAACACAAGCTTATGAAAAAGCCTCGCTGCGCCTATCACACACCCCGATCTCCAGAGCTAGACCCCGAGAAGCTCTTCCTGGCGCCGGTATAGAAGACGGCACCACCACAGATCTCCCTAACGAGCTAGACGAAGGTGCCCGTCATCACAGCGCTAACTGAGCGCTATCTGCATTACCTATCGGGCTATATAGTCAAGGGAAAGTCCCACGCGCGATTGTGCGAACTCGAAGTCTCCATGCCAAAGCCCGATGGGCGCTCGTATCGCGAACTCATCTCCAGGGTGGAACAAGGCCCTCTACTTTTCTGCAGAACATCTCCACTTGCGGCTACAATGCACCTACGACCACAAGGTAGCATACCTTGCATCCGTCAAAAAGGTCGCTGCTGTCTATGCCTCTCCAAGTTCTCCCTTACGCGTTGACCTCACACGGCCGCCCACCGCACTCAACACTTTCACCTGGCGCTTGAGTGGTAAGTTGCAGGAAGAAGAGACTTCAAGGATAGCTCATATCCACAAATATAGCTACCAGCACTCAGAAATCCCACCGTCCTCGAGCTCCGGTCCCCTGCGGCTCCACTTCGGCCCCCATCCTCGAGCAACCGGCAGCCGGTCTCCGAGCCCGCACCATCACCCTTTCTATCGACCGCAGAACCCCACAACCTTCCACTCCACAACACCATTCCTCAACCTCACTCATGAACATCCTCCTTCCAGGACATGAAGCTGGCAAAGCGCAGACAGGACTGGGTCCGACCCGTTCCTGCTCCATCATTCTCCGGTAAGTGGCAGCTTCTGACCTTCACCCCAAAGGTGGCCGCCCACACTCGCGCCAACACAAAACATGCTTCCTCCGTCGCAAATTCCCTGTCCTCCCACTATACTCTCACGAAGTGAAGACCTCTTAGCCCTAAAGCTTGCATGGCTTGTTGATCTTTGCTAACCCTGCCCAGCCACAGCCAGAACGACAACGACGCGTATGGCGACGATGTCGCGCGCTTCGACTCCTGTACACCAGTCTTACTATGGTGCGTCTTCGTTGGAAGATATCGTGTACGCATCATGATGCATGCTCCGGGTATGTTGCACCTCCTCAATTGTGGTTCACCATTCGCACTCGCTCTGAACTTGTGCTAATCCGGCCCAGGAACAGCCAGAACGACAACGATGCGTATGATGGTGCTGCCGGTGGGCACATCATCACAGACAATGTCCATGGCGCTCGAGTGCAGTTTTCAGAGATGCCGTGTGCGCATCATGATGTTCCGGGTATGTTGCGTTTCTCATGGTTCGCCTTCTACACTTTCTTGAAACCTCTGCTGATTCTTCTTCTTCAGAGACAGCTAGAACGACAACGATGCGTATGACGATGGCGGTACTGGTGCACCCGTTGTTGAAGCCGATGTCTATGGCACTCCAGTGCAATTTTCGAGAAATTGTGTGCACAATATAATGCTCTCGTAGGTGGTCCTTATCTCCTGCGATTGGTTCGCCAGTCTCGCTCTGTGCTTCTGCTAACTCGGTTCAGATACAGCCAGAACGACAACGACGCGGTTCGTGATGGCCCTGCCGGATGATCTATCATCAAAGACGGTGTCTATGATGCGCGAGTGGATCTCGTGTGCACATCATGATTAGGACCAATAGACAACCGTGGCCTCCTCCCCACCATCCCCAGGAACCCTCTTCACGAGCTCCGGCAACTCGCACAAACCCGCCCACCGCTACAACTCGTGCACATGGAAGTAGAGCAGAACCCTCGGTAAAGGAAGGCGGCGAAGGCACCGGCGACCTGCCCACCTCGCGCTGGAACAAGGAGGCGAGCCTCGTGATCAAAATGGTCAAGATGCCTGACACGACCGGCAACGACAACCGTCCGATCGAGCTGATCCTGCTCGCGTGCCGGCCGTCGACTTGCAAACGCATCATCGAGCTGCTCGGTAGCGAGCTGCACATGCTGAGCCTAAGCCTGTGCTCCAGTAAGTTGTCCTTATCCCCTACTATTTGCTCAGCACTCTTGTTCTGTATTCTTACTAACTTAGTTTAGCTACAACTAGAACGACAACAATGCGTCTAGTTATGGCGTGTCCGGTGTGCCTGTCATCAAAATGATACCTGGGAAGCTTGTGGACAAGGAGGAGGGAAGCGCAGAGGTACTTGCGGAGCTGCTTTTGGAATGCTACCGCCGAACTGTCAAACGAAGGCGCTATCCGCTCATTCATCTAGGACGTCTACAATCTATTATACTTGTTAATAGCCAATTACCTGTTCCGTATATAACACCGTGGTTGATGATGATAAAGTGGCTAACATGGCTCAAGACAGCGCACTTATCTCGCAGAATCCTCCCTTCCTCCACTTTCTACAACAGCACCGATACTTCCTCGCCCGCATTCCAAAATCGCTTTTCTCCTGAAATCAGATTCTCTCGCGATCTCCTCTGGCGTACCTTCCACCGTTGGAACTCTCTTATACACAGTGAATCCAGACGTGAAAATTGTGGTTGGTCCTCCCTTAGCCCTGCCTTGCTTCCAACTCACTACGTGCTTGCGGCTTCACCTTACCCTTCACCCTCCTTCACTTCATCTTCACATATCTATTTCCGCCCGAGCAATTTCATCTACAAGCTCGCAACCTTACAATATCCCAAACCACTAGAACAACTAGTGCAACCATGGCCTACGACGCCCCTTCCCTCATCCTTGCCGCCTTCTTTGCCGGAGTCGCACTCCCCTTCATTATCTACCGCATCTGGAAAGCTGTCCGTGCCAATGCCGATGAGCCCGAGTCCGTCCAATTCATCACTACATATCTTGACGTTTGAGCTCCAACGAGACGATGAAGGCAAGCTTCGAGCTATCCTCCTAAGTAGGCAAAAGCGCACATGCTAATCGCTGATATAGATGGCCGACTCGAAAGAGACATATCCAGGACTAAAGTTAGGCGGCGCGCAACGAGTAGCTTGAGATGGCACTGCAGATGAGCCTCTTGGTTGGAGCAGTTGGAGGCAGGATGGAACGGTGTGGAGGAATACTATAGGTTGCAGAAACAGGGAAGCGGGAGGGGATTTAGAGATAGATTGAACGAAGATGGCTTGTAGATTCTTAGGGGAACGATCAAACATTTTGCTCGCAATTGTTTGATGCTGTGTGGGGTCCTTCAAGATACTCTAAAATTCAAAGATAAAGATACATTTTCCAAACCGCATTGTTTGTTGCAGTCCAAAAGGCGTACATAGAGAACTAGGCTTTGCTCGCTTGCCCTAATTTAGAAAGACAAGTCGTCCTAGCACATCACCTCCTGCTACTGCATGAGGTGTCCTGGCATCTTATTTGGAATGGGAATCGCATGTCACATTCAATGGGCTCTGAATGGCGTCGTGGTCTGATGGAAGGGCTTTGATAGGCATAATTGGATCGATTCACCTATATTGGTCTGAATACACGTCTCTGCGCGCATTCGCATGCTACTGCATAAAGCACCTCAATACGTTTTGAAGATTTGAGGCCGAACGTCACCTTCTTTGGCCCAATATGTAAGCTTCGAACCTCCTCTTCCCATGCGCCTCTACTAAACGAATGTTGTTTCCTGGGGTGCCAAAGAGCATCCGTGTCGCGAAAGAGTTCTCTTGCGCGTGTGCCAGCATCGTCCCCACTCTAGGCTGTCTGCAAGGTAGAGGGGAAGTCTTTTTGTCTCACATGCCGTTCCCGAGAGAAGGGCCACGCTGATCACCCCAAGAAGGCATCGCTGTCCCCGTGGTGAATGGATGACGGACGCCTTTGAGGGACTCATTGCCCTTTCCAAAACTTCTTCTCTTCCTAATTCATCCTTCGGTCACATACTGCTGCTGCTAGGCCGTATCAGATGTAGGCGGTATAGTCATTATCGAGAATTGCCGCCCTTAATGCTCCGCCGCTAAGGCAAGATCTTTGCCCCAGCAACTGAAGCAAGTATGGAGGTCCGTGAGGAATACTTGAGGGTAAATCCGGGCAGAACGGCTTCTTCTTTCGCACCCCTACCTGGGAGCTGCGTCATTCTCTATGGATAGATGGTCCTCCGAGCGTATGGTCTTCTTGAGTTCGTCCATGCCGACGAATGAAATAAGCGTGTCATCTTGCCGGTCGAAATTCTTCCCGTGCAGATCGAAGACGAGATTTGCAGGGTGGGGCTTGCGGATTCCGCGGCCAGAAATCCGGAGTGGCGTGGCTGGGAGCCTCAACTAGAAATGCCATTCGCCGCTTGTCTGGCATGTACCCAGCGGCGTGCCTCTTCTTCACCCACTACACACTCATCATTCGCCTAGTAGTCTCAGTTTTCGTGCCGATCGGACAGCGAATCCGCCTCACCTTTCAGTTTCTCTTTCTTTTCCAATGGGAACGTTTTGTCCGTCTCTACGCCAGGAGACATCCCGACACACAATCCACCTAGAAGGGATGAGTCAAGTCAGGCTGGAAATATCCAGAACTTGGGCTGCGCCTCGGCACCCAGAGGAAGCGGATTGAATATCACGAAATCATGTTGATGCCACCTCCAAGGATTAGTCGGAAGAATCGTGCTCTCCGCTTGTCACGTCGTGAAAGATAGCACGCGTTGCATCCAACAGGTACGATGATAGAATCCCTGACACGCGATGATGTTCATCTCAGAGCAGGACCTTGGTAGAGACTCGCTTGTATACTTCGACGTTTCGACGACCGCTTCTATCTGGCTCCCGGTGCTGCCGAGTCCCTTCTCGGTGGTGGTAAAGGGGATGATGGAGAGGGAGACTGTCCTCTGCGACCATCCCGACATACAACCTCATCCGTACCTCGCCGCTCCACTCCTCCACATCCAGCGCCTCCTCCGTATCCCTATTCTCCCAACCCTTCCCAGGCAGCGGCTGCTCCGCAACTTCCTTCCCTCTCTCTCCTCCCTATCTTCCTCTCTTGTCTTCTCCTGCTGTGTATTGAAGATGGGAGGTGGGAGGATGTAGTCTGCCCTGGGGTGAGATCTGCGGGTACTACTGCGCTGTCTGCTGTGGTGGAGGGCGGACTGGGCCAGCTCCTGGGCGAGGTTAGCTCATAAAATACAGCTTGTGGTGGACTTATTGTAGATGTGTGTTCGATCGAAAGTAGACGCTTGCTGGCCCGCAACATCATCGCTGCATGGGTCTGGTATGTTGGACAAGTGTTAAGACGCCCTCGCTGGCTCGCCTGACTGTCGCCGGGGCAGCGTGTCCTCCATAGAAGTTGGCGTGGCGCGCTCAGATCCTTACGTGGGAGTATCTGGCTACGGCAGGCGCCCGCTGGTCTTTGCGACTTCGAACGCGATGAATAGCGGTTTTCAAAGGGGCTTCCTATGCCGGCTTCTGAGCGGCCTCGAGAGTTTCCTATGCTAGTCAATGGTTTCTACTTGAGAGACTGGCGAACAGCCACCGACCTGAACGGCTGAATGCAGTAGGATATTAGGCCGTGCTGCCCGCGGTGCCGGTATCACCGAATCCCTCAAAATCTGCGTATGTGTGCCCGGAAACTCCTAACTGTGTCCAATTTCCACCTCGCCCAAAACGGTGCCTCGCGCTGGAGAGGTGTCTAAGGTGTCTGGTCGCGAGACGGTACCAAAGCACCAACTGCCACTCTCGTCGCGGATACCGCACCTGGTGGGCTGCCTCTTCGGGTGATATAGTCATTGGGAGGAGAGAGTACGAAAAGCAACGCGGGCTATTCTTCGATATTCGCTGTTGAACAGACGCAGGGGCAGCGAGGTAGAGTGCAGCAGGCTCGAGGGGCTGGAACGGCGTGCGAGACTCCTCCTTTGGTTAGAAAAATATGATGCGGAGATGGCAGACGCCTCCGTCCAGGGTGACTGAGCAAGCCACCAGGCCCGTGGACTTACTAGCATGGGTGTGAGTTTGAGTCTGAATCCCGACGACGCGGACTAAGCTCTTGCAGACGCATGTACACAGTGCTTGCCGAGGTCTTCAAAAAATAGTAAACCCCCGGAGGCCAGCTAACCTAAATTTCGAGGGAAGCAGGCGAAGGGAGGAACATGGAGGGGTGCACGAATGGAGTACGCCGAGAAGCGGGATAGAGTAGGCAATGAGAGCTGGATGATCTTGATCCTAGGCTGGCTTTAACGCAGAAGGAATAGGATGTAGAGCTCGTGGTGGAGATAAAGAGCAAAAAAAGTGCAAAAACTTAACTTCGATATGTTAAGAAAACCCCGGGCAGTTTTTTTCGGACGGAGGACGACTTGAACCCTTGAGCTTATGTTAGCGAGACCCCTTGAGGATTGAAAGCGACAAAGGAACAAGCAAACAAGCAAGCTATCTAACTATCTAACCACTACCCGAGTGGTACCCCGAAGGGCGGAAGGACGTCTGAATAATAAGATACATATACCCCGACTTGAAGAACCTTCTCACTGTATTAGCGGGCCGTGGACTACGCTCGAGCCGCATATCGGCCACCGGTTGTCGCCAAGCACGGTCTGATCTTGGGCTACGTTCGACGTCATTCCTCGCCTGTCCAGCGCACACACGCTGTCTCACTCCACCTGCAGTCTGCCAGTCCAGAAGAAAGCTCCCTCCGATCTTTTGGCTCTCAGGTGGCAGGCCGCCCAATGCATTTAATCTGTCTATTGAGCATCCGGTCCAGCCCAACTGCTCCCACTTTCATTTTATAGTATTGCGGTTACTTGATGAAGATCCAGTATTAGTCACCTTCTCAGTATTTACACGGCAGATAGCTGTAGGGCATTGCTCTGTGTTTAGTCATGCTTGAGAGGCCTTAAATATTTTGGGAAGACTGTGTCCGGCCGTCTGTCAAGGCTCTCATATATTTTATCCAGCTACAGCTTATCTTGTTCCGCCGGTCACTGAGTTAGTAGGCGCCTGGGGCGCGGAGACTGTCTGAGCGCACCTAACAGGCCATCCCCGTGGCGACCTGCCGTACTCATCCCTTGCTGGAGTATTTTCATCCTCTGCATGCAACCGCTCGCAAGAGGGGAGATCGTGTTGCCACGAAGTGATAGCGTTCTCCAAAAATTTGTTGTCCGAGGAACCTCAGAGTACAGACTGGAGCAGCAGTTTCAGCCTAGCTTGAATTGCATTGTGAAGATCAGGATGGGTTTAACATACATAGGCTCTATCTCTTGATAGGCATACTGAGCTCCTTGAAACGGTATCTTAGGCCCAGCAAATCTACTTGTAGAGAGGCCTGAAGTTGACGGCGGTCGTCCTCATGCTGAGTTCTGAAACCATTTGCATATGTCACGTGCGCTTGACCCCGGGCTGAGAAACGGTCCGCGAGATCTTCATCACTGTTAGCCGACAGCCCTCCACACCAAACCCTCACCCTGACACCACTCCGATTTTCTTGGACCACGTTTTTTCCAGCACCCAAGCAACGACTCTATCAGTCGACCTTGGAATCTTGAAGATACTGCACGACTCGGGTTGCAGCACTACAACCTAGGGTCAGCAACTCATATGCAGTAACGTATCAGGATAACATGCTGATACAAGAGGAAGTAACAGGTAGTGCAACAGCAGTGCTGCAGCACGGTATCAGTACTGTATCAGGAAACAGGATGAATCAAGTAACGCGTCAGGAAGAGATACCACGTTATGCCCCCGGGGCTGGCCCCCCTCCTTCCCCTAGTATATAAACAACGAGCTAGACACCCATAGAAATCAGAGTTCACATCAATTTCAACCTGAGTGCACGGATCAGCTCAAGCCGAGCTGGCTTCGGCACAGGCCTGGAAGAACAACGTCCAACCAGTCGTACGACCATTCTCCGCGCAGGTGGATTCTGGGGCGCAGGAGAAGTCCACTGGAATGTTATTTGCATCACCTTGATTGGCTTTCCTTACTCTTCATGTTCGCACCTCCCGCACCCTCCGCGACGTTATTGGGCGACGGTCGCATGAACGCAGGCCCTCCAGCTGGCTTTCGAATGGTTCCTCACCACGGCAACTTCGACAGCGTCCCGCCGCCACACCAGCAACGGCCTATGTCGAGTACGCCACTACCGCCGCCACCTGCTGGTCTCCCCGCAAGGCCACCTCAGTCAAATGCCGGATATGGTGGACCCGCCAACTTCCAGCCGCACGGAGCCCTCCTCAAGAGCCTACTTCTTCGATGGAATATTCCAGAGGCTCTCAACCCTCGAGATGAGCGACTCTGGCCTGGGAGGTTGCCTCGCCGCGTCAAGTCTATCTTCGAATCTTCCGCGTTGACTACGGTCATGCGAGGTTAAGACGCATGTGGGAAAAGATCCGGGAGAATACTGTGTTATGTCTGCGGACTTTGTTGACGACGGCGCCGGCAACGTCAAGGGCATCAACACAGTCTCAGTGGAATGGACCCGGAAAGCCGACAGAGGATGGGACATGAAGAAGCTCGAGGGCAACGAGCGTTTCTTCCCCGCGGAGCTCGTCCTGCTGCCTATGGAGTTCGTGGGCCCGGTCGAGCTGGAGTCTCTCCGTCAAAGTTAGCAGTCGAGGCAGTACGCCTGATACCCCGACATCAGCGACCCTCAAGTTTGCGCTAGGATATTGCACCACGGCTACGAAACCTTCCAAACATGCGGGCCGGGCACGCGAGTCTTCGAGATAGCCGGGAGACATCGACATTTCCAAGATGAATCTTTCTGGAGACAAAGATGAGGTGACAGCTCACGTTGGACCGTCACGATGTGTCCGCGAAGACAGACAAGTACTAGATTGAGAGGCCAGATCAAGCAGTCAGATCACTGTGTCCCGCACGCAAGTCTGCGAGACAGCCAGGATACATCGACATTTCCAAGACGAATCTCCCCGGCGACGAAGATGAGCTGATAGCTGATGCCGGCCCGTCACGACACACCCGCGGAAGACGGCGAACACCAGGTCAAGAAGCCAGATCACCGTGGAGCCCATCTCGCCTGGCGGAAGTGGGAGTCCTGCGGCACGATGGATTCGTGGACGACCAACTCGCGATGGGGTACGCTCTTCCCCAAATCCGAGCGAAAGGCCAGATCACTGCGGATCCCATCTCCCCTGGTGGGAGTGAGAGTTCTGAGGTGCGACAGCCGACGCCGGACCATCACGACGCACCCGTGGAAGACGGCGAGTACCAGGTCATGTGCGGGACCACCGTGGAGTCCATGTCCTCATGGATGCGAGAGTTCTGAGGCGCGAGAGTTGACGCCAGACCATCACGACGTACCAGCAGAAGACGGCGAGTACCAGGTCATGGGGCCGGACCACCGTGGAGTCCATCTCCTCACGGGAGTGAGAGTTCTGGGGCGCGACCGATTCGTGGACGACCGACGTGCGGCCGGGCACGCTCTTCCCCAAGGGCATGCGAAAGGCTTGATCCGCAAGTGTTGAAGCCACCGAATCCCTCCCATCGGCAGCCGACCCGACGATGGCTCTCCCACTCGGTCTGCCTGAAGATCAACCCCCGCCCGGCAAACTCCACCCAACGATCGAGGCATTCGACGCCCTCATCTAGGCCGAGCGAAGTTCTTTGCCGGAGAGCCTGAGACCATCGAAGACGGAACAAAGCGTGTAAGACAGGGACAGCCGTCACGGCTCCTTCGATCCGGACAGGCGATTTGGTATGGATACTCCTGAGCGCGGCAAGAACTGTTCAGGCGGCATCAGAACAAGGTCAGAGCTAGGGAGAACCAAAAGCACGGAGAGGCATTGCTCAATGAACCATGCAACAACTCTACGAAACAACCGAAGCGGAAATAGAAGAATGGGATCCAGTTCAATATGTCGCTGAGGATGAGCATGGCAAAGAGCTGCTCCAGACGCCTGCTTCGACCAAGAAAATTGAAGAAGAACGCAAGAAGCATGAGCGATCAAAGCCTAGATGTTTTCGGATTTCTCTTCGACATTCTTGTTGTATTCACCTCCCGGTGCGACTCCAACGGTACCACATCCGGCTAAGCTCTATCCGAACTATAACAAGCTCTCCTCACTGTCTTCTACCACTGGGAAGCTGCGAAATACGGACCAGGTTCCCGCTACTGCCTCGCACCCGCAGAGCTTCACCTTCTTCCCGCCATCGATGACGTTGCGAGCAAACTGGAGAGGTAAGCCAATCCCACGACATAGTTTCGGTCTGTCACTAACTTCACGGCCACAGACTACATCCTCGTTGATGAGCGCGACAAACCTCCGGGTCCGTACTTGGACGAATCAACCGCCGATCTCCTGCGTTGCATCAACAGGCATGCGCGACTACATTTGAGGTCGTCGTTTAGCGTGACGCGGAGGTCGCGGTGTCCACGCTGCTGTTGCTGGCAGCAGTTTTGATCGCACCAGAGGACGAGACAATGACCGCGGAGGAGCTGGTGGAGCCGGTGCCCTCGACGACACCGATGATGTTGCGGGTGTCAACTTCAACAACTACTCTCGAGACTCCCTCATGCGCAAGCTCGCCCGGATGAAGAACCCGCCTGTCGCCTGTGCCAAATGAAGACGTGAAGGAAGAATCCAAGGAGTAGGATGGAGCTAGTGCTCTTGACGGCACCGACGTTGCGGGCGTCAACTTCTACAACTACTCCCGAGACTCCCTCATGCGCAAGCTCGCCCGGATGGAGAACCCGCACACCGCCGGTGCCAACCGAAGACGTGAAGGAGGAGTGTGAGGAGTATAGCACTTTTGGCCGACTGGCTACGTGCTCGCTGGGCCACTCCCTGCAGTGCTGTCGAGTAAGCAAGAGTATGGAGTAGATAGTGAGATATCCAGTATCCAGTTTTCTAAATAAGTAATGCAGTGGGTCTCAGACTACGTATTTACTAACCATTACCTACCAGCTGGGCTGCTCCTTACAGTGCTATCGAGTAAGCAGGAGTATAGCGTAGATAGTTAATATCCAGGTGCCCAGTTTTTGAATACTATAAGCATGATTGAAAGAGCAATGCAGTGGAATTCAGACTACCTATTTACTGAGCAATTACCTACCAGTTGGGCTCCTCTTTACAATGGTATCGAGCAAGCAGAACTGGAGCCCGAGCATTGATATATCCACGTGCCCAACCGGTAACCTGGTGTTGTGCCAGACAGAATTCAGGGACGGTTAGAATCTAGTCCACTTCAGCAAGTAGATGTCAAAATTTTTGAAACTCATTACGCCGCCTCAAACAGTGCCAGCATCACATCACCACAACAACAAATAGCTACTGATTTAGGGGTATCGTTCTTTAGGATTCAGTCTCAGGTTATCTCTATGACGTATGCTCAGGCTTTGCGCGGGGGACGAAGACGGCGGCACGGGGGTCCAAGCCCGGCTCGAGACCACGACGAGTGGACGAATCCACGGCACTGCCAGTTGCTTGCGGTGCTGACAGCGGAGCAGGGCCGACGGAAGTGTGGGGGCTTGGGCCCGCGGGCGGACGTTTGACGAAGTTCTTCGCACGCGGGTTGCGCGTGGTGCCGCTCTTCCGCTTCGACTTGGTGGTGGGCTTCGCAGCCTCGGACACGGCAGGGGCAGGGCTCTGATTCTACGTATTTAGCTATTGCTTCAATTGGATCCTGCCATATCGTTTACTGGGCTGACGTGTTGTTCAACAGGTTCTCCCGGGCGGCCCGCTACGTCCGCGACGGCCTGACCCTGCTGGGAGCTGGTGGCGACGGCACGGGTACCGCTCAGTGGCGCGTTCTAAGTGGCTAGAGTCAGCCATGGCCGCAAGGAAACGTTTATTGAGGGGATAGAGTGCCGTGGATACGTACCGGAACGGTTTCACCAACCTCTCGACGTCTCGGGAGGCCGGGGCCTTGGAGGAAAGAGGCCAGGGCGCCGGACACACTCTTCGGATTGGTCTTCTGTACGCAGTGTTAGTGCAATGACGAAGGAGAATAGTGGATACAACATGAAGAACGTAAGTAATCTCGATGATGTGTGCCCATCGTGATGGCAGCTCCGCAATCACCAGGTCGGTGATGCCGCGATAGCCGCTATTCGTACCAGCACACGTGGGCGAGAGAGGCGAGCTAGAAGAACAGGGAGTGATAGGTACGTGCCGCAGCTTGTTTTTCGGGATTCATGGTGGCGGATGGTACTGGCTTGAGAGCAAGGTTGCCGGAGTGGATGTTATGACTAGGGCAGTCCAGCTTGAGGCGGCGACGAAAGTTTTGAGGACCTTGGCCTTTCACGACTTGGCAAGGTCTGGGCATTCCGGATTAGAATCTAGCGCTCTTTGACTTGGATTCCACCCTGCACATGAATTTAGGTTCATAACATGATGGGGTTTCTCCAAATTTACAATTTCGGTGGGCCGCCTCAGACAGCGCTATAAGCTTTCCAATGAGACGCATTCAGGAATCAGATCTACATATCCCTGAAACTCACAGCAGCGTTAGAGAAGGAAACCAACAGCATTACCTATCGTATATATCATCACTTGTCTCATTATATGGAACAGCTTCAAAGGCATCTTTCTTTATATTGATTTTCTATCAAACCACATAGTCAGCATATCTTCTTTACCCGCGGCGGAGGAATACCAAGTGTGCCATTTATGGAGATTATCTCCTGTCAACTAGTGTCTTGTCTTTATATGTCGTTTTTCCCTGCAGGAATGCTAGCGAAGGCTGACTTTAAGGTTATGCGTGGAACAGGATGTCAGTACGCGTTTTTGTTCAGTCCAAAAACCTTTTCTAGGGATGCTTTCGTCTTTCCCCATATAATCAATATCAGCATCAGGGGGTTAGTGGACGTCCCATGCGTTCACACCGTCAGACCGCCCCCTACGCTGCCAACACATACTCAACTGCGTCGCTCAAATCTGCCAAAAGTCCTGCGGAACGAACCTGCCAAGGACCACCAGAACTAACCCGGCACAGACTTGGCCAAACTTCAAGTACTCCAGGCGAACAATCTCGAAGATCGCACCACCAAAGACCGACACCACTCCAATCGCCAACGCCCAAACACGGATTCTGGACCCCGGCTCGCGCCTCGCGGCCTCTAGCAGCGCCTGCTGCTCCAATCGCTCGCGCTCCTCGAACTCCCGGCAATGCCGCATCCTCACATCTGCCAATCCGCCCACCACGTGTGCAATTCTCTCATAATACGTGGGATCGCCGTGATACTCTGGGTCCGCCTCGCACCAGACGGTATCGAAAACGATGGGCCACTTATCTTCGTCCAGGCCATGGATGGGGGTCCTCGGATCTTGCGTGCAGGAGGGGCAGACGAGATCGACGTCAGTGTGGAGCCAGCGCTCCGTGCACAGCAACCCCATGGCGTGGCCGCAGGGCAGCTTGTAGGCGATGTCGAAGCCGAAATACGCGTTGCAGTCGAAGCCGTTCGCGGTCATCTCGTCGACGAACCGCTTTCGCTCGGCGAAGGTGGTTGCGAAGGGGTCCCGGCAGATGGGGCAGACTTCGTCGGTGGGCATTGTGGCGGTAGCGTTGGGGGTAGGAGGGGATGAAAGGGGCTTCGCTGGGAAGTCACGGGGGCGGTGATTGAGTTGGTCTTTTCGGGTACGAGAGGGCTTTTAAGAGTTGGAATTGAGAACAGTCTCACATTCACTTTGGCATTGGGGGTGTACAGTGCAGGGAATTTCACCAGGTATGGCCGTCAACGACTATACACAATGATCATTGTTCGGTATTATTACCCCTTCTTAGCGCATACGCTACCATTCACAGTACAGCGACATTGTGTTTGCTGATTAGAACAAGGCGTAGTGAAACTGTCAAAGCAGCAGCCAAACATGAAAGTGTAAGCTCCCGTGCTGTTTTGCATACACCCCTATATAATCATCCCTCCTCTGCTCCGACTCGTCAACCACCCAACTCCTCCCCTTACTCTTTCAACCACCATCTACCCATACAACCCCCCTTCCCACAATGGTGCCCCCAAAATCTGACACCTGCCCCATCTGCACAAATCTCTTCGCCCTCACCCCCACCGACCGCCAGCTCCTCGCCACCGAGCTCGCCAGCAATGGCTACAACCCCGCCAAACTTACCGTCGAGCTCGACATCCTCGTCAAAGCCCGATGCGGCCACGAAATGGGCCTGTTCTGCCTGCAACGCTGGGCCGACGGGGGCAATTCTCTGGATTAAACATAAACTAAAAGAATTTCTAATAGAAAAAGAATTAACCTGCCCGTACTGCACAGTCACGATGCTTGATGAGATCGACCCCGATTCCGCCCTGGATCAGCTCCTGCACCGACGTCGCGTCGCCGCCGATGAAGAGGGCGATGCGCTGATGGTTGCGGCGGATAGGATGCTATATCTGCGCCGTCAGCAGGCGCGGAAGATGAAGGAACGCGTGCGTATCTAGGCGGAGGGCCCGGAGGGGGTGGCTCGGCGGCGGGGAGAAGGGCTTGGGCTCGTTCCACTAGATGATGGGGTCGCTCGACAAGGGGGCGAGGTCGTTGAAGTTCAACAAAGAGAAGAGGTCGCTCGAAAAGAGGATGAGGTCGCTGGACACGAGGACGATGTTGCTCGACAGGGCGCCGTAGTAGTCATTGACCGGAGGACACGTTATCGCCATCTGTCAGTACTGTTGGGCACGATTCTCGCTGGTCTTGCACCACTCTTCTGGAGCTACGGATCGAAGACGGCTATTATGTCGGCTGGCGTTGTCGGATGGCTGCTTCACGTAACTCTGGTTCTGATGTAGGGATTGCTGGGGATCGCGGGATGGACTAGATCGTGAAAATCAGATCTATCCTCGGCTTTGACGGCGGATATGATGATTTGGTACGCCCCCGGATGAAATCCGTGAAGATAGACGTTCGTGCTTAGAGGGAGTAGTGCTGATTTAAGATGTCGAGAGAGAGGAGAGATAGGATATGCTTACATCGATCCAAATCAGAGAGCATTGTCCGATATTCGGTTGGTCAGCTTTCTCTAGCGCTTCATAGATTGAATAGAAGCATGGCGGATTGGCGCCATCAACACCAATATCAAGAGCTTCGGCGTTTCCATTTGCAACGTCTTATGGCTTCTTTATATAATTTAATCTTCCAATAAACAACCTCTCATAATTTCCTATAGCGTCTACAGGACACGAGTGTTGGAGAGACTGTTGCTTCTCGGGATCATACCTGATCTGAAGGGCAGCTTCATGCATGATGAATTGACTTCTTGATAATGATGTTTTGACAAACCGACTCCCTGATATATGGATTCTCTCAATCTTCCAAAAAGCGCGGAGTAGTGATGTCGAACTCTTCGATCGCTAGATCAAGTATAGGTTTCGATCGGCTGGCTGGATGAATATGACTGTGAAGGTAGGTATTGATGGTACAGAATCGAAAGTGCCGTTGGGAGCTAGATGACGTGTCAACATGATATACCTCATTCCCAATTAAAGAAACAGCACGAGATCAATCTTGTTACCTTAGAACAAATATACTTCCAGATTGCTAGCCCAACTGCTTATGTCCCAAACCATCCGCATCGTCCAAGTTAACCTCAAATCCTGATCATTATCATCCGTATACCCCCGAATTCTCACACTGCCCCCTCATAAGTCGTAGCCGTAAACATCTCCCTTACTATCTGGCCCCGCTGTAGGGTCATCCTTGGGGTCTAGGACTGTGCCGGTCTGCAGTGATAGAGTTCGGGATGCTTCTGCCATGATGTAGCACTTCTTGCGATCAAAAAATGATAGCATACATCGGCGTGCGTTTAGTCGAACCGCGGACCCGTAAGGGCTATTGGTAAGACCCACAGCTCTATTCGTCATCGAATATACCAGGCGAGTTTCTCCAATACTTCTCATTGTCTCTCCAGTCGTCTCGGCGCGAGGAGGTACGATAGCGGTCTTGGGCGCGTTCGGAGCAGTCGGGGTGGTCGAGGTGATCCTCGCGCATGTCTCTTCCGACACATTCGACTCTGACTCAAGTCTGCTGCGATTCCGTCGAATAGAATTGTGGGGGGAAGTTGACGGGAGCGATCTATGCACATATTGTTAGCTCACGAAGCATATCATGAGCATGTCATGCCAGAAGCTTTGCTCTGCTACTCACTTCAGCGAGCCCCGGGATGTGGACAGCGTAGCCAGCGCTCATGACAAGGGGAGTACCCAAGGGAGAGTTGTCGAATATCAAGCTCGCGGGATCAGAGCTCATCCATTCGCCGTTTTCCGTAACAGCAAACGGCGACGCCGACTACGTTTTTGACGGTCTCGCTCAACAGGTGTCCGTTATCCGCCGTCGATCTCGAGGGAGGCACGCAGCATGTTGCAAATCTGGCGGCAATTTGCTTCCATTGCGTCAATCTGGTTCGTGACAGACGGGGCCGGCAACGGCATGTGCAGTGCGTGAATGCGGATTGTATGCGTCTTGAGTCGTCGGAGGTCCAATGATCGCTGGTGTCCGCTCTGAGCAACGGTCGAACGCGGCCGCTGGTGGTACTTGGCCTAAGTGGTAGGTTATAACCGGCTCGGGGGTTGCTGGATCTTAGTGGCTTGAATCAGTCGGCTCTGGTGTTGTGCATGCTGGTTCTCATGCTTCTCCGGGGCGTGGCGCTGGACGCGCTGGCTGGGGTTATGCGGCACGCTCAATTTGAGGTCGAAGAGGGAGTCGAAGTCGCTGTTGTTGGGCTCGACCTGTTCTTCTGAGCAGTGCTTCCTGGAGTCTGCGTCATAGTGCATTCGACTTGTCTGCTCTCTCTCTGTCGCGTATTCGGTACGATATCGCAAAGAGGCAAGAAGGGGTTTGTTGAAAGGCTTGAACATAGTACGACTGCCCCCAAGGACCTCCCACTCTCGTGAATCATTCTCAAAGGGAAGCTGAGCATGATCTGAGGAGTGGCGTTTCGAGTATAGTCGTCTTGAATCATCTATGTCCCCACGCATAGCCGAAAGGCGATGGGTGGAATGCTGGCATGCGGCATTCAGCGAGCAGGCGAGGCCGTCAAGGCTGGGTTATACGACGCCGAAGGAGACGATGATGGCATGGAGGAGGTGTAGCGGCTTATTTTGAAAGGCTGTGCGGTGCTGGGGAAACTGCGAATATCAGAAATGATCGTGTCGAAGATGGATTTGCTGGGGATGTACCGTCACTACTGATTCAACTCTGGAGATGGACTCTCGCGCAAGGAGTGCACTGATTGGCGGGATGAGTCGTCAGGAATATGAAGCCGGAGGCATCTTTTTCAACTGCGGAAACTAATAGGAAATATGAGTCTGTCGCTGAGGTTGCTAAAAACACTGTAGTCGAAGAAATGTGGACATGACTTGGGAGAACCTCGCCGACGGCGTCTTGCGGCGGTGTCCTGGGACAAGACGGGTTGACGAAGATGATCTCGCCGCTGGGGATGGAAGTACACAGTGTGAGAGAGGTCGATATGGGCATTGAGAAGATTGCGGGTGTCGAGCTAGCTAGAAACGCTGCTAGCATCACCACTTGTGCGCGCCACCTCCACCACCAAGCAGGCTCCCCATCTTCATCATGAGATGCATCACGACATCATCAAATTCACCAATACCATGATCATCAGCGATAGAGAACCGTGTCGAACAGGGACATGCATAGTGATGTAGATCAAAAGAAACCTACATTAACCACCTCGCCGGCCTCACCACCAAACCTCTTCTTCAATCTCCTGCACAAGGCAAGAAAATCAATGAAAAGACAAAAAGATGTGCTCAAAGAGCGGGTTCCAAAAATTATGCCGGACGTTCCCCCGAAGAGGTTCGATGGAGAGACAGTGTGCAATGTCTCTCCAGGTAGACTGAATTCATGAGCTCAGCTACCCCAACTTGGGAAGGTTTTACCAACCCATCGGCGACGGCGAGGCGACACACGAAGAAACGAAAGAAACTGGTGGGGGGCGGGCTACTTATAGGAGAAAATCTACTAGCGGCTTGGCAGTGGCCGCGCCGGATCACCAGGACCTGCGCAGGCAGCAGGCAGCAGGGCCCGCGCGTATCGGGGAGCAACGAGTGCTAGAAGGATCCAACGTAGCGTACGATTTGCATGTAAGAGGGGCCGGCGAGGACTGCCAACTCGGCAAGTTCCGATAGTGAGGGCTTGGGAGACATGCATAGCAGCACCAAAGCTCGCTTTCATTTGTATATGCACAAATGTGATCTGTATTCAGGCTATCAGGTGTTTGGGGTAGACTGAACCAACCTCTCCATGCTCTGTCTGCCCAAGTCTTCGCCCAGAACAGGTGCTGAACGCAGAAATTTGAGGCCCGTCCGAACGAGATTCCAAGCATCGGTCAGGAACAGGCCACCGGACCTATCTTTGCGGCTGAAATCTTCTATCGGGAGAAGCTGCTTGCAGGCTGGCCTTGATTTAACATTTGTCCTGGGGCTAGTTCATCCTTGTCACTGCCACGAGAAGCATATTTGGTAAGCTCGAGGATCATTGAAGTTATAATAATCATTCATAGTCGATTGAAGTAACCGTCGGCGATCTTGGTGATGATTGCAAGATGGGGTCTCAAAACAAGAAATACTCGCCAGCTCACCGGATTTGCACCATGCTTGATTGAAAGGACCACCCAAAGTCACACTCGACGGCTCTCCGATAGGGCTACCTCCACCCTCGAAACCAGCCCTGGACCAATCTACGCCTGCTCTTCGATCCTACTTTCGCCTTCGCTGCCGTCACGAGACGTCTCGTCCGGCACACGACGTAGCACAAACCCCCGTATCTGCTCCGCCAGCTTCCTCGTATCCTCAACCGTATAAGAGGTGTTTTGGTTGACACACGGGGAATAGATTCGGCCGCCGAGCCCGTATATGGCGAAGTGACTATATCCGGGTATCGTAGAAATCCCGTGCAGGTAGTCAATACTACAGGTGGTGCTCTGTTCGTCCAGCTGCAGTTTCTGGAAAGCTGGTTGCAGATGGATCACTTGACTTCGCGATTCCATCTTTCAGCGTAGTGTAAGGTTCGCGCTTCGACTACGAGATCAAGGATCTGGTCACAGGTTTCCTGCAGAAGCTGGTAAAGTCGAGAGTTGGCCTGGCTGGATGGGCTACGCAAGTTAGCACAGAAGTCCTTTGAGTAGAATGGCGGAAAACGCATTCGAAATAAATGCCACGTTTCGTCAATATATCCGCCATCGCGAGTAGAGTGGATGCGGCCCGTAATGCACTGGAAGAAAGCGCAAGAGTGGGTTTGTCCTGCGGCGGTGGCTATGCAGGTGAAGGGGTGGTGTAGTTGCTTGCTGAAGTCGTGTGAGAGTGTTTGTGTGAAGAAAGAAAAAAGTTGGGAGGCAACGTTTTCTTGTGCGGGCCCCGCAAATATTCGCGAACATTGGAGCGTGGTTGAAAGCTTTGAAAGAGCCGCAGTCCTGAACTATGGTCAACGACGAACACTAGCCATGGAACCATGATCAGCCACCTTGCAGATTTTTTGCGCGCGTCCATTCGTCCTGTCACTGCATGGGGCGCCCTGATGATTTTTTTTAGGACTCTAGACACGATAGGAAGGTTGAAAGAATGGATACCAGGCAGCCTTTTGGCTGGCTAACTAGTGACTGTCTGGGCTGCTTCTTCCAATGGTATCGAGCGAGCAAGATTAAAGATTGAGTAGTGGAATATCCGTGTGCCGGTGCTTATGATCCAGTAAAGTAGGGTAAGGAGGGACACGAAAGCAATGGCGTAGAGCTAGGCGGCGGTTCTGGAAACATCAAAAGTCTGAGATCGTTTGTATTATCAGAGGGTTGATAATTTTCCTGGATAGATTTGTTTTCCGATCGCGTCTGCTTGACTGTCCTACCAGTCGACCTTAGGGTGGTCTACGACAAGCCTAATCCAACGTGGCCAGTAATCCCGCCAACGGAGTTCAAGGCCCTTGATTGGACGGATGAAGAGAGTTTATTAATCCAGATTAATCCACCTAGATGTACCGCCAATGCTGCCGTAACAGGCAGGTATAGAAAAGGGGATATAAGTGGAACGTAAACGTAAAGGGGGGCACGGTATTGAATATAGCTCGTTCCATCGGAAATTTCTTTCTTAATCTAATTAAGGATTGAATGTCCTCTAGATTGATCGGATTACTGGCCACGCTTTCCTGATCGACTTCATGATACCTTCGTCTTGTATTGTCGCCGTATGCTGCTAATCACCCCCTGTTTTCACGGCCGTGCACCCACTCATCCCTAGCTTGAGCTTTGATCGAAGCCCACTAGGGCCATTTCGGAGAGCTCCATTCCCCATGCTTCTTGTCGTTGTCCTCTTCTAAACAGGTCCCTCCGTAGTTGGTAGCGAGCTTCGCCTTCAGACTCTTTGATGTTCGGAGTAGAGATGGCTCAGACAGAGCCTCGATAGCAAGGTCAACGTGCTTGAAGATAGTAGACTTACTCTCCTCAGCAGGAGGGAACCGAGCAGCAACCGTCGATCATCTCAGCGGTGGGACGGCATTAGGGTAGTTTTTTCAATGGCCGTTTTCGCGAACAACGATTGTGACTCCCCTAGGATCCGTATTTTCTCACTTATCATTTTCCAGTAGATTTACGCCCCTCCCGGCCATAGCACCAACTGATGTAGATTTCCCTGTTATACCTCGTACACCTCATCAAACCTTTTCTCCAAAATCTGATATCAGTCATATTCCACCATTGCCAACAATCCAGCAAATGATTGCGCCTCTATTTGATCTTGGCTTTCTCGCGGGAAGCGGTATAAGAGAGCTCCCATGACTGTAGCGAGAGTCTGCATAGTGTATTTTCTTTTTCTTATCACAAAGCTATTTCATCTAATAGAAGTACTTTTCCAGTCATGGGGCAAACCTACATAGCCGTTTGCAGCCATCGACATTATAGATGCCTTCTTCTACATACTCTTTAGCTACTAATCATACGCAATAGGCTCTGGCCTCTCCTCGAGTTTCAAAAGGTCGGGATGCCTCATTGTCAAGCCCCCTACTATCGAACAATTCAACAAAGAAATCGATAGCAAGCAACACAATGTGTGGCCGATAGGGGAAAACGGATTATAAAGCACCATTCTACTACAACGTGAATTCTTGTGGCTACATATAATGCCGATATAACATGGGGTTTCACCGGCTTGGCGCTTTCATACAATCAGCCTGCCTTTTCGTCAGCGAATTCACTGCCCCAAATGAATCATCATTCGTCCCAGCAGACTCCTCGGTCTGCGAAACCCGACTCAGAGCATCCAACTTCTGACACTCATCAAGATACACACCGTTCGAGTGGAACACCCCACCCACACACCCACGATCCGCGTTAGTCTTCAAACCACCACACCCACTCAGCGGACTACGCATCAAATTCGTCCACATCCTCACGCCTTGCTCAACCAGCGGTGTGTATCCGACCTTCGCCCCCCCAACTGGACCCGGTAGCCTTCCTGGACGCCCAGAACAAGTATCAATCTTGGAATTCGTCGAAACCAAAAGAGGCTGTCCGTGCTACTCCTCTGCGAGCACCTGCCCCAACCCCCGTCATGAGGTTTCTGCCCAGGGGCACTAGAACCCTTGGATCAGTACAGAAAGCACGACTCTGCCCCCACTTCCTGCACCCAGCGTCGCCGGCAGGCGCCAAGATCTGCCCCATCTGCGTTGCGGTCAAGCTTGTCCCCAATCTCTGCAACAAGCTCCGAATCCTCCCACCCCCGTTCGAAGGGAAGAATGCGAAACTGGCACGCCGAGGGACGATCCGGAAGGCGCGTATTTGGGTGGCCAATTACGTAAACAATTGCGACGGGCAAGTGGAAAAGGAGCGAACCTGGGAGGCGGAACATCGGGATGTTGACGTCTCGATGTGCAACACCGCCGCGATGGCTGCGGAGATGTGTCGAAAGGCTGTGGATAGTCTGTACGACCAAGACGGCGAGATTCCTCACCCCGTGGCTGCCGACACCAACCCCTCGACGGCGAAAACAGTCGGCTTTGTCCTGCCCAAGGGCGAGGAGAAGCAGACCCGCCAGGAGAACGGTCTCTTCTGCCGCAATCACCCGGCCTACGAGCGGGGGAAGTACGCTGCACCAGAAGGGTCTGAGGGGTGGGAGGATACGAGCTGGTACCGCGACCCCTCCTACTACTCGCCCAAGTTCCAGGCCCAACTCAAAGAAGCCGAAGAAGGGAATGCACTCCAACGAAGCCTCTCGAAGGCCAGGGACGTTCTCCACTCGTTTGGACCTCCACCAACGACGCCACCGAGGACGCCGCCGAAAACCCCGGAACGCGATCTCAGGAGCGTCTTGAAGCAAACACGGAGAAAAGACGCTGCTAGTGACTGGATTGGGCCAGGTGCGACTCCCACGCCAAGAGAGCGGTACACCCTGTACCGCAAGCCAACAACTGGGGAGTTGCGAAGATACCGATCAACCCAGCCTGGCCTGTACAACCGAGAAACGTTCATCAATACATTCTCGGCAAGTAACCAGCCCAATTGGGCCCGGGAGCCGGCCGGTATTCCAGTTGCATTTTTAAACCCCCAGCCAACGCAGCTAGCTAAGAGCGCGCCCAAGTTCAGTAAGCCGCTTGCAGGAGAAGAGCACCCAGCCGGGCCCGACGCGAGTTAGGAGACTGTGAGGGTGGAGTTGTCACGTTCGAGGTACGCTTCTAGATGAGATGCAATACTTCTGGTAGCAATAGGGCAAGGATATTCTATACGGGAGCTAGATTAATATAGGATTTACATAGAAAGATACGCTTCGCAATTGGTCAATCACATACCAGAGATATACCACCCTTTCACCTATATGATTGTATTACTGATATGATATGTATTACCATTTCATGGTATTTTGCCGAATGGATGGACTTTTGCAGAAATGATGCAATGAAACCGTGACGAAAATTACCCACCTCAATTCTAGCGGCAATCTGAGCACGAATCTCGCCCGCTTCACGACAACCAGGGCTGCACAGCGTACACCTTCCCGCCCACTTCCACCTCCTCAGCCAGCTGATGCGGCATAATCAACCTGAACGACTCCAACGGCGCCGTCCTTTTCTTCAAAGGCGTAAAGACTCGATGATCCTTCTCCACTAGATCCCTCGGCCATTCAACCTTGCTGCCACTATCATACAGATTGATGACAAGGTGGCGAAGACCTTGCATGCCAGCGATACTCTCCCAAAGCCGATCCCAATTCGTTCTTTTCCACGGGTTCGGCACGATATTGCCAAGGCTGAAAACGTCATCGATCACATTCATGAACGCCCAGTGAATACTAATAGACCGAATGCTATTAAGGTTTCGGGGCGAGAGGCGTTTGGTGAGCTCAAGGAACGAGTTTTCGGCGGCGCCGACGAGGAGGCAGAAGTTGCTGGTTGTGTAGAGAAGGTCTACAGATTCAGAGTGTCTGCGATTTAGTGTTAGCTTCAACTCACCATTGCTTTACTGTCCAAGTCTGCATTTGTGAATTTTGGAGGGCCCGAAGGCATTATCAGCTTACATCTGCTGACAGGAGAGCAGAAGAGGGACACGGCTCCAACGGGGCGTCACGCAATCTTTGCGGAAACAAGGGGAAGAACACCATGTATCGTCTCCGTTGAAGCAAGAGGGAGGAGCTTGACATTCGTAACTTGAAAAACATCTGTACGGGGAGTAGTCCAGATGCATTGTGGCGTCGCCTAGGACTAGGCGATAGATCTCTTGTCGGAGTTCCAAGGGCAGCCTCTGCAGGAAAAGACATTCGTTTACTGGTTCTTTTACACTTGGGAGTTCGATCTGCTTCTTATTCTTTCTTAATGTCTTGCGTGGACGAAAGGGTAACGAGGATTCTGACGCGCCGATGCGGAGGCGGGAAAAGATCGGCATTACGGAGCACGTCAAAGGCTTTCCTTCGTCGGGAGGAGGTTGACGATGCTAGTCTAAAAGATACTAAATAACACTCTGCTTTCCATCATGTTGTTGGTGTTGGAAATGATAGAAGATAGCTGGGATGGGAAGAGCGGAGGTTGATTTAGAGATTGCCGGCGGCACGGATGCGACAGGGGTTGTGTGGCTGAGATCACGTGAACGCCACATCACGTGCTATACCGCCGAATTCTGGGAGATCATCCACTCGTGGCCAGACCCAGCTACGTTTTTATGATTCAAGCTATCACGCACTGTGAATTGAAGAATATTGGGGTTGTGGTTGCAGATATAGGAATCTACGTGAGGTGCCCTGGACCGTGGAGAGGAGTAGAAAATTGGATGTCATGGGCGTGAGGGCGTGAACTGTCTATGTGATATGAGGGAAAGTTCTGTATCTGGGAGAATGCTGCAACAATGTGCTTCAATAAGAGTTGACTTCTTCCGACTTTCTACAAAGAGTCTATTTACAATGCGAAAGATCGAGCGCCCAAATCTAGGCGGAGAAATAGAGAGATACGGAAAGCTTCAGTACATTTACTGAATAGGATAAGGTCGCGTGTATAGCTTCAAACATCCGTCCTCTTCCAGTCTAACGACTCGGAAATTAGAGCTTCCCATGTCAGGTACAGCGCAGTCCTTAAATGGCACGACGAGCTGATGCTGTTAGCTGGGGCCGTCGGGGTGGAACGGTTTTGGCTTTTCTTGACTCATAGCAATTCGAACTTTGTTGCAGGTTGAGGTTTGAACAATGATGCTTGTGTACTGTCATCGATGAAGTGACATGATCAGTGTCGAAGTCTTCAGCAACGATGCCTTACTAGCGGACATTCTAAGCGTACACCAGGATTCGTCTATATGAAGCTGCCGAGCAATGGCGTTTTAAGTCCTCCAAATCCCACCATAGAGCTCTTGGGGATGACGATCTTAAAGTTGGAAGTGTCCATATTTGCAGGGGGGCAATCAGGAAACGGCATGACCAATGTTACATATGCACGAATGCCCGCGTCTCGCAAAGGCTGCAGATAGTGGTCTTGAAACCGTAGCCAGTATGCTTTGTGAGATATAGAAATGAAGAACGTAACGTGAACGAATCGAAGTCCCTCCATCGATGCAAGGACTTCCCAAAGCGGAAATGGGAAGTCCCATTGACCGCCAAAGGTACGGTCCGCATCCATGCAGTAGGCGAGCTTCAAAGAGCGTATGGCGTTGAATCTTGCTGGTATGAGTACGCGAGGTATTTTGAGAAATTCTCTTCGATCCCGAAAGTCGAACGTATTGGAGTAAAGGATTTTGATTGACTCTGAATACTTGCACAGATGAAACCGTTACTCAGGATATCAAGCTTGAATTTCCGGGGATGGTATACGTACGCTCGCCGGCAGCATAGAAGCAGTGAGAGTAGGCTGTTAGGCTCACCTTTGGCTTCGTGGTCATGCGTCCAGCATGGATGACTGTGGGAAACAGGATTGCGGAGTTTCCTGCACTCGAATGCGGACATGCGAGGGTCGAGATCCTCGTTCTCGATTTCGACGTGGAATATTCTGCCAGTTAACACCATCTCGTAGACGATTATGCGTAGCTCTAAACTTAAGCTACAAAAGAAAATCGAGTCAGATTGGGCGTCGGTTTGCTGATCTCCGGCTGCTTCGTCCACCAACGGCGATGTCAATCTGCGCTTCCTCGGTGGCCGAGGCTGGAGTAACGGGGGCACAATAGCTAACTCTTCGCATCGCTTCTGAAAGCGATCGCAGTGTTGCTTTTTTCTCTTTCGACGTTCCAGCGAGTCTCTCACGGCGATAAAGCCAAGAACGAGTATGACTATACACGCACCCACGCAGAATCCAGCTGCATTGCAAATGGCAGCGCCTGCTGACCTCAGGACGTTCCTCCCACCCATGGTCAAAGATGTTGTGTCGACGTGGTTCTTTCGCAAAGGTGTCGGGATCAGTGATGGAGGGGTTGCGTGCGGCACAGCGCCTGGGCAATTGGCGCGTGGCGAAGGTCACGTGAACGCCACATGTTCGCGCAACACTCTCGTTTCCTGAAAGTGAAGGTGCATCATTAGCGGCCATGTTGTCTGACTTTGAACCGCTTGCGTCCTGCTTGAACGTAAGTTTGTTCAACTCACAAAACATCGCCATCATGAGTCCATCCGAAATCTTCCAGCTGATCGTCAGCTTCCTCTACTACCCGTGCTTCATTCTATACCAATGGCCAGGCCAGAGGAGGAGGAAGGCGGCAGAAGATGAAGAAAAGCAGATCCAACTCGCAGCTCGCGCAGCTCGCCTCCTACCACCACGCATTGGTATGCCAGTTGGCCAGTCACAGTCATCACTTCTCCAAAAGCTACCCCTCGAGCTCCGCCGAAAGATCTCCGAATATGCTCTGGGTGGCTCGGCAATTCATGTCTGGGGTTTTGTGACTAAGGAGGTTGGAAGCCGCGAGTGCTGGTCAGATGTAGATGAGCCATTTTGCACGTGCGCCTAGCATCAACGAGCGGAACCATTCCTATTGCGAATGCTTCTTCTCCTAACCTGCTGTCAAATGTAAGTCCTAAACAAGCTAACCCTGTGTACCTTCCAACATATGAAACTGATTGTCCATCATAGTTACACCGAGGCCGCTGAATCCCTCTACTCTAGCAACACCTTTTGCGTAAGCATCAAGCAAGGCTACCGCAATCCCTTCCCTAATATAGTCACATTTGTCATAGCTGAGCGTCGTCAAGCAATCCGGTCTATCCGCATAGAATATACTCTGAATCCGGATATTGAGGACCTCTCTACTACCATAGTGGTCATCATAGACAAGGATTTGCGAGCCATAAAGTGGACGTGGGAGAACGTTGCTGCGTTGCGTGGACTGCGGCATCTTGTGGTTGATTTAGTGCTTGATAAGGACTCTTCCTTGATGTCAAGAGAGACCGTTGTGCAGCTATACGCTGACTGGGAGGCTGAGATTCTTGAGCCCGTCAAGGCCCTACCTACTCCGCTAAAGTCTTTCCGAATGAGGGTACCCTGGGAGTCCGAAGAAGTGGTGAGAGTTGGGGAGAAAGCGTACCATTTAGAATAGAAAGCAGCTTATCCACGCTCCGAAATGGGTCTGGCAAAAGGGGCACTAGAGCAATCGAATTGAGTTCGGGACTTTGGAAATGAACTTATGGATCTGTGTTGCCATCGTTTGAGGTCCTTCATGAATTCATGAGAAACCTAAAAGCAAAGTCGTATTTCTGCGGCTCTAGATCTGAATGACGAGGGGAATATTAATCAACGGCACTCATGAAACCGTTTGGAGCCCTTCGCGTTGCTATTAAAAAGCTACATGAGATTTGCATGTCGGACCACACCAAATCTAATGCAAGGCAATCGGCCAATGACGTCGTGATTCGCCTTAACCTCTGAACCAGTCAGCATAGCCAATTTGCGCTCTCTTACAAGGCGATGTGGGTACAATGGAGGAGCTAGAAGAGGATCCATCTTGAAAAGTGCTTCATACTAAAACTCGCGATGAGTGCCAGCTGCTTCTCGGCGTTCCTGCGGCCGTTTCTCTGACCTCTGTCGACTGCCAGCTCCGACTTTGCTAGTGCCACACCAGCCTCTCCGGCCGGGCTTTCTCTTGATCTTGTTCTCCTAGAAATCACCGCAAGAAGATATGCACACGTAAGGTACACAGAAGCAAATGCCAAGGGTGCATCGTAGCCCGTGCTTGAATTTTTCTCCAATCGTCTCCAGCGGCTTCCTATTTTGGCTGTTGGATTCGATTAGGAGGAAGAATGGGTCCGCCATATTCGTGAAGATGTAGAGATGGAAGTCAAGAGGTGAGAGACGAAGGGCATTGAGATTGCGGCACAGCAAGCGGCTCTGGGCAGTCACGTGGTCCCGTACGGGCGTGCCCAGAATTTCTGTAAGAACTGTCAGATGCGATCTTGGGAGCGTTGAGGACAGATGATGTGTTGGGGGGGTCGCGCTACGGTGCGGCGAATTCGAGACTGCATGGTCACGTGCACTAGATTCCGGGGATGGGGACAATGCTAGTGTTATTTAGCTATGAAAAAAAGAAACAAATATTGGGTGATAGATGCAATGGAGTTGCTGCGGTGAGTGTCGTGTTCCGAGTCGTGAAGAGGGCCTGGGTCGGAATAGTCACGTGCGGCACCGCCACATGCTGCGCCGCCCGAGCCACCCCCCGGAGGTCCCCAGACGAAGGTTGCCTGCTCAAAACCTCATCCCACCCCAAATTTTTCTACCAACTTTACCACCTCCGGCATGAACAATATACCAGCAGTTACCTGGTTACGAAACAATCCGGGCCTAACTAAAGAAGAGCGACGATACTACATCGGCCGCATCCAGCTCTCGCCGCCCGACAAATCAGTCTGGGAAAATGTCACCTATCATGAGGGTCGAAGAAATAGTGCAGACTACTGGGAAAAGTACAGCACGGTCTCTCCGCGCATCGAATCAGACAAACAAGAAGAAGAAGGCTGGACGGCTTATCTTTTGAGCTTCCTCGGGTACGGGTCGCCTAGCAAAAGGGGGAAAGCAAGCAAAAAGTCGATCGAGCAGGAATTCGAAGAGGCGGCGAGGGAGCGGCAGACGCGCATTCGAAATCCCGAACCGTATAGGCCAACATCAGCAAATATTGGTGATCCGAACCCGCAGGTGGCGTCAGCATTGCTGCATAAGCTGCCCTTTGAGCTTCGCCAAGAGATATTCCGTCTCGTCGTTGGCGACTCGGGAATTCGGTTGGTGGGGTCGTACTATCGATGGTTCTACAGCTGCGAATGCGTAGCTGAGGAGGGGTTGCTTTGCGGGGAGGTTCACGGGACGATGAGGAAGCTGGGCTTGAATCGACTGCACTTCTTGCTGATCTGTCGTCAAATGTGAGTACAGTACTAGCTCATAAATCTGGGCACATGCTGCACGGACGTGCTCACGGATGTGCTACGACTTGAGGGACACGTTGGAAGCTCGATTGACACTTTCAGGAGGAGCCCAATCGAAAGGAAGCCGGCTAGTCAAAAGGCAACTCAAATCACGCTCACTGAGACTTGACATCGCGTCGAGCTTTTGAGATTCGCGGGAGAACCCTAATCATCTATATGCTAACGCTACATTGCAGATACACCGAGTCCATCGACCTCCTTTACACCAGCAACACGTTCTGCCTCCGTGGCGCCGAGCCCCTTATGCAACTCCCCCTCCTTCTCGTTCCCCAGCGGCTCCACCAAATCCGCTCGCTAAACTTCCAGTACTCCCCCTGGAGTGTCTCCCTCGAGACGGCACCGATTGCCGAGGGCGACGACGGCCCTGATGATGAACGCGATTGGCACCGTGTGTGGAGAGTAATCGCAGGGATGCAGGGGTTGCGTTCTCTTTGCGTTGATTTGACGTTGTGTGACTGGTGGAGCGACTTCTGGCTTCAAAGGCTTGCGGCGGATGAAGGCCGTATCCTCGCTCCAGTGCGCAAACTCACGACGCCTCTCACGGAGTTCAGGTTCAGGGTGCCGTATCCAAGCGTCGGGTCGGTAGAGATCGGAGGCAAGACGTGGCGTATCGAGGGCAGTCAGAAGCATATACCGTAAGAACCAGAGGTTGAGAAAATGTTGCGGCTGCGTCACTGGCGCCTGCGATTCCTTGCGTCTTTGTCCATTTTGGCCTTCGGGTTGTTGTAGCGGTCATAATTCTCGGGCCGCATAGTCCGGTCATCGTCGTGCAGTTCGTCAATTAGGACATAGGGGAGCATCCACCAGATGCAGCAGGCGCCGATTGTCCAGAACACGACGTTGCATGTAAACTTTCCGACACTTTTTGCCAGGCTCTTGAAGATACTTTGGCGAGTCCTCATGGCGTATTTGCGGCGGGGGTTTCAAGAAGATAAGGGATGCGAAGCGGGATAGATGGATTGACAGGCTCTATTACTTGCGTCGTCTAAACTTGATTTGGGAAGTGTGAGAGGATTGCAGGTGAGACTAGAGCATTGAGAAAGGCGGATGGGATGGTGTCTAAATACTCGATTGTCGAGCGAAGGGTAATTAAGTAAAAGAAAAACCATTAGAGGAAGCAATTGGCGAAAGTATTAAACTGTGCTAAATTCGGAGCGGATGTAAGGGACACCATGATTTGAGGAGGTTCCAGCCGGATGGAGCCATGGGAATCTGGGATTTTGGCTTATTTCGGGGCAAGGAACTATGGTAAGGCATGAATCTGGCTATTATCGAGCCATTGCAAACCGGAATTGCCGTGGTGGAGAACTTTGGGGTGATTGTGGGGATCGACTAGCTCCACTCGGGGCTAGATCATATATCTCAAGAGGTCATGTCAATTCATGTGATATTTCAAGCAATCACGTCACATCCTACTACGACGAACTCAAGTCTAGGAGGAGGAGAAAAGTAGATCTGTCTTTACGATTTTGGTGAGTAGGCTGGAGACTGCCACTCACGTGACATTAGCCTCAGCGCCCTAGCGTTGACAGAACCATCCCAATACTGAGACAGACTTTAAGTTCCAGAGCCCTGTTGATTGTAGGATCACGTTAGGAAAGAAAGTGAGGAGCTTCGCAGTGACAAGCCCGACGATTGTCACGCTCACGTGATGTAAAATTTCATGCGCCGACAAGTACCCAGCCCGTTCCAACGCGAGTGTCACATGCCCGCATGAGTTCCATAAGACAAATATGAGCGGAGCAATTCGATATATAGACACTCTCTGGGGTTGGATGAGCTCGTTGATTGGAACTTCGCTACTCACGTGATATCAACTTCTCTGCTATGCCACCGCAATATCAGCGCCAAGACCTACCTTGCGTATGTGAAACTACCCTGATCCCACTAGATCTCTATCCTCCCATACCAATCTCCCCATTCGCCGCCCTCGGAGGTCAATTGCAACCTGGCAATGTCCTTTACCTCCCAATTCGAAGCCTGACCCACTACGATATTGTCCTTTGCCTTGTATCGGCAATCACCTCCCCTTTTTTCGTGACGAGACTGCCTACAAACTTCCTGAAATTGATAAACGTTAGCATTTAAGCCAATTTTCAACCCATGGCCCATCCATTCACCGGCGCAAATGCTGCTTGTTGTCACGTCAACGCCCTAACACCCCTTACCCGTTCACTACCAACGACCCCCAAAGCCTTGCAGGCTATTTGCAGCTATGCCTACAAACCAATTGAATCAATTGTGTGCCTTCCCAGTGCCGTTGTTGTGCCAATTTCGCCGCTTGACGCTCTCCTTGTCCGTTGCTTATTCCCAAGGGGATGAAGCTCGAATAGGCGGCGTCTCCAGCGACTTCTCAAGAGGTTATGAGGGTACAGGGACTCGGCTGGGAGGGTGATTCGGTCTAGGTAGGTTCGGGAAAGGTATGTAGATTTTGGGACACCGAGGGTTCGGTTTTCTGCTGCGGTCGTACTGCAAGTGGCTGCATCGTCCCGGCGGACCGAGTGCATAGGTTTGTGAGTTCGAATGGTCTATCAAGCTGCCTCTAGAGGTATCTTGCTGGTGTGTGTGGGCGGTCAGGCCGGTGAAAGGCTCGTCGCAGAGGAGGTGGTGTCGAAGTCGCTGTGAAGCCTCAAAGGCCTCCGGGACACAAGGGCATCCGCCTCCTGAGCTCGGGTAGGAGGTATCATGTCCTCCCCCGAGGTTTCATAGGTATAGGAGGGCCATCTTGAGGAGGCGAGGGACTCGAGGGAGGTGAGGAGGGGGTGTCGAGCGCACTGTCCTGCTGCCCGTCGGTGTTGCGGGATCGAAAGTCGTCTGTAGCTGCCCTTTGCTATTAGTGATGCCCATACGAGCTTGCCCTGGGTCTCCTGAAGCTCCAGTTGCTCCCTCTGCTGCTGCTTGAGCTCATGGCCGTGGTGTTGAGGCTGCCGAAGAGGCGGGGACGGCCTAAGCTCAAGCTCCCCTGCCATGGTGTTGCTGCCAGCTGTCCCTCTTCTCGATGCCCGGCGAGACTCCTTCACCTCCACCACCCCCTCCGGCATCTTCGGAACTCGGTGCAGAGGATGATATGGGCATGCTCCATGCATACCGGCCTCCGGATGGGTCAGCAGAGGGTAGTGAATACAATGCCGGGCAGCGAGGGGGGCCGCTACCCCTCGCGTTCGTGGCCAAGCCAAAATAATTTCTGGCCCTCAACCCAAACCTAACCTCAACACCACCTCACCCTCCTCCTCCACCCCCATCTCATCACGACAACGCATCCGCAATACCTCTTTCATCATCTTGTGCCTCATCTCCAGCTCGTCTTGACCCCCTTCCGGCTGTCTCTGGCCTGTGGCAGGCCTCAGGGGCGGACGTGGAGGGGGCCGGCTTCCTCGAGTTACCTCACTCGACAGCCGTCCTCAACGCATCCTCATCGCCTCTGCCATTATCGGCAGAGCTTCCAGCACCAGTAAGTCATCTTCCTTCATCTCCTCGCCGTGTCTGGACGTCGCTGCCGCCCTCTTCTGAGGCCAGGGGCGTCCTGGCTGTAGAGAGGCAGCAGCGGCGACCTCAGCCCCATCCACCCCAGGGCGGCAATGTCTGCCCTCGCCGTCTAACCACCTCACCACCTCACCACCTCTTCAAACATCGTCTAACAGGTGCAGATGCATCACGGCTTCGACATTGGGCAACGGCTCGATGACTCTCCTCACCTGCCGACCGGTCTTGGCGGCAATCCTTGGAGTCCAAGCAGTGGCTGGCTCGAGACGATTCTCAACACCACACACCACGGCAGCAGTATTGGTGAGTGCTCTCCCCTTCTCACTGCTTCGATTCATAGGCTGACAGTTGGCAGATCTGTAATGACTCGTTCCTGGATGGCTTCTTGATCGCCTGAGCTGTGTGGCGGTGCCCACGACGTCGACCCTCGGCAGCACTCGAGTGCCTTCGGCAACTGTTTCGATCATGATACCCCTTGCTCTGGGAATAGGGAAGTATACCCCTTCAGAACAACTCCTGGTCTGGCCGTGTCGGGCTGGGGCCCGATGCCTGGCCGGTCGTGATGCCTGGCCAGGCGTCCTCAACACCAAGTCCCTCATCGTGGATGCTCAGTACGATGCCTGGTCTGACTCCTCGGGCCGGGCGTCTTCGGCATCATCCTTCGGATGCCGGAGCTCAGTACGACGCCTGGTCTGGCCGTGCAGGGCCGGGCGTCAACAAAAAGTAGTACAGCCTTGGAGAACCCTCGGGCTTCGCTGACCCTGCCTGAGGACATGGTGGTCATGATACCCAGGAAGTGGGCAGGCGGCCTTCCTATGGCGGGCCGTGCTTTCATGTCGCGGGACGCGCAGGTCAGCGAACTTCGACAATACAGTCGCGGGCTTCCTCGAACAACCGCTTCAGCTTGGTCCAGTTTTGCAACAACTCTTGATCTTGGTAAGCTCCAACTTCTTGCATTTTCGCCATCTCGTACTGATCAATCTTGGTTTGCAGTCTTTGACTTTCGACCTCATCCCCATTTCCTCTCCGGTCGAGCCGCCTCGACGAATCTCGTTCGATCTTCCTAGCCTCTTCGATGAAATACATACTCAGTGTGCAGAGCTGTCCTGGAAATGTCTTGCTGCGTCCCTGCAGTGGCGGTTGCGAATGGCCCCGTGGGCGTTTGCTGGTATGAAAGGCTCCCCAACACTGCCGTGCTTTCGACACCCAGGTCGCGGATATGGGCTTTGGTCATCCATGGCCAAGGTCATGGTGGAGTATGTGTTTTCCTTTTCAGCATTCTCGTCTGATCCTGGGTCGGCGAGGTCTTTTCGTTGGCGCCTCTCCCGTTCACCATGGACCCACGGACTTCGCAATGAACTCGGATACTTGCGGGCTTGTTCGTCACCATCGGACTTCTGTTCTCATCCAGTACTGCTTGGATCCTTGGAGCTCTGTGGCAAGTCAGCTACTACCCTTGGATATGTTTCGGATGACACCAGTTGTCACCGCCTTCGATCTTTCACTAATTCGCAATACTCATCCTGTCTCACAGCTCGGCGTGCTTCATGTTGTGTCTACCATTGAACGGTCCCGTGGTTTGTCGCCCAGGTAGGCAAGGTTTGTGTCAGTTGGATATTCTTTCATCATGTCTTCTGGGTCACGTACCTCTCTTTGCTCTTTGCAATACTCCATCTCCTCGATTCGCGTCTGTTTGCTTCACGGTCGAGCATGCTCCCACTTCAGTCACGTTTCCCGAGTCACGTGAGTTCTGTCCGCTCCCGACTTCTCAATCCCGTACTCCTTTCGGCAAATCTTCTTCGTCGAGTCTTTGCTACATGTCGCTTTCCAGAAACAGTGAGTGTCTATCGTACTGTGCGTCGTCGTTGAATCATTCTCTGCAGCTAGACCAGGTGAGTGCTTCTTGAGAGTCTTTCCGGCGTCAACCAATCTTTCTTGCTCCTTGCTCTTCGCTCTCATTGAGGTCGCCTTCATATAAGAACGGTGAGCATCTCATACGTCTGCTGGGCATAGTCCCTTGTCGCTCCTTTTATCCACGTCGCATCTTCTGCTTAGCATGGTGAGCGTCTCCTTTGTCTCCAGATTGACCGATGGTCAACTCTCGTACTGCTTACATCCATCTCGGATATGGCAAGCATCTGGTGTGTATCCTGGGCTTCGTCCTTGGTCTCCTTTTGATACTATCGCCGCATCTTTCTTGTGCAGTCGCTTTTTCCTTCGATACAGTAAGCATCTCCTATGTCCTCGGGGTGTTGGCCTAGTTGCCTTCCCACAGTCTCAAATTTCTTCAACAAGGTAACCAATTCCTTATATCTTTTGGATAAGGCTCATGTTTCATTCTCGTATCACCGTCGGATCTTCCTGGAAAAAGGTGAGGGTCTCGTACGTTTCTTCAATGTCGCATCTTTCTTGAGCAAGGTTAGTGTCTCATGTTTCTCAGAAATCGACCTATCAAACGTGTCCGCATTCAAGGTAGGCGCTTGAACGCCATTCTGGCTTAGCCATCGCATCATCTCCCTAGTCTTCCGTTATGTCTGCTTTCTTCGACCTGGCCCATGCTGAGCCGGTAAGCTTCTCCAATCTCGTATGTCTTCTGGGCATCGGCCCATGTCACATGTTAGCCTCGCTATTGCGCTTCACGTTTTGGGTCTGGACTTTCCTTCGTTTTCTGCTCATCCGAATACCAAGATTGTGAGTTCTCCTTTCTCCGCTCCGGCTTTCCGTCATTTTGAAGTCTCATTTCTCAAGTCACGTGCTCGCTCGAAGGTGGGGTTTCCGCTCTCAAGTGCCATCTCTGCGTTAGTTGGATATTTCATGTCTGTAGTCAGTCATCTGGAACCTCTGGGTAGGGCATCTCTTTTGACTCACCGGCCTGTGCCATTACTGTTCTCGTTTTTCAGTCACTCTCGTTCCCACAAAGGTAGGATCTCCAAGTCCTAGTGCGATCTCTGCATGTCATTCTTCGCAGTCAGCCAAATTTCGGTCCTCAAGTTCAGTATACCTGGTGAGTGGTCTCCTTGGTCCCGCTGGCCTCTGCCATTGCTGCCGTCGTGATTCAGATTCATTCATGAGCAGGTAGGATTTTCGCATTTGGGTGCGCTTCCTGAAGTTTCCTTCTCCGCAATCCGTCCATTTCGAACTCCAGGTAGGCACTCTCCTTGGTATGGTTGGTCTTGGCCGTTATTGCCGGCACTCATCAGCTGCGTCTTCGCTTATGAGGTAGGGTCTCGAGTTGGAGAAGCGATCTCTGCATTTTCTACCGTCAGCGAAGCCTCGTTTCTCAAGTTTTCTGTGCTTGGTATGTGCTCTCCGTCATCTCAGCTGCCTTTGCAACTACTCTCTTCGCGCTTCAGTTAATTCGTCGCTCCACAGGTAGGGTTTACATGCTTGGTCTTTTTTGTCGTTCGCTTATGAGGTAGGGTCTCAAGTTGGATGGCGATCTCTACGTTTCTACCGTCAGCGAAGCCTCGTTTCCCAAGTTTCGTATACCTGGTATGTGCTCTCCTTCATCTCACCCCCCTCCACAACTGTTTCGTTCGCGCTTCAGCCAACTCGTCGCTCCACAGGTAGGGTTTCCATGATCTTCTCCACCGAGCCGATCGTTTCGCTATCAACTCTTCGCGCCGCAGGTAGGCTTTCCGTGTTGGATATCAATCTCCGCGCTCTCCGCTTCTGCGCCCAGTTCAGCTTCTTCTCCAAGTTCCGCATACCTGGCGAGTGATCTCGTTTGCCCGTCGGGCTTTGCCCTTGCATATCTGTCTTGCTTTCAGCATCTGTTCTTGCGGGCCCTACTTTCATCGCTCCATTCGCTTCTTCGTCGATTTCTCTGAATGGTAGGCAATTCCCTATGTCCCCAGCAGACGTCAACTGCCTTGTCCTTGTGTTGAAGCCAGCGAGACCTCTTGGCACTTGGTATGTGATCTCCTATGTCTCGTTACCTTCTGTTCTTGCATTGATTGGTTCTCTTCTTCAAGGCTCAAGTTTCAACCCAAGGTAATCTCTTCGTGTCAGGCTTCTTCTTTGCGTTGTGCTTGCGTACCAGTCAATTCGCCTTTTGGCACTCGGTGGGTAATCTCTTCTGTCTCAAGGGCGCCGCCCCTTCGTGATTTCGTAGCTTTATTAGTCTCTCATGAACGGTAGAAAATTTTCTATGTCCACGGCCATGCTTGCCAAGTCAGCGATGCCCGACTGGCCCTTCGAAATTGGTTCCACTCATCTCTGCGAATGCATGCTGCCCGCGTTTCACTCAAGCTGTTCTCAGCTACGGTAGGCTTTCATCAAATGTGTGCTGTCCCCTCTTAGTTATTTCCTCAAGACTTTCTCAGCTAACGGTAGGCTCATCTTCTTGGAAATTTTGGAACTCCGCATTTACTAGGCTCGGCAATGCGGACTTGTAAGCTCCTTCTTCCATCAAGGTTTGGACCTATCTCCTCGTCGCTCCAAAATTTTCTCAGCTAACGGTAGGTGCGTATCCATGGTTTTCTACATTCATTGTGTCCGGCGATGCCGAGTCAGCAGTCTTTTTTCCCAAAAGGTTTGATCCCCAACCCTCGCACTGGTACGCTCACTCTCTTCTTGAATCTGCAATCATTCTTTGCAGGTAGTTGGATATCGATCAAACTCTCAATTTTTCTTCGATGTTCACATTTCCGCCCAACGGTAGGTGGATCCAACCTCGATCTCCTATGTCCGTGGCTATGCCGAGTCAGCTTTCGTCTTATCATGCCGTTGGGTTCACTTCCTACTATCAATAGTAAGTCAGCAGTCCTCGTTTTTTATCCAAGATTTGTACTCACCCACTTTCTACTCTTCAAAATGTCTTCAAGGTATGTGCATCTCGATACAAGCCTCAGCTCTCGCACGTCTTGGCCGATCTTCAATTCCATCACAACGGTGAGTGAATCATGCTCGAATCTCCTATGGCCGCGGCAATGCCGAGTCAGCTCTCATCCTCTTTCTCAGGTTTGGCACACCGTACCTCTCACTTTCAGGTTGTCTTTCAGATACGCGTCGTCATCCCACTCGGAGTCTTTGAAAGGTATGTTGATCTTGGTGGTTGGCGCAAATTTCCTATGTCTAGGGCAATGCCAACGTCAGCGGTTTCCACTTCTTTTCTTTTTCAAGGTTTGGTGCAGCTTCCCTTCATTGCCCACGCCGATCCGACTTGTCCCCTTCGAAGGTTTGATCTTCTCATTCATCTCGCAGTCTTTTTCCAGCATCGCCTTGGCTCGTCAGTGATTTTGGAACGGTAAGTGCTCCTCAGTTTCATTGCTGCTGTGTTGGATATGGAGCCTCATCTCTCAATTTTCAAGAAGGTAGGCAGTCTCGAACCTGTATTCAGTTCTCTCGTCTCGCCTTTTCTATCTCCAAGTCCGTCGAACCCTGCTTTCTGCTGCCCAAGGTAGGTGCTTCTGCTTTCAGGCTGGTCTTTCTCACATCCTCTCTTCGCTATCGGTAAGCTATTTCAGAGTTGCGTTTATCGTCGCCGCTTAGGTAAAGATCCTTCAATCTCTTTCTACCTCATCTTCGTCATCCAGTAAATGTCCTGTACTTTGCATCCTGCTGTCAGCGCGTCAACTTCCATTCAACAACGGTAGGACTTTCCTATGTTCAACGTACTTTCGGGGCATCGGCTCGTTTTTGGCATTTCGATTTCTGCTGCAGCTTTGGTGGACTCGGGATTTCCTCGAGGTAGGTGTTCGTGCTTCCAAGCCAGCTTCCAAGTCCGCTTCCAAGTCAGCCTCCAATTCATCAAATCTTTCAGAAAGGTAGGCAATTTACTGGTTTCCTCGTCTTAACTTGATTCCTCTCCTTCCATTTCGATTCCAGATCAGTCTACATAGTCAAGTCAGCAGTCACTCGGGGCAAGGTGTCGCGATTTCTACTCAGCTTCCAGTCGTTTTTCCTGCGATCTCCTATTGCTTGAAACCTTTTCTCTTCCACTGATGGGTGGGCGGGAGGCGCGCATGTTAGTCCCGGTAGGTTCTTCTCTTGCGATAGCGTTTCTAATCTTGTCATGAATCTGGAACTCCAGTCAGTGATTGCTAGAGGTGAGTGCTTCAGGTCAAAGCTTGCGCCTATCACTCAGCTTTCAATTCTGCCTTATGTGATATCCTTTGATTTCAGCACCTTTCAGTTCACCCCCGAAGAAAGGGAGTAGGGAGGCTCCAGGTAAGCCTCCTCTTGCAATTTCCTTGTGTATCTTCCTTTGAGTCTTCAAGTCAAGTCAGCCAATACCCAGGTGGGTCTCTCCGCTTTTGCTTAGCTTTCATTCACGTCTTTCCAGATGTTCTGAAGTCAACGTCTATGTTTCCCTGATGGGTGGGTGGGGGATGAACAGGTACGACGCATGCAAGCATTCTTTTCGCATTGTTGCTGGCGATGCCGGTTTGGGCCTGCAATGCAGATCAGCTCATGTCCAGGTAGGCTTCTCCGGTCATACTCAGCTCTTCGCTCGTCACATTTCCTTGAACGGTAGGTTTCTCGATCCCACGACCCTGTCAGACACATCCTAGCTAGATAAGCCTCCAATCTCCCAGCAATCTTCCCTACGTTAGAGTTCTTTTCTCGCTATTGATGGGCGGCTCGGGTGCATACTGTAGGTCATTTCTCATATCAGCTTCGCGCCTGTCATAAAGATTTTTGGATTCCACGCCACTCCATGTGTTAAGTCCGCAATGCTTAAGGTAGGCATTTCGACTTCGGAGTCAGCTTGTCGCATATCATTTTCATCTTGCGAAGGTGGGTGTCTCATACTCAACTCCTCATCGGGTTTATCCCAGCCATATTCATGTTCGATTCCTCGACAGTCTTTCCTGTCCTCAAGTTCCTTTTCAATAATGATGGATGGGAGGAATTCCACTGGTAAGTCATTTCGTAAAGTTGCCGTTTTCCGCTCGCGCTCGTCTGCTCAATTTTCTTGTAAAGGTAAATGGTTTTGGCGCAATTCTCCTTGGGGCTTTCATTGTCTAGACCAGTCTGCGATTTCAGTTAGTATCTCGTTCAATCAGGTTGGTATCCACAATTTCCACTCAGCTCTCAAATGGTGTCTTTTTCTCCAATGACGGGTAGGCCGTTTCGAGCAGTTGGCGGTTTTCATTCCTCCTCAAACGATCAATTTCCTTGCAGCGGTAGGACCTTTTTTGTAATTCACGTTTTGAACTGAGCTGCTTGGAGTGTCGCTTTTTTTTTTTTTTTGAGTCGTAGGTGTTTTCCGGTAGCTCTGGTTGCAATCTTCAAGTCGTTTTTCATGTTCATCCGCAATCCGTCAGCTTCTGTCCTTGTCGAAGTCCATAGCAGTAGGTGCAGTTTCACTCACCAAGGTAAGGGTATCGCTCATCTCCGCACTTGAATCATCCCACGGCATCTAGGTTTCCGCTCCCAAATCCCCTCCAGGTCTCTCAATCAGCCTCGCTTGGTAAGGCGAGGAGTTTCCATTATTTCCTCGTTGCTAACGCTCAATACTGTCATTATCGCTCACGTTTTGGAAGTTTGTTCAGGGTTGGCGCTCTCTTCGGCGGCCCTTTGCGGAGCTAGTAAGTGCGTCGGGGCTCGTCAGGCAGTGGCATGGCCTTGCGAAGGGTAGGCGGAGTTCGGCGTGGGTGGGATGGGAGGAGGCTGGTAAGCAAGCAGGAGGGTAAGAGGTAGATATTCCATTTGTTTCGATGCGAGTGGGTCGTGGCTTCTCGAGGTTCTTCGTTTCTGGCTCCGATGGAGTATTTTGGTGTCAGCAACAGTTCATTTCACATAGCGCTTTTCATGGGATGCTTACTTCTCGGCGTTTCTCATAATGTATTGGTCTGTTCCTGCGTGCTTGGCTGCCATGGAGTGTTTCTGGTTCGTAAGCAGCATCCTCTGCGTGTTGACATCTTGGTCTGCTCATCGCTCTCTGTCCTTTGGCACCGTCGGGGTAATGATCGCTGGGAAGGGCGTCAAAAGAGCGAGAAGGAGCAGACACCATGAAGCAGAGGGATCAAGCAGCATCAAGCAGAGCAATCAACGCGCACAAAGACCTAGCAGCAGGCAAGTTGGCAGCAAACATTCCGAATATCGCATTGCTAACGAATTCAGTTCCTGTGCCAATTCCTTACCCGCACCCGACCCAACCTGGAAGCACACATGTCAGCAAGGCGGAAGACTGAGGTCTCGGTGGAACTTACCCTCAAACACGACTTTCCCCGCAGCTCTCTTCGGCTAACATCGACAATCTTCACAAACGGCATGTTGTTTCCTTCTTCATGGTCGCCCAACGACTCCTCAGGCACGACTTTCCCCGCTCGCTTTTCCGGCCAATATCGACCATCTTCACAAACGGCATGTTGTTTTCTTCCTTATCATCACCCGGTGACTCCGACGAATGTGCCTCCGCTAGTGGCCTCGGCGATGCTTCTGGCGCAGGACGTGTCGCTGAGGGCATCTCCAACGCCGTCTTTGGTGACGACGGGCACATCTATTTCCAGCACAGGACATGTCGCTGAGGGCAGCTCGAACGCCCTCCTCGGCGATGACAGGCGCGTTTTCTCCCGGCGCCAGCCGTGTCGCTGGGGGCATCTCCGACGCCGTCCTTGGCGATGATAGGCACGTGTCCTTCCACTGGTTCTGGAATACAAGCCCGTTCCACCTGGGCATGATCTTGCTTGTCGGGCAGCGGGCTCGATATTGCTCCTGGTGCGGGACGTGTCGCTGAGGGCAGTTCCAACGCCGTCTTTGGCGATGACGGGCAAGATGGCCTTCCACCAGTTCTGGAGGGTGAGCTCGTTCCGGGAGTGATATTGCCGGCGGAGAAGCTGGATTCACACTGACAAAAAGGGACAGTCGTGGGCACGCGGTTGAGCGCGTCCTTCTCTGGCTCTGGAAGACAAGCTCGTTCCGCAGGAAAATGATATTGCTGATCGGGCAGCGGGCTCGACATGGCTCATGATGCGGGACGTATCGCTGAGAGCATCTCCGCCGTCTTTGGCGATGACGAGCTCATTCCTTCCTGGCGTGGAAGTATCGCTGAATGCAGCTCCAACGCCATCCTTGGCGATGACAGACACATGTCCTTCCGCTGGTTTGGAGGACGGGCTCGTTCCACGGGAATGTTACTGATCGGGCATCCGGAGTCGCACTGACAGAAGGGAACAATCATGAACAAGCGGTTGAGCGCATCCTTCCCTGGCTCGGAAGACGAGCTCGCTCCCCAGGGGCATGACGTTGCTGATCGGGCAACCAGAGTCAGACTGGCAGGAGGGGACACCACATGCATCGCACGGTTTGAGACTTGAGTTCGTCGTCATTCAGGCGCGTCGACAGCTCGTTCTAGTCGCGCGTTCGCGTCTTGGAGTTGCGATACTTCTCGGAGCGTCGCTGGTACTTCATAAAGGAAAGTTTCGGCGGGTGCCTGCGGCGGCGCTTCATGAAGCCCTTGGTCTTTTCAAGCACCAAGACCGACGGCCCGAGTTCTTCTTGTCCCCCTTTGCGTCGCTAACGCTCTCCTCGGTGTCCAAAAGGTCAGCCTTCTTTTTTCCTTCGCTCTCTGCTCAGCCGTCTTCGACTTCTCACGAGCCCGCCGGACCGGAGTTGCCGAGAGCGGTTCCTGGTCCCATGAGTTTGAGGAGGCACGGCGAGGATCGCACCTTGTGCGGAAGCTGATGATTGGGGAGAGGGAGTCGTCTAGAGCGTGTGCTGTCAGCCATAGAGTCGCCGAACGTGGATGTGGTTGATGCAGTACCTGTTGCTGCGGGTTGCCGCGAGGAGGAGAGTCGGTGGCGGAGGCGACCACCAAACATCTTTCTCAACAACTCCGCCTGCGATCGGCCTTGCCCCCCGCTATCCCTCGTCGGAAAGATCCTCATCAGGAACACTCTTCCAGAAGCCTCCCAGCCATTGGCAGCGTTCTTCCTACCCCGTCAAGAGATAATGAGCGATTAACCGCGCCTGCAGTCACCCGCCGCAAAGACTCCCGAGATGCTTGTGCTGCACTTGCGGGGCCGCGAGGTTGTAACGGAACTAGAGGCGGTCTCCCGGTAGGTTGTGAAGCAGCCTCCCAATCGGGTCGATTTGCGATAGCTCGTGGAGCGGGCGATCTTTCGCAGGAGACGTTCGCGCGGCGGTCAGGACGTTCCAAGGCATCTTCGTGCCTGGGCCCGATATCGAAGGTAAGGAGGGATGCAGGCGAGAGCCAGAAGGGGTTGAAAGACACATGTCTCCAGGCGCAGCGGATGCAGAGGATGGGCCATCCAATTGCAGTCTAACCTTGCGTTCGCCGTTTAACTTGTCGGGCTTCACAAACAACACCATGTAGTTCACACAGCAGCGGATCGATTGCAATTCAACCATTCGTTCGCCGGCTAGCTTATCCACCTTCGCAAATGCTATGTAGTCCGCACAGCGGCGACAACAACTGATTGCAGTTCAACCTTGCGTTCCCCGGTTAGCTTGTCGACCTTTACAAATGCCGTATAGTCCACACAGCAGCGGACATGTCGATTGCAGTTCAACCTTGCGTTCTCCGGTTAGCTTGACGCAAGCACCCTCGCACGAAGCAGCTCCGAGGCTACTCCGTGCGAGGGATGCTTGCGTCCACCCATCTCAGAGAGGTCGGCCTTGGTCCGTGATCTCAGAAATGTCGACGCCCATCTCTTCTGCCACAATCCGTCTTGCCAGGCTAGGGGCGTCTCTAGCTTGCGGTTGACTTCAGCGAGCTGTGGGGGTTTCGGCTTTGGGGTAGGCTTGGCTTGAACCTTGGTTTCGACCTCAACCTTAGCGACTGGCTTGGGGCGCATGCCGAGTTCGTTCTCAACAACTTCGATGCACGCGTTCGTGACCAGGAAAGTAGAGGGCAAGTCAATGCCAGTCTGTTCTCGAAGAGAGCTCAGAATGGTCAGATACATGAGCCGATCTGACCATTCTGAGCTCTCTTTCACCCATCTCAGAGAGGTCGGCCACAACCATCGGCCAAATCTCTGCATCGCGAGCGAAGATCGTCTGGGTTTGGGCGTACACCATCTGTGCGTCAGATGGCGAAGATTTTGAGAGCCGTCGAGTTGAGCATCGGTTTGCGCTCATGGCGAAGACTTTGGGATCCCTCGAGTTGAGCCTCGGATCGGGCTCATACTCCATCAGAGCATTGAAAGAAGTCGTGAAGCGAGAAAGACGCCAGCTGGGAGTTCCACCGAGCTTGCCAGTACCGAGAAGACCTATCTGAGGGAAGAAGACGTAGAGACGGGCTAGTGGAGGATCGAGTCTGACTGGACAGGGTGAAGTCTTTGGATCGCAGCAGAAGATCCGAAACGCTCAGGTCCAGCGGCGGGGGCATATCCGCTGCACATCAAAAGGCACCGGGCCGGAGCGTTTGATCTCTGTGACGGCCAGCGTGTCGTACCCGATGACAATGAGAACGGCGGCGACGCTCATGCTAAGCGGAGAGAGCCCACGGTTTCCGCATCAAACAGCACCAGGCAGACGGACGAGTTGATCTCTGTGACGGCCAGCGTGTCGTTTTCGTTGACAATAGGCACAACGTTCGTCTTCAAGGAGCTCAGGCAGGACCAAGCTCGCTGCGGACATCCAAGATGCTCAAGCCATCAAGGAGGCAAACAGCAGGCGCTTCACTATCAATTTCGTTAGCTTCCACAAGGTGAGGTGTTTGAGACTGCTTACCTTTCCAGGCTGCTTCGAACGGAGGCAATCCAACAACAAACTCGCTCCGGAAGAAGACCGAATCGCGACGATAGGTAGGAAATGTCGAAATTCTTCGGTCGCTCAAGCTTCAGCTTCAAATCAGCAAGTGTTCGTAAATGTGACAGTCGGAGATGACTTACCTTCTCAGATCACTTCAGACAGGCAAAGTGAACCGCAAAACCGCCCGAGGAGAAAACTGAATCGAAAGGCCGGGAGGGAGAAATCCAGCTGCTTCGGTTCGTGGAGATAGTGCTAGTCGCGAGTACATCACTCACTTCCGCTCGGCAGGTGCCCGAGGGCTAGAAGGGGGACAGGATTTCATTGACGCTGATACTACGAAAGAGCCGAGCCACACACCCATACACCCCACACCCAACCCAAAGAATCCGCGCGTTCGAGGGTGCTGGTATTTCGGTTGGGTTCTCGCCGTAGTACCTAAACAGTTAGCCAAGCTCTCGACCATTCATGTGACAAACGTACGTGATGTAGTGCGCAACCTGTGCTAGTGCCACCATGCAGCTCTCCAGTTGCGGGATTCCGAGCTCCTTTGCAAAGTAGGCTTCGACGAGATCCGACACTCGGAGAAAATCCGGAATCTCTGCTCGTTGGATCCTGGGAAGTTTCTCTATCTCGTCCCGGAGGACTCCGTTGACGCGCTCCAAGAAGTGGCAAGAAGTGCATAGTCCTTCCGTAGAGAGATCTACCGCAGAAGCGGGTACTGGTCGGCCGTCTGATCTCCAGAGATGAGGGTGTTCATCTTGTCGTAGCTAATCGTCACACGACGAGCCGAGCCGACCCCCGCACCCCGTCGCTCCAAGAAAGTGGCAAGAAGTGCATTGTCCTTCCGTAGAAAGACCTTCCGCAAAAGCGGGTACTGGTCGGCCGTCTGATCTCCAAGGATGCGGGCGTCGCAAAGGCGCTGCGCCAGGCGAAGAAACATCAAACGGATAGATGCGCGGTCTGGCATGCCCTCCATACGCATCTACCCGGTTGAGGTTCCTTCGCCTGACGCAGCGCCATATCCGCCAAGACCACGACCCTTCTTCGCGCCGCGGTAGATGGTCTCGATGATGTCGGTCAGTTCCTGCTTGTCTTCGAGAACCCAGTTGAGCTTGTTGTTGTTGCCGGTGCCGAAATCTGGACGCAAGCACCCTCGCACGAAGCAACTCCAAGGCTACTCCGTGCGAGGGATGCTTGCGTTCACCCATCTCAGAGAGGTCGGCCTGGTTGGTGATCTCAGAAATGTCGACACTGGCTGGACGACTGGCTGAAGGATGACTTGCTGAAGAACGACTGGATGAAGGACGACCGGCTGGAGGACGACTAGCTCTCTAGACAATGCCGGTGCGTCTCTGTTGGCGACGCGGGATCGACTCTGAGCGGCAACGGCGAGACTGCTGGGCTTCTGGAAGGTGACTGGGGGTGGGGACAATCTGGTGCTGGCTTGTCTCGGGATCGTGAGGGAGTCGGAGCAGCGTGGGAGGCGGGCTGCGGCAAATCATGAAGCTTGGGGATGTCGGGCCTAGTCGCTCGAAGGGCTTTGAGACCTGTCAAGATATCCCGCTCGTCAGCATGATTACGGAGTCGTTGCGCTGTCAGGCGGAGCAGAGGGTGGTGAAGACTTACAGACATGTCGCCGAACATCCTCCTGCGAGGACGAGAGTCTGGCGTCGGCAGTGAGACGACGGCTGGAATGGTCAAGTGAGGAGCAAGCAGTGAGCAAGAAGGCTGCAGAGCAGCTGTTCCTACTCGCTCTCACTATGTAGTAGGAGAGTGGCAGAAGGTCTTTTTCTGTTCGAAGCTTTGGGCTGTCGTCCAGCGGCTCGATGGACGTTGAGGACTGTTAAGACGCCTCGCTCGTCAGCACAGTTACGCAGCCATCTCGGAGAGTCTGGAGAGTGGTGTAGACCTTACAGACAGGTCGTCGAAGCTCCTTCTGCGAGGATGAGGAACTGTCGTTGCCTGCGAGCCCTGGAGGTGGTGGACAACCAGGACGTCGGGGCCAACACGGTAGCGAGGATGGGCTCCAGCGAGCATCAGGCAACGAGCAAGAAGGCAGCGGAGCAACTTATCCTGCTTGATCTCGCCGTGCAGCAAGATGGTGGCAGGAGGTCTTTCTATGTGCGAAGTTTGCCGTCGCCCAGCAGCTCGATGAGCGAAGGCTGTGAAAACGCGTGTCTCGTCAGCACGATTGAGCAGCAGTTGTGGGACAAGCCAGAGAGTGAAGTAGACTTACAGGCTGGTTGAAAGGCTCTCTCTTGCGAGGATGAGTGCCTGGAGGAGGCGGCTAGGCGGCAGACAGCCAGACGGCGGCCAGGAGGGCTCCAGCGAGTTCCAGGTAACGAGCAAGGAGACGGCAAGAAGCAGCCGACCTGTAGCTCACTTTGAGAGGGCTGCGGGACGATGTGGTGATGGGGGGTGATGAAGAGTGAGATGAGAGTGAGGTGAGAGTGTGGTGTTGAGGAGAGGAAGTGAGGCAGCTCGCGAGGGGCAGTTGATGTCAGGCGAGGACTTCGTCGCCCACAAAGGTAGCAGCGACGAAGCGGCCCACAACACGCGTCAGCAGCTTCAAGGAGGCATCGGCATGCACAATTAGTAGGTCACTGAGAGTCTATATGGCAGCGGCGAGCTCTGTGCAGAAGTGAAGGGGTGAGGGGAGCCTCCGGCTGCACGGCATATGGCGTTGGCAGCATCGATGTAGGCGCAGTCCATTACCTTGAGAGCGTTTGCACCATGTTTCAGGCAAGTAGATGCCTTCAGAAAGCTTGGAAAGTCATGTATGTTTGTTACGAAGCCTTTGTTTGATATTGCTTGCACCATGAACCCGCACCCAGGACCCCTCTCCTAGTATAGCTACGCACCTCGCCCCTTCGCAATGTGTATATGTCTTCCCCGAGCATGCAGCATCGAGCTTCCAAGCTGCCCCTTGCCGCTGCTTGCCATTGCCGCCCTGAGTTGCTGTGCTGAGCCGTCGTCGCTGTTATGAGGCCCTACCCCCTTCCCACGCCCTGGTCGGTATGCCATCGCGACAGGCGTCATCGTTGGGAGGCGTGCCTGCAGACTGTAGTGCCATCCAGGGGGCATAAAGGAGATAGGAACAACCAGATGTGATGTCGATACAAGCTTCAGGCGGCTGCGAGGCGAGCCGTGGTACTGCAGGCGCCGGTGCGCTGTTAGGGGCGGCAGTGGAGCCGTGCTTCGATTTCGTTTTAGCGGGGAGGTAGCGAGATCAGAGTATCGAATCTGCAGCCAGTATAGAATGCAGACGATGAGTATTAGGAGTGCATTTGGGGGTGGATGCTGTAGAAGGGCAGCATTGCGCGCCCCGTCTGATGCCAAGGCCGCGGTTTTGATATCTCCATCTCCCCTCTCCCACTGCTCCTCCACAACCTCCACAACCATCACCGAGCTCTGAAGCAGCACCCACCAGCTACCCAGCATGGCAATGTCCTCGTCCTCCGGCCACGAGCACGCCGCTCAAAATCCCCTTGATCGTGGACCCTCCTCGTCGCCATCCGACAAGCCCGCAACGCCCGACGCACACCATTGCGGATTCCAGTGGAGGCATTGCCATGGTAAGGCACCGAAGGGGTTTCATATCCCTTCAACGACAGGCTATTCAGGCTAACCCTTCTACTTCCAGGGACCGTTTCCTCCTCTCCGGTCTCCCTCTAACTGTACCGCGGCGCCAACGCACTCGACACTACGACCAGCTTGTCGCCCTCCCGCTCCATCAGCCCGATAAAAACCCGTGCTTTCCTCAGCATCACGAAGGAGCCGCCCTGGCTACGTCCCTCCTACTGCACCTAAGCTATCTGCGACCGCCCCGACTACGTCCCTCCCACTGCACCCAAGCTGTGTGCGACCGCCCGGACGTTCAACCTTCCATCGGGACCGGCTGCGCTGAAGAACAAGGACGTCCCTATTCCTGGACTGTCGTCAATGGGAGGGCCTCGAAAACGCGCGTACCGGCGCTGGGCGAAGCAGTGAGCGGCCGAGCTAGACCGCCTATCCCGAGAACCGAACTCGCGCCATAATATTGAGACACGGGTGAAGAAACTCGAGGGCAGCGAGCGCTTCTTCCCTGTGGAGCTCGTCCTACTATCCATGGGCTTTTTGGGCCCGGAGGAGCTGGTTCTGGGCGACATTGAGAAAGATGCACGCTCCAACATCAAGACCCCGCCTAGCAAGTACAGCACAAGCCTTCCGGGAGACTTTACTGCGGGATATTGCCGTCGCGGCCAGTCTCTAGCTGTCTGGTAAGTCGCACAAGAGTCTTAGCTTTATTGCTTTTACTGACAGATGGCACGTAAAGGCATCAATGAGGGCCGCCAGTGCGCACGCGAGGTGGATTCGTTCCTGACGGCAGTGGGCTCTATGCTGCCGGTTACCGGAGGCATCGTGAAGAGTGTTCCTTATGTGGCTCTTTCTGACGAGAAGGTGGTTTGAGGAGGGGTTGTATGGAGCTTTCCGGCCCAACGTGTAGCTGACTCCCAACATGAAAAAGTCACAGGGTGAGGCTCTGCGGGCCAGCCAGGGCCTGGCGTAGGTGGGGATAGGGGCCTCGGCATATGTAAGATCAATCAAAAAGCATGCTTTCTGTTAGTCGGTCTCGAATCGTCCGGTAACTCACGCAATATTCCACGCTTTGTTGCTTTTACTAGCACGTGACCCGCAGGGGTATTAGCGATGTAGTGATGAAACTGGACTGGACTGGATTTGGCCTCAACTCTGTTCTATCTATAAAAATCGCTGTGGAGCACCATATGTCACGTGACGTCCATATCGGGTATAAAGCCCTTTAGTAAGCAAAATTTACTAAGAGATCTGGTTACGTTTTGCCAATCTACTGGATTTCCAGAAAACTATATGGAGCTCCAGACCTTTCAAGGGTGCCTCCATCCGACTCCAGTCCAAATCGCTCCATTCCAGTTCCATCACTGCGCACGCGAGGTCGATTCTTTCTTGACCGGAATGGGTGGCCGCCCATCATAGCAGACACCGCTACCTTCCTTATGCTCTTTGCTAGCAACTCCGAATCGCTCGCACCAGAACCTCAGCAACGCAACGCCATGGTGGATCACCCCAAGCGAGAAGCGCGCAAACTGCGGTGCCATATCGATGAGGTCTCGAAGGGTCGTGGCTCTGCATCTCCCAAGCCTTGAACCCCAAAACCAGCTCCCGCGATCAAGCAGACAAGGAGAAGAGAGCGCCTGCAAAGGTAGACTCAGCCGGTATCCTATTCTTACACGACAAGCCGCTAAGTGTATTCAAGGGCATTCAGCACCTCTGAAATTCCCTCGCTCTTCTACTCCATTGCTGGCAACTCCGACTCGCCCACGCCAGAACCTCAGCATCGCGACGTCATGGAGGATCGCCCCGAACGCGGAACACGCAAGCCGCAGCGATATATCGAAGAGGTTTCGAAGGACCGTGGCTGGCATATGTTCGGTGCGGACGGATTGAAACCAAAGCGTCCTCCGATTACCATCAAAAGTAAACGCAATCCTCGTCATTTGTTTCTTGTTTGAGATCTTGCTGATGCGAGTAGGGGCATGCAAGAAAAGGACTGGTGCTGGCGGTGGAGCGCAAAGGAGAGAAGCCGGTTGAGGATCTCTGGTATCTTCTGGCGCCATTGGCGTTGGACTTTGAAGAATGAATCTTGACTGTAGACCCAACACCTCTCCAAGGTTGGTCGGTTATTATGAGTCCGTTCTACTCTCACCCTTCAGCACGGTCGAACTTTGGTTTGGATAGGTTGCCTAGTTTGTTGCAAGTAAAGGATGTTCGGGCGAGGCGGTCAGGTGATTATACAATATCATAACTTTTGCATTTGCTTGGGGTACCCGTATAGGCTTTCACAACTCCAACTGCAAAGTAAGGCTCGACGCAATGAATTCAGGGATACTGTTTGACTAAATCGAGACATCTGCACTGGGGCACCCTTTACAATAGTGTCCAGCGAGCAAGAGTAGGAACTAATCAAAGAGATGTCCATGTCCCGAGAATTATGCCCTCCTTCTAATCTAAACTCCATACCGTGTCTTCTCAATTACAAGAGGAGGACATTGCACATACCGACATGAAGTCCAAGAAATGTGCGAAAATAGGGGTGTGAATGATTTCTGTAATGATTGCAGGTACCATCATCCATTTGACACAACCGCATAGGTCAATTTCTCCCATCTCAGCGCCATTCCAGGTGGTTTCATACATTCAAGAGGCCATGATAAAATTGTAAGAATCCCACAGCAAGCTGAGACTCGGTATTCATTGCTTTTGCCAATCTACAGCCATGAAGCCCAGAAACACTGCAGAATCCTCCCACGCCTGATCTGCGAGCATTACCAAGACCAAGAAAACCTCGCCCTCGAACCCATTCCGTCGAGCTCGACATACTTACAGCGCCCTTCTCATCTGTCCTGCGGCATCTCACCCTTTCTTGACGTACCGCAAAACGTCCGAACATGCTTTGCAATCCCGGCGCATAAGACACGAGTGTTCCAAGGCCGCGCCGCGCAGATCCAATCACTCAGCCTCCTGTCAAAGAGTTAGATCAAAAGCCAACGCGAGAAACACCAGCTATAAAGCATACCTCCCCTCGCCTCCACGGCTTCTCGCTCTTATCCGGAGGACATGGCCTCTCCACCCCCGTCTCGCCGAACGCAACGTAACCTCGCCATTGCTCGAAACGAGCCTTTAACCACGCCACGCCCTCCCGAATCTCTTCCATCATTCCGTCCGACATCCTATGGTCCTCGATGTAGTCCCTCCGCCACTCGAAGTCCTCATCCTCGACCCCGCAGTATTCGTCCATACAATACGTCTCCTTAATCCAGGAGATCACTTGCTCGGCCTCAAGCTCGTACCGCACAACGTACTGACCGCCGTGCTTCTTGTGGAAGAATTCCCACGGTACCTCCTTGAAAGTCTGGTCTTGGTCGTACCAGGCACTCTCAAGCTCTGCCAGATTTGAGATAAAGGGCCGGATGAGGAGGGAGTCGGGGCGGTTCTTGTACCAGATGTCGTACATCTCCAGCGCATCGACGCTGTCTCCGATGATCTCGGAGGGGGGTGGGTGGCTTTGCGGCCAGCTGCAGAGGTGGTCGCCGACTTTGGTGTACAGGCGGCGCACGGAGAGGATGCGGATCCACCCACGCGTGCCGGGGAGGTGCTCGGCGTACGCCCACTTCAGCAGGTTCAGGTCTTCGGCGTGGAGGGTTCGGGGGAGGTGGATAGCGCGGTTCGGCTCGAGGTAGAGGGCTCCGTCGCTCAGGCTTGCGCGGATGGAGGGGATGTTGTTCGGACCAGCGAGGCGGATGGAAGGGGTGACGGAGAACGAAGGGGTCCTATGCTCGAAGTAGGTGATGGTGAACTGGTATGCGGTGCCATCAATGGCGCTGAGATTTCTGGAGGCTTCATCCACGGCCTCGAGCGACAGTGTCGATTGCTGCGGCGTGGCGAGCTGGGCTCCGCTGGGGATTGCAGTGGCCTACATGTCGCCAGTCAGTGGGGTGTAGAGGGAGATGTCTCCAGATGGGTGGGCGTACCGTCATCGCTTGGATACTGCTCCTTCGAGTAAGAACTGTTCCGCTGCCTACGAATGCTTCGACAAGAGCTACTAGTGGAGAGGTAGGAAGTGGCGGGGTGGGCACTCGACCAGACATTATGGCTTTGTCGATACTTGCAGTGGGCGAAGTGTTGGTGGGCCTTGAGTTGCTTGCAGGTGTCGTTTGGCCGCTTGGTGGCCGTATCCTGAACTGTCTCCGTGTGGTGATCGCGGCGGGATTGGTGGCCAATGTCGAAGAGCAGTAGAGAAGGCAAGTGGAGAATGAGTGAGTCACAGGCACGGCAGAGCTTGACGATGATTCTATGTGCGAAAAAGGTGGTTGGGGTCGAGAGACGAGTCACCGACGCCGCGCTGCTGAAACTACAACTGCCTTTCCTCAACGCCACAATAGTATTTGGCTTTCATATTGTATACAAGAGTGGTTCAAATAGACGCGAAAAAAATGCTCAGCTATATGCAGAGGTCTGTACACGACGTGGTGGAGGTAAAGAGCAAAAAAACTGCAAAAACTTAACGCCTGTGCAATGTTAAGAAAACCCCGGGCAGTTTTTTTAGGACTCGAACTCCTAAGCTTTTACTGTTAGCGAAAGTCCGAAAGAAGATAAAGGAAAGCGAGAAAGAAACAACTATCTAATCTATCTAACCACTACGCCGAGTGGAGCTGCTAAATGTTCTGTACATATAGGTTGAGTCTGTCACCACAGATGTGAATAGCGCGTCAGAGGCCTGTGCTGGGATTGGACCGAGCACTAGTACCGTCAGTCACGGGGAGTCGGCGAAGTTGCACACATGCTGCCGAACTGACGGGGCCGCACTCGACTACGGCCCGCACTCGACTACGGGCAGCTCTCGACTACGGGCCGTCGCCGCTACTCGTACCCCCTTCAGCTTGAAGCCACACGGCTACGCTATAGCCTCACGGTTTGGCCGCACACGATTACCCCAGCCGTGCTCAATCAATATCACCACCACAAGTGGCCTGGCGAGTAGGTAGCGCGCCAGTCGAAAACTGCCTTCTTTCCACTGCGGCAATCTCGACAGCGCACTTCACCATAGCCCATCCACTTCAGCGTCATCGTACTCGTGCCCGGCGAGACTGCAAAATATCGGCCTAACTCCAGGACGCCAAAGCCAGTCACTCAACGTGCGCCACAGCACCACCGCACCAATGAAGCCCGACAGATCTGACATCTCTCGCGCCCCTGAGGCGGAGCTTCAAGATCCTCCCCATCAGTGGTTGCAAGCGGACTGGAGGACAAACATCGACTACTTTGAGCTCCCAGAGCAGACGGCACCGATGTTCCTCTCCACCATAGCTTCTCGCGGCACAGAACGAGAAACAAACCCCTACTCTGCCCATCAAGGAGCCACATCCCGCCATGACAGCGTCCACCATGGTCTCGGACTATCGACAGACGCCAGCGCCGCCGCTGTTCCCCACCAGCCGCACAATAGCCACGACGTCAGTGACACGACAGCAATGATGGAACGCGAAGAGTTTACTTCCTCTGCGGTACCCGACAACCACCTGCTACGGGACTTTCACGAGGAATTGCTGCCTTTTGACTTCCCCGGCGCCGTATTTGCACCCTCCTCAAGCGAGCACGGCGCACTCTCCAACGCAGCTCGCACAGACTACCCAGAGTCAAATGGAGGACTGCCCATCACCTCGCGATCTAATCTCCACACCGCCGTCGCTGGCAGATCAGAACTCTACCAGTCTGGCTTGCGCGAGGACACGGGAGCGCACACCGGTACAGGTAGAGGTGCGATCATAAAGCGCAAACGCATCCCGAGTAGTTCGATAGTGTACCCAAACTATCAGGTATGTGCCACAGCGATACTGCAGACCTATGCAAATGCTCATGACAAACAGCCACATACCTCAGACGACACACTGGGTCTTGCACCAGCATGGAGGCCAACGATCGGACTGCCGGATCACGCATCAATCGCTCCTAGTAACCCTACTTCCCGCCAACATGACACCCCGAGCCCCGCCCAAGCAGTCCCAGGTACGCCAGGTTCCGTGCTCTCAGAGCTTCTTGGTAGGATTAGCGACACCAATCTCATCTTTGTCCTCGAGAGAGTCCGCGTCTGCGCGAGAGAGGGGTGCGCTCGTCTTGCCCCGGAGGGAGGCCCTAGGGGCCGCTTCTGCTCCGAGAGGTGCAAGGTGATGAACAGGCGCGCCGTTAAGGCTCCACTGCATTACCACAGCGGCAACTGCGAGGGCCCTGCTCCAGCCTAGAAGTAGGGCGCCGTGACGGATACATTTGGCGAGGTTGGGTTGACCGTTGGCGACTCCGCGCTGGAACTGTTGCTAACACGTTTCACGCAGACGGTTCTTATTGAAGGTGGCGAGCTCTCTTTGGGAATATATCCAGGACGAAGGTGACGAGACTTCGGTGGGGGATTTCTAGAAGGTCCAGGGGCGATATGCAAGGTTTCCAGGGACTGCAAACGACACACATAGGGCACTTGATATGAGAGACGGCGGGCAACTATGGATCATTCTGAGGCTCATGGATCGGGCACAAGGTTTGAGGGGTGGATATGAAGGTACCGGCGTGAAGGGGCTCTAGTTCTTCCTGTGGTAGAATTTCATTCATTGCACAAGCCCCTTAGATAGGCCAGAGAAGCTTCACTGTATTATGAAGAGTACCAGCCGCCATGAGCAGTGATCGAAATATGGAATCTTGAAGTTGAGGTAGCTGTAAAATGCATGCTGGCTACCAATCGCCCATTTTCAGCTTCCTCCTTCTCTGCCAGAGGCCTCCAGACAACATCAAGCATTGTCAAAAGTGATACAGAACCAATACTTCTAATATTCGTCCTCTAGCCGTCGACATGACCCCTCATCAGAGATGATACATCGAAAGCAGTCAAACGGTATCAAATCAATATCAAACATCACGTTCATGCAGCGAGATTCAAGATAGGTGGAGTAGAGAGTTGAATTGTCAGTATTCAGCCCGAAGAAGAATTGCCCAAAGCCTCCGCCACACCCTCCCCAGAAGCACCACATCTACACGCCCAAGAGCGCCTCCCAGGGGCCCAAAGTTCCATCCACCCTGGCCGCCGCGCCTGGACGCCTTCTCTCGAACTTCCACATCAGGATAGCAACGCCAGCTGTGGTAGCTGCAGGGCGGCCGAAGAAGAAGTCAGGAGTGGTATCTGGGTCGATGACTGGATGGTGCACGATGGTATCGACGTCATATCTGAGCACATAGTCGCCGTTGACGTTGCGCAGGTCGAGGAGCGTGGCAGGGATGTCTGGGAATATTTCGGTTTGGGCCTTCACCGCTCTGTGGAAAAAGGTGGCGAGGGGTTCCATGACCGGGCGGAGAGTGACTGAACGAGGGTTGGCGTGCTGGATATCGGCCCAAACCAGAGCGTTGACCGGGTTACTGCGGGAAACTGCATACACGCATTGGACGTCGATGAACCAGAGCAGATGGGTGCGGCCGCGAAGGTACACGACGTAGAAAAAGGATAAGTGTAGCAGGTTCAGGAACTTGAACAGGCGGCCGTTGAATAGGACCCGCTCGGCGGCATCTCCAATAACGTGATTGACCTGCCGGAGGCTGAGAAGAGTGCGGAGGCCAGCGGCGGCCGGAGCACTGATTGTGCATACGACGTCGCCCGTGTTGTCAGAGGAGTAGAGGATCTCTACCGCAGCAGTGCTCTCCTGGGCGAAGCCGGCTATCCTGTCCCAAATCGGGCCAGTGATGCGATGGATTGCACGATTCTATGAGGCGTTAGGTAGGGCCTCGAAGGCGAGAGAAGAGCTCGAGGACGTACTTGCTGGGCGGCGGGCTGGGCCATCTCGCTGGGGAGACTGAGCTTTGCTGGTCGAGGAGGGGTTGATATAGGCGGAGGGGTTGATATAGGCGGAGGGGTTGATATAGGCGGAGGGGTGGAGGGTTCCGCTGGTGATGATGAATGTGCTGGGCGAACGTATAGGGGAAATTGTTGTGTTCGGGTTCGAGGCCGAATGTGGGTGTACCAGGCTGGAGATCGAGTTCGAGGGGACTGCAGTGTGGGTTTGCCAGTAGGCTCTGAAGCGCGGCGTTAAGACACAATTAAAAGGGTGGCCGGCAAGGTGCACAGGCCCAAACCGGCATGGCGTCATTTTGATATCGCACCTCGACCTCCCCTTGCTATCTGCTATCATTCGATCTACCAAGTGGCGACTTACTCCTCCACGATCAATCATTACCACAGCTATGAAACGAGGTGGATACGAAATAACTCGCAACCCTCAGCCTCCCTATACACCGCTTGTTATGCCGGGCGTTGCGCGCAGCAGCATGTCTGTCATGAGAGAACCGCACGAAACATCTGACTTCGCCGGCGAGGAAGCAGAGTATCGAGAATGGGGTTGGGAGAATGAGTTACCAATCTCACCCGCCATTGCTACAGGTGTAGGCATGGGAAGCCTTTCTGAGCTTCCTGGCATCTACCAGGCACGCAGTCCTAACAGCGACTTCGAACTCCCGGGCAACACGCAGCAGATCTCGGAAAGCTTCAATGCTCCCCACGAGCCCAACAACACGTTCATGCAGTCATTCGAGCCTCAGCAAAAATACTACGCTGGTTTCACAAGCACAGTTCATACTTCTCCACACGAGCAAACTCACGGACTCCAAAACACAGCATTTTCGCCGGCGACTGAGACCACTGACCTGAACGGGATTCCGTCAACGTGGGAAGACTTCTGGAGCTCTCTACAAACCGAATGGCCGACATCCACGAGCCGTATTGCTGCTTCCACGGGAGGATATGGAGAACTGTCTTTTGTTGGCAACCCTGATGGCCACGCCGTCACTCATGAACGGGATCTCTACCAACATGGACAGCAAGAGGAGGCGGCGGGATCATTCGCAACACCAGACTATTCCAATGCTCCCTACAGCCAACAGCAGATCATCCAGCCAGAATGTGAACCAGCATTCAACCACTTGTTCAATCCAACAACGCATACTCCTTCCGGATCAACGGCATTTCAACTCAATCCGACTGTCACGCGAGCCATAGGACGGCCCCGTGGCCCGAAGATACGTGCCTGTGCTCGTACAGGGTGCAATGGCAACGCGCCGAGTAATGGAAGACACAGGAGGTATTGCTCGATGGCGTGCAGGAAGCTCGTAAAGTTGAACAAGACAAACCAAGGGGGCAGCAATGGCAACGATGCTTAGATATGAGAAGAGCGAGAAATCCTTAGATGCTCCAAGGGCGTCTCGGCGAGATAGCCAAGGTTGCAGGTGGCCGCAAGGAGGGATCAGATATGGGAACCAGTGGTAGACATGCCGGTAATTCAGGGGTTGGTGCAGATGCTACAGCGTTTGAAGCTTTAATCTTGGTATCACGGAGAAAGGCTTCTGATAGATAGTGTGGTGGTGTTTGTATCAAGGCAAGCGGTTTGTAGATAGTTCAGGAGGTACACAATATGGTTTTAGCTACTGCAGCCATCCTGAGATGTGGTTTAGAGATGAACTTGTAAGATTGAGGCAAGTGCAATGGACGGTACACGGGTAGTTCAACGTAGTTCACAATCCAGTAACATATCAGAGTCTCTCAAACGCCGTTGTAGTTGTAGAAAACTAACCAAAGTCATTCTTTCTGATATACATCCTCAGCCCGTTTTCATCATGCTCCACTTCTGCAGAATTCGATGGGGGCAGTCTGACAGCGTCACGCTAATTTCAAAGGTCACCATCATATGATGAGATGCATGGTAGGCAGTGGACAAGCTCGCATTTCATGTATGCTACCCAAGGGAAAATCACCAGAAGTCTCCGCATAATCTTGTCCCGAAAAGCCCCAGCTGCAATCAGGCTCTCCTCCCAAATCTCCCCAGTTTTCTCCTTCCACTCCCACTACGTACCCCTCACGGGCGACGCCCCTCGAATCGTGCCACCAACCTAGTCAGAACCGCCGGGTGCACCGCGGGGCGAGATTGCCTGAGCATGTCGTACTTGACGACGAAGTTGTTACCGAATTGGCGGCGGAGCATAGAAGCGGGTATGTTGGCGAGAACAGTGTCCTGATCTCGAACCGAGCGCAACCACGATTCGTATTGGCGGACGAGGAAGTTGGTAGAATAGAGAGCGGGCATGAGGGTGAGGGATTGCACATTCGCACGCTCAATGCGAGCCCAGACGGCGGCGGGGGTAATGGTAGTGGCAGGACCGTTGTTGAAGAAGGCGAAGCGGCACCGGACGGCGATGCGCCAAAGAAGGTGTTCGTGACCATTGAGGGAGGTGGAGAGGAAGGAGTCGATCTGCAGCAAGTCGAGGAAGGTGAAGAGGCGTCCCGTGTAGAGGACACGCTCCGCGACGTCGCCGATCTTATGGTTCACCCGGCGGAGACTAAGTAGTGTTCTGAGGCGGGCGGTGTTACCGCGGGCTAAACGCTCACGGGATGAGCGCCAATGGTTCCCACGGTGTAGACGAGTTGTACGGACTTCGTATTCTCTTAGGCTAAGATCACGATGCGCTCGAGAATCTCGAGTAGTAGGCGGTTCATGGTGGCAGACTATGAACTGTTACCTCTGATACTTACAGAGCGCGAACAATGGCGAGCTTTACCTTGTGAACTCGGTTTCGAGGTACTTCAACTCGGTGTCTTCCTCCTAGGGGTGACGGGGTCGATGTCGGTACGTCGTTCGCCAGGGCTATGGAACAATTATATTAGAGCTCAGGTAGAATCTCTGGGTGGAAGTATGGGCGCAATGGAGTGGTGGCCAAGCTTGAGGACGAGGTGACTACGGCTTGAGTTTGAGTCTCAACTGCACAGCGTTGCCAGAATCGTGAAGTGATGGGGTAGCACGTGTAAGCCACCAACCCCGTTTTGGCCTAGCTTTATTTTGATCTCTCGCACAAAAAGCTCGCCTCAACCTCGAGCTCCTCTTCTCCTCTCCATCATCCATAGTGCAGAGCATCGTCGGCAGTGAAAAGTTTTCTGAGCTGACGTTACCCATATCAGACGTCGACGCAGGGCTGTGAGGGCTCTTTGGAGTCTGCCGGGGCAGCTTGCGATTGGCGTCGCATCGCGACATGCTTGGGTTGGACAAGTTCAGTTCCTTCTTACATCTTTTCCGCGAACAGAGCAACATCGGCGAGGACGAAGGCCTTCTCATCTTAGCTTCGGCTGGGGTGGCTGGCCGGATGCCTCAACGTGATGACGATGATTGGTATCGTCCGCCCGTGCAACCCAGCGCGTGCGGCTCTCATTCAGCTCATACATTTTCATAATTGATGTTGTGATTTATTGATATTACTTGAACTGTGCCGTGCATCGTAGGATGGCTTTCCTGCAGCTACCTACACTGCTTGACCTCAACCTGAGTCCGTGGCCGGCCACTGATGCCACCTGCTGTGAATATCTATCCAGATTGTGTTCCTTTGCCACTTTGAAGTTGACCGCCGAATACAGGCTCCCTGAGTTCAAAAAGAGCAACTGGGGTTGAACTTTTGAGTAAAATCCCTGGATGAAATCAATCCGCTGCAAGCACCGTGCCAGTCTACTCCCCGAAGTATATTCGAGTCCGCCTACTGTCATGCTTTAGAGCACGTCATTTGTGCGCGGGGAAAGATGCATCGACACCTGAGGCTCCCAGACGCGTGCAAAAATCATTGACACGCGCTAGCGACGCGCTGCCAGCAAAGACGTGATGCAGCCGCAAGTACGCGTGGATGCCTTAAGCCGCAGGACTCGAAGATTACGTCTCCGCGCACGTCAGGAACACGGCTCGAGGAGCATCATGTGGGAAGCAAACCGGGCAAAAATCACATCAAAGAGAAAGCATCACGGGAGAAAATATATGAGCTTGCTTACTCCCCTCGTGCCATGAGAGAAGACCGACCGCAAGGGGGAAGTAATGCTTGCTCACTTTGATCTCCTCACAAAACTTGCCGTGAGAAAGGGCATGATTTCTCCAGTCTCTCTGACAAAGCATGAGGATACACATTACATGTGGGTGTAAGGAGCAGAGAGAGGGGGCCCGAAGGCCTGATATATGCGAGGGAGGCTGGTTTCCTTAGCAATGGCCACCGAGGATCACCAGGACAACCTCCGCCCTAGAATTTTCGATACGCGAGGGACATGCCGTGGGATTCGAAGTTGCCCTGGTGATCCGCGGTGGCCATTGCCAAGCCGCTTGGCAACCTCGCCGGGTATATCAACGCCGCCACGCCCCGTCCCTCTTCTCTTCTTCACTAATCTCTCAAGTGTTTGTTAACTCACTATGGCGCTCCAACTGTGGGACTAGAGAGTTTCATTCTTTTTCCACTGGTCGCTTGATGAGGAGATCGATTGAGTTGAGTGGCCGGTCGCGACAGTCAATGTCGCGAGAGGTCCTTAGGACTCATACATTTTTTCTTGTGACACTTTGCTTTTGTGACTTCAAATGAGTGCTCCATGAAGAGTGTCTTCTTGCTTCATGCCTGGAGATAATGTGTGACCTCACTGTCGCGTCTCCGTGAGGCTGCGTGAGCGTGTTGATGGCGGCGTGGACGCGCGTGGATTCTGTCCGGCTTCAGCTGCCTCGAAATGAAGCTTCAATTCAGTCTCCCCCAGGCTGCATCAAGGCGTTGAGAGCGGCGTAGGCGCGTGTGGATTCTCTCAAGCTTCAGCTGCCTCGACAAGACGCTGCAGGCGTTTCATGCATGCGCTGCGGGCATTATCTGTGGGGGATACTGAAGATATTTAGACGCGGTGGCGGTCCTCTGCGGGCAGGTGGCCATTCTGACGGAGCTGCTTTTCGAGGCCTTCCTATCAAGGCAATTCGGAACGTCTGAGGGAAAAACAGAACATTTGCAAACCAGGCACTCAGAGAGTGTGTTTATTACGTACATCAGCTATGGCTCAGAGTAACACGAGTGGGATCTTGTTGAGTGGCAGGGCAGTTTTGCTGAACTACGCTTGAAGAATGGCAAGCACGTCGTCCTCTACTCAAAGCCTAGTATACAGAGAAAGGCATTTATGAAGAAGCACCATGAAGACTTCCACTCGTCAGGCCTATAGTCCCACCGCACCCGCAGGAGTTCATCTCCTCACCGGCTACAACGCTTTTGTTTCTGCCAAAGCGTCCTCCCCTAGATACGTACGTCCGCCGCCGCTAAACTGGGGTGTCAGAGAGACCCATTCCACGCCACGAAACCAAACCGCCACCTAGCCCCAGCTTCTCGCACCGAAGCTGCTCGAATCGCTTGTTCATAACGGGGGCAAAAGCCTTCTCCCGGTCGCTCACGCCCAAGATCTCCAGGTTCTCCTCCATGTGGTAGCGCACCACGTACTCGCCACCCACCTTCAGCCCCAGCAGACTGACAGGGATATCCGCCAACATCCGGTCTTGTTCCTAGTACGCGCGGCCAAAGAGTGTGTCGAGGGGTTGATAGATGGGGAGAAGTGTGAGAGAATGAGGGGCGGCGGCCTCAATCATGGCCCATATCTCCTCGGGAGCCTTGTCGTTCGCGGTGGCGGTCGAGGTGGAGTAGTACACGGCGCGCATGTTGATGTCCCAAAGCTGATTTTAGCGTCCGGGTACGCAGTCGGCGTAGAACCAGGCCAGCTGATTGAGGTCGGCGAAGAAGTACGGGCGGCCGTTGAGGAGGACGCCGTCTGCCATGTCACCCAGGAAGTGCTCGACTTGGCGGAGAGAGAGGAGGGTCTTCACGTGGGAGCGGGTCTCGTCATCAATGGAGCTCTTTCGGGAGACCCCATAGCTAGACAGCTCGTAGCTGAGGAAGACGGGCTCCTTCGATTCGTCGGCGTACTCGACGACGTGGTGCCATGTCTCAACCAGAGTGCGGCGGACGGCGGACTCGGAGGCAGAAAAGTTCGAAGAGTTCTGTTTCCGTGCTGTCAGTCTAGATTCTATGAAACAGTCTGAATTTAGGAGGATGTTTACCTGGAGCATTGCGTCTCCACTCAGACTCTCAGGGGTTGGATCTGGGGGCGCCATTGCTGCTGCTGATAGTTTGAAAGACTGGATTCTGTAGGATGTGATTTGGTACAAGTCGCAGTGGCTTTGGCTTGGCGACCGGCCTGAGAATGCGGCGAGTGTCGAGAAGTGAAGTGGTAGCATGTGATAAACACACTAACTCAAACAGGCCTAGCTCTCTTGCCGGCCGCAATAAATATCTGCCCGCGCCCTCCGAGCTGCCGTCTTCTTTCTTCAGCATCCAACTCCCTTGCAGGGATAAACAGCGGGTGGCTGGAAGTTTATTCTTTCTCATCTATCTACTTATGGAGGAGATCAAGTTGGCGCGTGGCATTCGCTTCGGCGAGGAGACAAGGCTGCCCATATGAATCCGCTGTAATACTCGCTCGTGGCTTTACCCTATGACACGCTGGGCGAAAACAGTTCATTCATACATTTACTTCGTTCAAAGTTTGCTTCGTGATATCAATGAATGTGTCTTTGCTTCTCTCGATCTCCTGCCTTGCTTTGTGACTGTTGAAGTTCTGTGAATTCACCGCTGCTCGGCCTCGCTCTGTGATTGTTGTCATCGCCAGACCTCGCTGTCGCGTCGCGGTGGAGGAGTTGAGCGCGACCGAGGGCTTCTTTGCAGGGTGCGTAGCTGAAGATCCCTTTCTTGAATCTTTGAGGGAGTAGCAATGCGTTGTGAGTTGCATTGACGGCTAGGATCTGTGAATGGGACGCCAATTCACCGCCACTGGCATCCTCCCTCCAGCTGCTATGCCCAGATCTGAGACCCTGCCAGTTTCTTCGGAGCCTCGCGGTATCGCCCTCATCTTCGTACCTCTCCTCTAAGTCTCCAGCTCGATATCAGGCCGAGCCTGTAGCTGTCGGCTCACCCCTACGGCCTCAGCTAGGTCAAGACAGACAGATCAAGTGGAAAGATGAGCGGTCACAACATGGGAGCAGTCCAATCTTTTCGGCTCCCTTTGAGGCCAGCGTGGCGGCGAGAGGCACGGCAGCTTCGACGAACACAATCAGGTAAGTGTCGTACCCGCAATGGCACGCAGATTGAGCTAACAACATCTTAGTAAATCTTCTTCGAGAACCAAGAGCAGGAAGACCATCATATGCATTCCAGCGACGAAGCCATGCCCCGCATATTGACGACGCCGTCCACTTCTCCATCGAAGCCGCCGTTGACGAACACGGCACCCATATCGCCGCCGGTAGTGTCGACTCATGGACCGCCTTCGAGGCACCAGATGCCAACAGGATTGCGTAAGCCACTCCCTATATACCACTCCCTGTCCGTAAAGCCAAGCTCGTCGGCTGGCGTACACGGTTTGCGGGCGATAGCGTCGAGACTGCGGAAGCTAGCGGGCTTCAGGTCAGCCATGTCGCGGCAGAGACCTGGGACGATATCGTTGGAAGATTTATTGAAGATGACCATTCCCTTCTCAGATGGGGATCGAATCTTCCCCTCAGCTACACGAGGTAGCGTCCTTATCATTGAATTTCGACGCCGTCGGCACAATATGGAGCTATATTATACGGAAGGCACCATGAAACCCATCGGACGTCGAAAACTGGGCCCCGCAGAGCACCTCCAGCTTGCCGATATCAGTTGGATGCACGTTTTCCTCTCTAATGCGGATCATGCCCTCCACAGATGCCCAGAATACGTCGAGGCTCCGGACTGCTGCAATTCCAACCTATCCACCTGGTAGACAATCTGAGAATGAGTCGAGGAAGCGGGCATCAAAATCCTCGCCATTCCGGCACCCTGCGGCGGTCCACCCGAGCGCCAGGCTTGCTTTGCCGATCACAAAATGGCTTAACATTCGTCCCTCATCTGGACGATTCCTCAGTGCAAGCTGGGGAGAACGACAGTCACAGCGACGGTCGTGGTTCAGTTGGAGCGTAACCCCCATGATTCTGCAGAGGACTTCCTGGAAAATGAAAGAAATTTGGATACATAACGTTTTGAGAGGTTTCAAAGGGAAGCATACTTTGGGGCTTGAGTAGCGCACCCGTTGGGCTTGACGAAGGAGAGTTTCAGGGGAGCGAGGCCAGCTAGATTGGGGGAAAGGCTATGTTTTCCTCCGGGGCATCGCAAGTACCTCATGGAGCAGATATTCCAGGATTACAGATAGGCTGGGACCGCGTCTGAGCTGATGTGAAGAGTACCTTGGTAGGCTATGTTGGGCTGTTGAGGGGATGTAGCGGTTGAGTAAAGCTGATGGCTCCGATTCAGGGGGTCCAAGGTTGACCTGAAAGGGGTAGAATGAAAGAAGTATTCGGATACTCGTTTCGATATCCACAGAATGTGTCTACATCCAATAGCAACAAAAGGGTCATTTGAGCCAATTTTATATTTATTGAGATCATGTGAGATGTGCTCCAATGTGACAAACATATTCGAAAAAAGGCTTGAGCAATCAGTCCATTTCGCGTTCCTCTTACGCAAGCATGTAATACAGGCCCCTCAAGTTTTTTTTTCCGAACGGCATCATGAACCTGGACCTCCATATATTTTTTAGACCGTTATACAACCGTCAGAAACGTTCTTTGGCGTTCTGCTGGCACGATACAAGAAACCAAGGATATGCGATAGAAATTGGATCTCATATACGCAAGATGTTCAGGAAGGCTTTCAACCTTCTTCTTCACCGAACGCTGGGTACAAGAGCTGTCAAAGCACATGCAGGCTAGGAAGAGATACGCGAAATCCGAGCCTGACCGAAGGTGAGTGCCTTTGTTAATTAATGACAAGAACATGTACTAATATACTTCATAGTGAGTGATTCTCATCGGATGTTGTCTCTTGAACGGGTTTAGAGGTTGTGCCCACAAGTATACTAGATGTCGGCAGGGCATGGGAGTACTGAGTGATACCTTCGGCCTCGCTCTCCACACCTCCTCTACATTTCGTATCGGCTTCACACCGCAACCTCCGAGCTTCTACAGTATTCCCTCTGCCACACTGCGCGACTGATATACCGGCAAGTTGACTAGCACAGTTGGGATTCCTATCAAGCAGAAGCTGCTCAACGAAGCAACGGTGTGAGCACTTCTGTTTTTGCAATTTTGGTCTTGTTCCCAACGGCATTCCGGAAACTGGATAGGTTCATTTGTTCGTTAGGAGAGTTTGGACTGCATGGCTGAAGTTGATACAAAGCTACAGTGGCTACCCTCAGCATAGCTTAACTGTATGTACAAATACTTATGCGAGGAATTTTGATAGCAGTTCTCCGCCATTGAACATGATTTGTGAGTATGTGATATACATCCCTAACGATATAAATATATGCAACCCACCCATTTCATGCATGAAGGACAAAAGCTCGCGTTATTGGACCAAAAGGAGTTAGAGGTTGTGGTGTAGCCGGGGCTGTTCCGAAGCCGTGAAAAAGCTCCTCACCTCACCTCCAGATTTATCTCCGCTATACCACACAGCTTCTTCACGGCAAATCCGGCTCGTCTTGGTTTCTGCGCATTCATTAGTATGGAACGACTGCTTGCGCTTGTCCCCTCTGCGAGCGACCCATTTACCCAGTTCACGCCTTATCTTTAGCGGTACCCGTGTTACGTCTTTCAGCCAACTCGTCGAAATCATTGTCGCACAACAAGCTCACGCCGCACGTCCTGGGAAACAGGATCTAGACGGCGTACGCTTGCGGTGACTCCTCGTCCGCACAGCAGGCTCATCTCGCGGTCGATTGCGATATTGTATGATGTTTTGGACTTCGACATCATTGTGGCATCAGTCTGCATCGCCTCGCCTGCGCCGCTCCGCTTTAAGTTCTGTCAATTGCATATGACAGGGTGCAGGACCCGCGGAAAACTCAGGTAGAACTTCACAGCTTGTCATTTCCGGTACCAGTTTTACGCCCCCCCGCCAACTCGTCGAATTCTTCGAGGAAAAATGCTGCGACTTGTCTCAGGCCGAAACAACAAACATACGCCGCATTTGCGCTGCGCTGACATCTCACTCGCCCAGCAGACCCGTGTCATGGCTGCTTGCGGTGATGTTCGGTGATTTAGACCTTGGCATCAATTTGCACCCCCTAGCCGGCGCCGATCCGTTCCAAGTCCTGTCAATTGCATATGACAGAGTCCAAGGACCACAGAAAGCTCGGGTGGATGTTCGCAGCTTGTCATTTCCGGTGCCACTTTTGCGTCCCTCCGCCAACTCGTCGAGATCTTAGTAGAAGAACTGCCGCGACTGTCCCCAGATCTAAAGAACAAGCTCATGCCACACGTGCGCTTGCGGCGACTTCTCGTACGCCCAGCAAGCTCACCTTGCGATCGTTTCCGGTGTTGTATGGTGTCTGGACTTGGATACCAATATACCCCCCATTGGCGGCGCGGCCCGTTCCAAGTCCTGTCAATTGCGTACGACAGAGTTCAGGACCCGCAGAAGGCTCTCGTGGATGTAAGTCTCATTCTTCTATCAGCACCTACATAAAAATCCCTTCTAGCCACCCTTCTACCCAGATCACCCAATTGACTATCGCTAATGGAACGTACAGTGGTACATCGTCCTGATCGACGCGGCAACCAGCCTGACCGAGGCATCTTTCTAGGTGGAATATCCCATTCCATTCAACATGTCAAGCTCCGGGTCTGCCACCTCGTCCAAACCGGATACCGGACGTTGTTTGAGCTCCCCCGAGGTCCTTGGATGGTCTTCACCGAGCTAGATTGCCTGTTGAGGAGCCTTCTATGTAAGTTTGCATGATCTGATATTCCTGGAGCCGCATTCTGACCTGAGAGTTCCAGCATCCGGGATTCAGCTCGCCGCAACGAATCGACGCTTGTGATTGGGAACGAGCAGCTTGGCGACATTGCGCAGGCGCTGCGTGTCAAGTTCCCGGATATCGACGCGCCAATCAGTATGTAGGCAGTGGACAAACGACTGAGGATGCTGGATATGCGGTATGAGGGGCATTGGAAGACGGATTTCGGGATGGCAGATCTCTTGTCCGTCGACGCGCCCGCTGCACACCTATTGGTCGTCTTACGAAACTCCAAGAGGCGTCTGGGATAGGCTTCAATCCTCTAGTCAAAAAACGAGTTCATCTTCACGCGGGACTTCAACTAACCAGCTGCCGCTGCAATGCCAACACTTGTTTTGGCAAACACTATGCCATCGTTGAGCGATCCATCGAACATACCGCAAACACATACATGAGGAGTATTCCACCTTTGTTCGAGCCTTGCACCTACGTCAAATCGCAGACTAGCTCCCTGCTCGTCTCAACTAGCAGTCATGTACCGCCGATGGAACTCAGGCTGCGACAGCGAGGTGCCTCACCGATCTATCAAATTGGGGATATAGCGCGAATATACCAGCTCATCATGTTTGCGGAGCTATGGGAGGATGAGGCGAGGCTCTAAGTCATCATTGATGAACTGAATAGAAGGAAGAGGTTGTAGGTTAGAAGAAGTACATGATAGAGACGCGGCAGGATCGGGGGAGGCGCGTTACGAGGACGAAGAAGGTGCGGGATGGGCTACACGCTCAGGAAGAAGAACAAGCAGAGCAAGCCAGCTTCGGAGGATAAGTTGGAACCAGAGGAGGAGAAGTCGAAGCCAGGTCATCGACTTGGTCGGAAGAAAACTAAGTGTCATTCATCTGTCAGTTTTCTAATGACTGGATAGATGATCGGCATGGGTCCCAGGTTTCAGCGTGGCGAATGCAAAAGTGTTCTCTGGACCTCAAACCAACACCTATGTTGATACATTCTTCAGACGCCTATCGATTCGCAGCACCTAGTCCTTCCAATGGAGAACGACACAACTCGAAATTGTCATTCTGGTCTGCTTCTCGATGCCGATCGCTCTGCGAATAGAAGCAACCTCGCGACACCCAATCCTACCGTGACGATGACCGAACCGACGTCTCACCGTGAGCCTAATCAAGAGCCGTGAAAGGCAGTAGAGTGTTGAGAGCAAGGGATGGACATGGTTCATGCGCAAGGGATGGATACGGTTCATGCGCAAGGGGTGGACATCATTCATGCGCATTGCGGAGTGCCCCAGATCACTTCGGCCCTGCGGACCTGGAGCATCGGCTCCGCCTGATAACGGGCAAGTCGGAGAAAATCCCAACTCTGCAGTACTTGAACGCAGTGGGCGATCTCTGGGTCGAATTCCCTGGGGTGGTGGAAGCGAAGGCGGCCGTGGAGCACTTCTTCGGGCAGCTGTTCAGGATGGTGGGCTGTATTGTTGGATTTGCGAGGATCCGGCCATTATGGACAGAGAGAACGCGGAGAACTGCCCTGGCACGTTCCGATTCGAAATCTCACGTTACGAAGACATAGTATGAGGGAACCAAAAGACGCTTCTTGCTGAGGGAGGTCGCAATGCAGAGGCACATGTCATACCTGGCAAAGTATTTGAGGATCGCTAGGACAATTAGGAGAAACAGGCGAAGACTCAGGAGAAAGTCTTCGCTTATGCCTAAGTGCTCGTGGATGTAATTGGTGTGGATGTGCAGGATTTGAGGGAGTGAGGGGCAAGCCTTACGGCTCCCGGCCCTTTCGCTTCTGAACTGTCCGTTTTGGTCGAAAGCCTGAATGAAGTCAGGGCTATTGCGAAGACCGACTTCAGCAAGGAAGGCATGCTCAAGATGGTGCTCAAGATGGTGCTCAATAGCCACAGGCCCAAAGCGTGGTAGAGACCTGCGTGCCGGTCTTGATTAGACTCCTGCAACGTGCTTCGGGGACGCCACGAGCATTCTTTTGATACCATGCCCGGAATCTGTCGCCCATTCGCCACTGGCCAAGACAACATCTAGATAGAGCTTGGGTGATTTGTACAGCTGTACGAAACCGTGGCTTGCGAGATGCTGGCAGCCGAAAAGGTAAACCTACACACCTTCATGGGATTGGACATGTTCTGTATGCAGGCCCAGTAGAGCACGAAGGTAGTTTCAACATGGGCAAGGGCTTCCGCGAGAACTAGGCTCCGCATTCCCAGGACGCCAGTTTCACCTTCATAAAGAGTAACTTCTGCAAGCATGTCCCCTTCACAAGCAGGAACAAGCTTCCTTTGTAAGGATTACTATGAAGCATGGCTAGAGTTCGACAAAGAACCTGAGTAAACGTTTAGGAGCTAATGGCAAGCATGAAGTAGAGCAAGATCTTGGACGCGAATTCGTACAGTTTCATGGGATTGGTGATAATCAGAACGCAGGGAGGCTTCGACGAAAACTGTATCCCAGATTCCGATGGAGACCACTTCGCTCTGGAAGAAGAGATCAATTGAAGGCAGCAAGCACTTTTCTCAAGCCAAGAGTCGTACGAGACACATGGTATCATACTATCGACAATGGCAGTGAGGGTGGTGGCTCCAATTAAGTCAATTACGACGGTGACGAGCTCGGCAGTTCGGCCATGAAGAAGATACCGCCAATATCCAATCTCTCGTTCAAGAATCGCGGGATGCATTCGCAAGTCGATACGGTTTAAGTGTCATGAGAACCCCGGACTACTGGTATCTTCGAGGAATGGAATCCGAGGTTGTGGGACTCTACGTAGACTGGTTCCGCTTATGGTCTACGACTTCAGCTTCGACGGCGAGACTTTACCAAGCCCCGACGCCGGTTACATGGGCAATGGGAAAACGGACGCCGGATGCCTGGAAACTGGGAGCCTTCGTGGAGTACTTTGACGGCGAAGTCGACTGGCTTTTCATTGCATCCCGATCTGATATGTTTCCTGTTTCGGTTTCGGCTCGTGTGTCGCCTCCAGCAAACTCTCTCCTCTTGATGATGAGGGGGAGCATGAACAACTGCTAGTTGCGAGATCAAATGCGTAAGGGTTAGAAGCAAGACCTTCTTTGAAGCAACGCGCCATGGAACATGTCCATCGGTGACGGGCATTTGGGATTACTCGGCAAGCACAAGGAGAAACACCAGAAGTGGATCGAGAACTAGCAGCATGAGACATGGAGAATGCTCCGCTACCGTCGAGCTTAGATTGAGCTAGAGCTTATCTGGTCTCAGTCGAGTGGCTCAATCAGGTGGGGTGAAGAGTATGTGCTTTCTTGATTCGGGCATATTACGACCCAAACGCGTTTACTTTATCATGGCCAGCTCCCCGCGCAGCTCCGGTCCTTTGGACTCAGGTTGAAATTGATGTGAACTCTGATTTCTATGGGTGTCTAGCTCGTTGTTTATATACTAGGTGAAGGAGGGGGGCCAGCCCCGGGGGCATAACGTAGTATCTCTTCCTGACGCGTTACTTGATTCATCCTGTTTCCTGATACAGTACTGATACCGTGCTGCAGCACTGCTGTTGCACTACCTGTTACTTCCTCCTGTATCAGCATGCTATCCTGATACGTTACTGCATATGAGTTGCTGACCCTAGGTTGTAGTGCTGCAACCCGAGTTTTGGGTAACACCTGTGCTATTATGGAACTCTCCTCGACGACTCTGAGCTCCACGAAAACACCGATCCGGCGGTGCTGCCACACCAGATTTCGTTTGGCGAAGAGTTCCTTTGACTGAAGAAGCATGACTCACCGACGTCCTGACTGCAGAAGCCTGTTGAAACTACTGACGCATTCCGTATTCGCAAACGGCCGGCCTACAGCAAAGCTCAGCAAGACAATGGTGCTACGAAAGCAATTCCCAGTGCAGTTCCCTCGCCGCCATACGTTATTGAAGAATACGTTTGAGGTCCCGAAGATCCTTCTTTCGCGAAACCTGGGAAGATCAGGAAAACCTTGGGTAAGGATATGCAAGGAACATGGGAATGGGAAGTGAATTTCGCGTGGAGTTTTGGTTGCCGCTCCACTGAGATGCGAATACTGCAAGCGTCAGGCGTATGGGATGGTTCACGACGACGACGTGTTTGAAATGATGCGGTAGATCTCACGGGTTTCACTCGATTCGGTTCCGGAGATTTAGGGGATAGTGCAGCGTAAGTACTCATAATCCTCATTCTTCTCGGAATATTTATTGATAGCAACATAGCTTTTGTTCTTTGCGTCGCGCGGTTTAGTTTCTTGCTTGCTCGTCTTGAAAGCACAATTGAACATGGTTCAAGAGGGGGGTTCCTTATGCCATTGGCGTTCCGCATGGAAAATATCGAAGAGTTCTTGAATGATGCGGAGTCACACTCGAGGATTTGCGGTATCTCTGCCTGAGAGTGGAGCAGCCCGCGCTACAAGAAGTCCGAGACGCGTGTGCTGAATCTGGTTATGCGGGCAAAGAGAAGGACGAGGACGATTTGATAAACGGCCTTCTTACTCTCGAGGAGATGATGCGCCACTGGTCACGGGTCCATGCCAACAGTAAAGCTAGCTCCGTCCTGATGATTCCAGCTGGACCAGTTTACGGGGCTCCTTGGATTGATCGGTTTTTCTAGTCTGACTCCTGTCTTTGGATGATTTCAATCCTCTGGACTCTGGACTATGGATGGAACTCCTGGATTATGCTCTGTTTACTTCTAGGTTGCACTAGCACTCCCTTTCACTGAAGTCTTACGATGATTTTGCATGGGGTTTGCATGGGCAGGTTGCATTCGAGGGAAAATACTGAGGGCCAAATGACTTGCAGTCGGAGGGCGATTTCGGTGGGCTAGTGGATAGATAGCCAATGGGATGCAAATAAAACCAAATCAGTATCACGTACACTCTTTCTTGCCACTGTCTGAGGTACCTTCATGTGCCTTTACGATTCCGAAAAGCGTGCCCCTGAACTGTCAACAAACTCTTCAGGCTACTCCAGGCGGCGCTCGAAAGGACTCAGGTTGCAGCACTACAACCTAGGATCAACAACTCATATGCCAGAAAGCTACTCTCCGAACATCAGCTGTAGAGAACCCAGCTGAAATCTCAGCTGTAGAGAACCGAGCTGAAGCCTCAGCTGTGCAGGGCTCATCTAAACTTACTAGCGCGCCACCCTAGGGGTGGCCCCCTTCCTTCCCCTAGTATATATACAACTAGCTAGACGTCTATAGAAATCAGAGTTCACATCAATTTCAACCTGAGTAAAGGTGCACACAAGCTAGAAATACTACCGTACGAGGCCATATGAATTGGGGATCACCATTAATTGCTATGCCTTCGTCCAGGTTTGACAGTCTTGCCAGGCCTGATGTGAGGTAGCTGGATGCCAGTTGACGTTTTGTTGAAAGGCGATTTTGATGAATTATTGAACAACTTGTCAACGTCATCCTTCATCATACGTTGGAACATAATTTAGGAAAACAATTATATAAAGCAGAAAAGTATGAGATCAATCCCAAGGAGATTGCTGGGACTGTACGATTGGGTACTGATTGCATTTCTAATGTTTGCTTCAGCAGCACTTGTATGGTACTTATTCTGGCGAATACACTAGTTTTCGCGCGGTTCTGATAGCTATATGTGTATCCACTGTCTCTCATGCCCCCCATGGCCCTGCAATAAGAAGCCATATAGCTCTTGTATAAGATAGATGAGCGATATTACCCTTTTCGACCATATATATCTTCTGGTCGTCAAAGACGGCGCTGATTTCAGAAGAATGAGTCAGTTGATACTTAAAATTATCTTGATCAACCCATCCCGTAAGCGCATTCTCAAAGCTACGATTTTCCAGAACTCATGTAGTGAAAGGTATTCTGCTATAAAGTGGAGAAAACTCATGAAGTGTGCTGCTATTGTGACATTTTTCTAATCATATCCTCTTCCCGAAAACAGCACTAGCATAATCTTTCTTCTCCCTTTTCGACAGGGTGGCCTGATTCGGCTTTGCATGTGACCGCGCAGGCTGCGCTTTGGCTTGGTAGACATTTTGCAGGTCGCACCAGTAATTGCCGCTTCGTACTTCCACAACGCCGCACAATCTTCCTTTGACATACCCCTCCACCTGCCTAAGCACATCTCAGTTCTCATACCTATCTCTACGTACACTGCGCAGATGGCGAGCTTCGCAAACCTCCACCCCCCGCCTCATCACCCCAGCGGCAGCGAGTGCAGTACCACCAACCATGCGGTGGACCAAGGAGCAGACGAGGACTCGGTACGCGCTCCCTGTTCTAACTTTAATATCGATCAAATGTGGCTAACTATGAACGAAAGAGCTTCGCTGTCGCAACATGGTCGTACCTCACAGCAACAGTTCTGGCGATCTGGGCACGAATCGCCAGCGTTGCGACCTTCCTCATCCTCGCCGTCACAGGCCGCAAATCCAAGCCGGCCGCAATTACCATCAAAAGACTTCCCACCGAAACCCTGACCTCGATCTGCGAATTTTATCTTCAAGGCGCTGGACCAATCTTCGTGGAATCTGGCACGTGGAGAGCCCAGAACGACCTTCCTGGCGTGGCAGACATGGTGAAGGGCTTGGCTTTCATCAAGGAGATTATGGAGGGGGCGGTCAGGCAGAAAGTGCCCCATATCTTCGACGATATGAGTGTCCTGTACAGTTACTACACGGACCACAGCTCCGACCTGACGAAATGTGCGCGCCGCATCGAGGTTAAGCAATTCGACAACCCGCATGGTCCAAGATGGGATATCATTTGGGCCAAGATCGAGGATGTTTCACCTCTGGCGCTGACAGTTGGAGCGCCGGGGCACGACGCTCTCAAGCCTGGCATCTACGGTTGGCTTAACACTGCGAAGGCACAACGAGATCTGTTTTGCGCTACCGCGCCGACATCCTTGCTCAACGCAAAACGAAGTGACGAGTACCGCCTCAAGTATATGAGCAACATACACGGCTCGGTCTTCGCTTGGTGGTCTAAGCCAGATCCACCTCCGATCTCGTCCGAAAGACTCACGAACTGGGAGGTGTATGCAGAAGGCGTTGCTGCCTCGCTCGACAGAGTGTTTGAGACTGAACGTGCGCAGCATGTGGAAGGATAGCTCGAAAGGCAAGTAGACTGAGTTACTTGGGGGTTGGGACGCTGTTGGTACTGTCGGAGGAAGCTTGATATTCTTTGAGGGCCTTCTTTCCGCTCTCGGTCTGGTTCTCAAGTCCAGGTTAAATAGAAAGGGCCTCAGTCAGGGTATGAAAACATATCAAACGATAATATCATATTCGTGCTTGTGTGCACAAATTATCTCCAATCAGGGGAACCTAGAGGTTCTACATATAGGACTCTCGCCGGATACATTGCACCGAAGAGTTGTTGTAACATCTATGATTCAGTCGACTACCTTGTATATAACCCAAAAACAGCTGCGTTTTCTCCTTGCCCTCCTACAATGCACACATTCTCGAGGATTGGCTCTAGGATTTCACGAGCTTCGAGTCCCTGAGAGAGAGTTAGAATAGTGAATGGAACAGTAGAGTAGCCACAATTAGAAGTTCCCGTTTTATTACAATTGACGTCATGCCAATGCTCGGAGAGGTGCTTGGCGGAGCTGCGAGATCGGGACTCCTTGACCATTACCGCAGGTGTGAGTTATCAACAACAACCATCTACCTTCTACAGTCTACCAACTCGCATACTGCCCACTCACACTATCATGGCAAGCTCAAAGAAGCGCCCTAGAGGCACGTCCCCCCCTGGCCAGCGTACTGTTCGCCGCTCCAAGAGACTGATGGAGCAAAAGACCACTCCGACAAGGTACGTCTTGCACATAATTGCAGCTTTGCTCGAGCTACTCGAATTAATGCATCATAGACCATTTCTACGAAGCGCAACTGCTTTGCGGAAGCCCAGCCGTCTCCTCTCTCTTCTTCGACCAACACCGACGAACCCGTCAGTAGTAGTAGCGCCCGCTGCCTCAACGCATCCGCCGCCGAAAACAACGCCCATGCAGAGCCTGGCCTCGCATCCAACAGCTCGCCCGGAACCAATCTTATCGTGAAGCCCAAGGTTCGGATTCCGCCAGTCAATGCACGCAACCTCTTGCCCAATGAGCTTTGGCGCATGGTAGGCGCTGAACTCCTCCACGGCGCCAGCCCGGTCACCGTCGAGTTCGGCACCTGGGAAGTAACCGGCCTTCCTCCGGCGGTCGAGGCCATGTTGAAGGTCAGCAAGGGCACCAAAGGGGCAATGTAGTGGCAGATCGACCACACGGTGCCGCACATCTTCGACAGTATGGGTGCTTTGTATTTATACTACACGAGCCACTATAAGGGAGAGGTCGCAGAGCTCCACCGCCACGTTTGGGTGACCGACTTTGCCAACCCCGATGGAACGCCTTGGGAGACGATTTGGAGTAAGGTAGAGGAAGCCTCCCCGCTGTCTCTCACCATCGGCGCCCCGTCTCGAGCTACTTTCCTCTCCTTCGAAGGAGACCTTTTCATGGGCCGAGCCATGTACCAGAGAGATCGACTCCTTGCCACTGTCCCGTTGTCGATCCTTCGAAGGAGAAAAATGGAGTGCGCCAGCTGCGATACGACTGCGACCTGAACGGCGCGGGCCTCAGATATTTCCGCGGCGACCGCAGTGTGATCTATCCCATCGTGGAGCTACACGGTCAGAAGACTGCGACCAATATAGGCGCCGGTGTTAACGTAGAGTTCGAAACGGAGCGACTCCGCGACTGGCATGAAGCTCTTTAAGAAGCGAGGGGCCTTTAGTCAGGTATGTGGTTCTGCAGGCCGTCCATTTTATTCGCCCTTGTCGATCTATACTCAAGTACTGACAAACCATGGCCAGAGTTTCTATGACAGCGAGGCTAAGCGGTCTGCTACAATCACTTATTCGAAGGAGCCCTTCACCCTGGTGACAAGCGGATCTGGCAAATCGAATTCCCTGGTGAGGGTGTGACGGCGCTCCAAACGCCTACAACCTAGATCTATATACCAATACGCGATCACAGCGCTTACCTTCTTGCATTTACTGCTTAATGCCACAATCATGCGCGTCTGCTTGCGCACCTTCCTGGTGTTGGCCTTCCTCGTCTCGATCTGCACCGTCCGCGTGGTCGCGAAGACGCCGGGCGAGCTGTGCAACCGCACCGATGTCCTTGAGTGCGGCTCTTGCAGGCTCAAAGTTTCTCTTTACTAGCGAAGCCATCCCCGTAGCCCCCTATTACCTCTTTCCTTAGTTCAGCTTTCTGTTGTTTTTCAACTACATAGTTGTATAAAAGTCTATTAACGAATGCAATTCAAAGAATTTCCAGCATGGCATGCAATGCTGTTTGTTCTTTTGCGGCGTGAACACTCTCCATAAACGTCACCATATGGCTTCCCCAAAGGCGAAAGTCGTACCACACCCGTCAAAATTCTTAGATAATAAGCCCTGTACCTCTACATATAGCACCTGGATGTACTCGAGAACATCCTCTTCTCCGGCTCCGTGTGACGAGTGACGCAATCTCTTGATGCAGCCGTATATTTCCTCCTCCCCTATCATGTCAACTCTCTACCCTTCCACATCGATAGTCAAATCGCCACTGGACTTCTCAGCTCCTCTTTCAGTATTACAATCCTCTTTTTCCACTTCACCCTCTCTCTGCCTGCAATGTCGACTATTAAGGGAATGTTGAAAGATCTGGCCCGCGAGCCGGGCATGGGCCCGCTACCACCGCAGATGCCAGCCGGAACGAATGTATGCGTCCTTTGAGTGCTATGTTTACTCGATTGTATCTGACAGCAAGCTACACGCTGCCGTAGCGCGTGGATCTTGGGATTGTGGAAAGCTGCTACCACGGTGCATGATGCTTCAAGTGTTGCCGGAGAGAATGGTTATTTTTCCTTCTGTTGGCGATCTGTATGATCCAGAAGCCTGCCTTTTAGGAATACACTAGATTATCACTCCCTCTTGTCCTCAATAGTGGAGCATAAAGGTTTTGGAGGTCTTTCGGAAAGGCCTCTTCGGACTGAATACTAACGAAGTCTGATTCATTGTCTCATGTACATAACCTACCAATTGAGCTCTTCAACCCAATTCAAGGCGCAAATGAAGAAGTATAGGTTTCCTATTGCTCTCGTGTGCTATTGCGATTACCCGAGGTTCTGAACCTCTTGCTTTTTGCAAAATTCTCGAGCATTGAGTGAATGGCTCTGTCGATAACAGCAGATCTCCTCCTCTGGACCGAGGTAGACAGTCAGGGTGGCTTAAAACGTTCTATACGATCCACGCTAGTTACCGCATTCGTCCCAGAGGTTCTTAAAGGAAAGACCTTTTTTGTTCGCTCCGCAGAACCCGTCTTTCTCGCCCCAGCGTCTTCATCACACAGCAGCAAACGAGCCGCCCGTTCCTCTCCTACGAAAGTCCTATTACCTTGCTTTTTCTCGACTCTCAGCTCCCCAAGTCGCTATCATGGCCACCATGAGTAACTCGAGTGCATTGGTAATGCACTCTCTGAACTGGTCGCCCTGAACACGTTCTAAAGTGACCACCAGGGAAACTATGCCTCGTGCAAGTACAAAGGCGACCTCTGCCTTACGAGCATGATTGAGGTCCCACGTGTAAGTTACTTGCCAGAGTACGCACATAGTCAGAAAGCTGATTGCATGTGGTTTAGCCGAACGACCGCGAGGCATTGGCGCGCCACCCAGAGTTCATTGCGACAACCTCCCTCCATCAGAAGAGATGGACGATTGAAGGCGGCCTCTGGTTGGCACTCCTCCTCCTGTGGCTTGCGCCAGCCGACTTCACCGATTCTCTGGAGGAGCTTGTAGTCTACGTCAACCTTGAGACACTGCCGCACCATCTCTGCTGGGTGTTCCTCTTCAACCTCGTGAACATAACCAGTCTCCGCCGTATAATCTTCAAGGACCAAAACATCCGCCCGCTCCACTACACACAAGACGTAAAGCTTCTGCAAGATATGCTCGTAGACAAACTCCAACCGATTCTCCACCTTCCTGTAGTCGTAGCCGGATACAAAGTATTCTCCTTCGAACCAGGCGTGGCGCCAGAGAAGCGACAATGGGATATCGTTGCCGCGCAGCATGTGGACATAGGAATACTCCCTCTGCTTCGAGAGATGCGCGACGAAGACCGCATCCTCAGTGACCGCTTCAAGACGATGATGAAGAACGAGAGAGAAAGTCCGCTCGAGAACTACTTCGATGTAGACACGGCCGAGTACGTATGAGAAAGCACTATACTTGGAGATCATCTACTAATATGTCCAAGTTTCTTGAGATGGGCCACATCCGATGCTGGGCAGAGCTCTGATGCGTCCCCACAGGCTGACACTCCCCCAACGAGCCGCTGGAGGTAGCACTCTTTCTGTGTGCTGGCAGCATTCCTGGGCTCCTCTTCCAATTCCTGTGTCCTTGGCGTAGACCGTATGTAGATGTCGGGACTTGTTTTTCTTGTAATTGTGAGCGTGGAGCATTGTTGCTGAGCTCTTCTTCTCTGCAAGCTAAACTCCAAAAAGTACTTTCTGGCTACGAATGTAATAATATTAGTTGTACTCAACAAGATCATCGTGAAGCTTGACCAAGTCCTGCAGTACAAATCTTCATGAGTGAAAGTATGATTAAGAACCTCAACAAAGAATCTCCATTCTCTCCAATTTCCAATGAACAACGTGTCATCGCTTTTCAAGTAACTGAAGTACAGGAGCATCTTGGTAGGTAAGTATGCAGAGCATCTGGCTAGGGGTTGCTGAAAGATCTTTGCAATCCTCCAACTCGACCTCGCCGCGGCGGCACTCAGCATGTGGGTAGAATGAGCGACTACCCTCGTCGCAGCCTTCGGCACTTCCTATCATTCTCCAAATATAGATACGTGCATCAAGAATTACACCGCAAGAGCACTAGACCTCATACCAACATCACTCGTCGCAAAGATGAGCTGCGTCATCACTGTTCGTCGAAGAGGTCACATTTCAATATGCTAGTGCAAGAGCAGCACAATTACTTGACCTCTGATGCTGAAGATTTGACAAGAAACAGGAGTGGAAGGGACAAAGTCAAACTCAAAACACCATAAAATACCCATCTTGGCCACTCGGCCAACTGGATCATGAAAAAGATACTAAAGTGCTCCGAAGTCACATCGACGATAAGAAGACCCAGTTTCCCAATGAGACCCAATTTCTCGATGAGCACCCAATGAAACCATAACGCAACAGCTCCTCGCCAAACACTCGATGCTGCGTCTTGTTTAGTCATGGGGCCTTGTGCCTTGTACTGAAACGAGCACTTACCCTTCCAACCCGTCGTAGCGCTCCCCTCTACTCCTCATAGAACAGCCTCCTCAAGTTCAAGGAAAGGCGATCCATCTCATCCTCAAGGTCCTCAAGGCCGCGGCCAGTCGGGTTCCAGATACCCATGGCATGCTCCAAGGCCACAGAAAGACCTGGAATATGGACGCTCTACGTGACCACGAAGCTAACATTGAGAATCCCATCTGCGAGGAGCCCGTCGTGTCGAATGGGTTCCAAATCGTCAACGATGAAGTACTGCTGCAGCTCCACGTCGCCAGACCAGCGCGCGGAGTCGCGGTGTGCTTGCTGCATGGTCACATTCGTCAATGCACTAGGCTAACGAAGTCAAGCTCTCGACCCGTCTGTCGCAGATGGGACGGGGTGGCAAGCGCGGCTCCATCCCGACGACGAGTCTATGAACCACTTTGGTGCACTCAGGGGGAGCCGCGTGTAGGATACGAAAGGAGCCGTCTACACCGCCTTTCGTGTATCGGGAGGTGGAGTACGGGCTCGGCGCAAGGGTTGCAGCTTCTTGGGGAAAAGGGCCTCGGATTCGCCCTTCTAAAGTTCCCTATAATAGCTTTTGGATAGCAAGAACAGGCGTTGTTGGGGGCCTACTGGTGGGAGCTGCAGTGAGCACCTCGTGCAGTACCATTCACTTGTGCAAGTGCAGGATCGCCGAGTGCGAGCACGTTGGGATACGCGTTAGGCTGGGTAACTGGAACAGAGGGTGTGTGGATGACCTACATTGTAGATGATACGTGGCAGCGGCGAGAGCGAGCCGGCGCCGAGCAGCTCGTCGAGGCGTTCTCGATCTGGTTGCTCTGATATGTTGAGAGCGGAGCTGATTGGAAAGCCACCGACGAGGCTTGAAATCCAAGGACGCAATATGTTGTGGGATGCGAATGTGATATAAAACTGTTGATGTGGGCGCCGCCGTCGCATCTTCTGCCCCATTATCTAAAAATCGTTACCAGTGCCGACAAGGAGATTGACATAAAAGCTATTCACAAGACATCTTAGGGTAGCCGTTCGGTCGGTACCACTCGTGCGTACTGTCGGTCCTACACGGTCGAAACGTGCAAAGGGATCATACAGCTGCGTTGGGTCTCTTCGGCTTTTGCGCTCGTCACAATGAAGTCGAGGGTTGATTAAATTGCAGCCGTTCCAGAAACCTTGATATGGCTACCTCATTACGGGGCCACAGAATCTTGATGCAGACAAGGAGAAAGCAACTTCGGGCAGATGAGACGCACAGCTTCCAGACTCGTGTCTATCCCCACGTCCTCCCGCGGCAGAGCCTGCTCCCCTCCTAGAATATATCATGCCAGTGGCTGCAGTTTCTCCTCCTCAAATCCACCATTTATTTCTAGACATTGGCCGTGCCGGCTGGCGTCGCGTTTATGCTGTCATTCGCGCTCAGTCTAGCTTCGAGCGGTACTAGGGAAGAAGGAGAGTGGAGGAACCCGCCGGCGAGTGGGAGGACGGCGAAGAGTTGAAGGGTCAGAAGGAGGATTATCTAGAGGACCGTGGTTTCGCTTCGAGGTGGATGGGGAGGTCAGCCGCGAAATAGAGCGGGTGGGATACCGAAAGATTGACACGATACAGAAAAAGGCTTCGCGGACTCAAGAGACGGCGCTCTCTCGCAAAGTAGATTCATTGAGAAGCTTTACGTGCCATACAAGTGGATAGATATACTGCCATGCGCATTTCAATCCTCATCCGCAAAGGTGTGTTCGAAGCCGTCGAAAGGCATCAACACGGCCAACGCCTAGGAGAGAAGGTGCCTATATCCATGAGCCACCCGTCGGGAAGATTTGTGTTTCGTCAGTCGCCAATGTTCTATCTTGCCGTTTTGCCCTGAGCGTGGGCGACCTAGCTCATCTTTGCGCTGAGTGATCCTAGCAGAGTTCCGGCCATCTTGCGGCTTGAGGCTTGCTGAGTCTGTCTAGGTTCCCAGAACGATGGGAAGAGCTGCAGCATGCAGCAAGGACAGGCGCTCGCTCGACACGCATGCTGAGTATTGACGCGGCGGAATATGTACGGGTTCGAATGCTGTCAGGAGAGTGAAGACACGGAGGAAGCCGCCGTCGAGTGCGAGGGCGGCGAGGAGGTCGAGGGCTCGAAGGACGAGTCTTCGGTAAGGGCGTGGAGGCTGTTCGCAGAAGATGGAAGAGGCGAGTTCAAGAGCTGTGAGATCGAGAGGTTGGATACAGAGACATGTTGACATTGTACAGTCGCGGCTTGCCTGACTCAAGAGACAGACCTGTTCCTTTCAGTATCAAGAAATCTTCCTCATCAATCAAGTCGAGTTACTGTCATGTCGTTGCCAATTCGCTTCCGCAGAGGCGCGTTTGAAGCCGGGCGAAGGTATAAACACCACTTCGCGGGACGCAGACGACGCCTGGAGGAGAGATTACCTGTACCCATGAGCCATTCCCTGGGAGCCTTATGTTTCTCCAATTGCCAATCTACATCTTGCCGTCTTGCGCGGAGCGCGCGCAGCGCCGCGCCAGGCCTCAGCCAGCACGCAGCACGAGAAACAACACCAAGGCAGGGCAGTGACGCGTTGCATCACTAAGCAACATCAGGACCGGGAGAGCAGCATGGCGGGGCGCCGACGCGTAACAACACTAGCACAACACCAAGGCGAGGTACATCACCAGCAAGTCAAACACCAAAGCCATCATCACACACAAGCAAAGGCAAGAGGGAAGAGATGCCAAAGGCAGAGAAGCTTCTTCCTCGAGTACCCAGACAAGCTGAGTAGTTCAATGAAAAAGATAAAAGGGTTGAGGAGATATCTCACTCGAATTTGTTTGTCCAAAAATTCCCTGCCGATCCGAAGACCAACAAGAGTGGTCAGAAAATAGTTCTCAAAAAGCAAATCTGAGCTCGGACGAATCCTCACTGCTGCAGATATAGCCCTGTGATGATTGTTAGTGATTGTTTGTGGAAAGGATGGGGAGGGGAGGACTTACCATGCACTAGGATGAGGAACAGAACGAGGGACGGGGCTCAGGCTGCCTATATACCCAGGAAGATTTGGTGATGACTAAGCCGTGGGCTGGGCAACGGGCTGTGATTGGTTCGCAGGGAGGCTGTGGAAGGCCGTGGAAGCTCTAGAGGTCGGAGTGGTTGCCTAGAGCTGCGCGGGTGGCTAGAGAGTGGGCGGGTGGCTGAGAGTGGGCGGGTGGTGTGAGGGGGAACTACCATCGCGGATGGAGGAACTGGACAGCGGACGAGTCCGTGAGGAAACGGGCTCGAGATTTCGTAGCAGCAGTGCGAAGGCAGAGGGGGAAGTGGCACTCAGAACCAGGGGAACAGTCGCCAACCTTTCCATGGATTTGACGTTTAGACGCACGTGAGGGCTGGTCTATTGTGCTTCCTCTCTTTGTCTGGAAGCACGGCTAGGGGTTAGACACAGTCGTTCGACGCCAGCGCAAGCAACTCGACTTTACTGCTCTTGAGGCAAATGCATGAGGATTGTGTTTGTACAAGCAAAAAGCGCCTTCTTAATGACAGTATTGTTGCTTAGGAATAAGTACAGTGATGCCATCCGCTATATCAAGCCGTGGATTACTGTGTACTTTGACCCCTGAAAGATGAGGATTTTCCACAAGTGAAAAGCTAATATCGATACCTCTTCGAGGTATTTTCATCGTTCTTTATCAAAATTTATTTTCCTGTTCTTTATGGAGAGCGCCGAAATAATAGGCCTAGACACCGAGCTGCTGTCGATGCTCTCGAGTTCTCACTACATATCCTGAAAACATTCCCAAATGAAAGTCGAAAGGAAGCCGTAAGTGTGATAGAGTTTCCTGTCGTAAAATGGCCGTTTCATGGCAGCATAATGTCCTGATTCCCATTTCATACCGCAATTATGCAACCCCGAGCAACTACGGCTGCGTCATAGCGCGCACTGCTCTTCAGCACGGGATGATCGCGTGCCTTCGTGCTTGGCCAGTGCAGGTACAGTCCAAAAGCAGACGTTAGTTGGCCAACAACCGAGTCTCCCCACATCAACCACAAAATCAAGGTCATCGAGCATCTGGCTGTGCTGCTGGCTTGCGGTCTCCCTATCTGCCTTTGGACCCTTCACCTACCGTACACTGTACCCGCCTCTGCCATGGCGATTCAGCCTGGCGTTGGACTGCTTGGTCAGTTACTAGGCGCAGGCCCGTTACCTCCAGAGATTCCCGCGTACATGAATGTAAGCTGAACTCTAGGTATCAAAGACGTTCACGTCTGACTCAAAATCTAGAACCCGACCCCTGCCGCTCAAACCCCGCGTTGTACGCATAGTGATACTGCTTTCTGTCGCATCACAGGAACAGTTCTGGTTCAGGTTAGATCATCCACCTGCCCGGAGCTTCCACATCGAGCTGACCCGTGGGTTCTATTATAGAAGGGCGATCTGGCTACATTCAGCACGCTATTCCCGACATCGGTCCCCCTCCTCGGATCGACCCATTGGGTCATCCATCATGGCCTAGCACAGGCACTTCTATTCTTTTGGGCGATGCCCATCGAGTTTGCTTCTCTTGTGGAGAGTGTAGTAATTGTAGAGGATGGGAGCGGACCTGGCGTGTTCTGTTCACTCGAGATGGAGCACTTCATGAGCCTCGAGAGCATGGACGACATCAACTTCACTGGCGAGGGAGCCCGGCCGCTCCATTTCAGCGAGGACGAACGAGCTGTGCAGACTTTCCTGAAGTCGGCTCTCGAGCCTGTCCTCCACCACCAGCGCGTCCGCTCCGGCGGCGTCCGCCTACGCTTCATGTCTAACCTCACCGGCATCTGTCGCGCACCGGATGTCCTCGAGGAATTGCGCCGCCGCAATGTACCCGGGGCGCGCGGTCCCACCTTCAAGGACCAATACAGAGAGGAATTGAAGGTCGACAACTTCTGGAAGGAGTTAATGGGCGAGGAAGTCGAGCGTGTGTGTGAAAGCTTGGATTGGTAGACATCGGGCGTTATCGAGGTGAGCATTACCTGCACGAATGCATGGTTTTCGCGTTCTAAATACAGTAGGGAGATGAAGCCACGAGTACTGTCCGGCTTCAGACGGATGTGCAGTTGGTGTTTTCAGTACCCATTGTGTTCTCCCCCTCATTCACTTCCTCTTCCATGATTGCCAGCCTTCTTCTGACAAGCAATTTCTGTCTTGGAACACCTCCACGGCAGCGTCTTTGGTGGAATAGTGGCTGGTTTTGGTGTCGATAGCTGAATATGCAGTCTACCCGTTGTTGACGGGGATTTGCTGTACTCGCTCTTTGGTTACTGAATAGAACGCCGCAAATCACCCCTCATTTCAACTTTGTTTCTAGTGATATGCATATGAGCTTGACTGATTGTCTGTACGGACATCGTCTTACTACTGTCTGAGGCGTCCTGACTTATAAGAAAGGGTGTGGATGGTATGCGCAGTTTGATACACCGTGAAATGCCCACGATCCAAAGCTAATCCGGCTATTCTCCCTTGCCGCTCTCGAAGCGGCCTACTATGCGATTCAAAGGCTCCATTGTATTCATAACTCCGGAGCGGATATATCGTTGAGGCAGAGCTCTGCGGCTAGACGTACCTTGCCGACGTCTGAGGTTCTCCGGTAAAGAATGAAAATCTAGATGACATGTAAAATACCAGAGAATATGTATCTCCGATTATCTGAATCTGTCTAAATGATCTCCTTTTCCGCCATTATGGGTAGTCTTGCATGTGATCGGAAAATCAGGCCTGCCGCGAGCAAACCTCACAAGCCATCGCGCCTCTTCACATCCAACACATCTGGCGGCCACCAGCCACCTTCCCGGCAATCACACCTCCGATTCCATTTTCCAGGTATCCGATCGCGCCCATCGCGAAGACCAGACCTCCGAGCGACACGGCGGCATTGCCTCCTGAGGTCGGCCATCGCACGTCACGGCGGATCGCCCCAAACGCAACGCACAAAAGCCGCAGCGCTTAATCGAAGAGCTTTCGAAGGATCGTGGCTTTGCCAACCCCAAGGCTCAAACCCCTAAGGCAGCTCCCGCGATTAAGCAGACTAAGAGAAAGAGAGCGACTGCAAAGGTACATTCCTCTAGTGTTCTATTTCTACGAGGACTTACGCGCTAACTGTGTTCCAGGGCATTCAGCACCTGAAGAACCTAAAGTCCGTTAGCTCTGCGCCCTTGGGCAAGGCGCTGCTCACCAATATACCTTCCGACAAACCTGGGGCGCAACGAGCGTGGAGCGCGTCGCCGCATAACCAAGGAAGGCGACGAGATAGAGAAGAAGAACCTGATCGTGAAGCTACGAACAGGCCACTCACCTGCCACCGAGAAGGCGGGAGATTCGAGCCCTATCACGACGTTGAAAGATTCCGGTCTTTACGCTACGAAGCGGTGAGCCCGAAGTCGGCAAAGACGAGAATGAATCTGTCAGCAACACGGGTCGCGAAGCTTCTTCAGAATCAGCGGTACCAAAACAGGCCAAACGCACCTTCAAGTTCACCGGCCCGCGCCGCGATTCCGCGCAATTTCTCAAACCACTGAACCCCGACACGCCACCTGTGCAGACTGGCATGGCCACGCCCAAGCCGAAAGAGAACCCCGGCCAAGACACTAGCTCACGCGCGACGCTTGGATCTGTGCGGGAAAGAACTTGCCCTTTCCTCCGGTCAACGACGCCAGGATTGCTGATAAGGAGTCTTTCAGCCAGGCGCTGATTGAAAAAGGAGTGCCCGCCCCTCTTCTTTTCCCGCAAATGAGAGTCCGGATGTAGCGTTGCGAGATCTCACTCGGCCTGAATTCACCTTCCTCTCTGGCCTATCGCCGCGACCGCTGAATGTCCGAAAACCTACCAAGTTGACTTGCTGGGAGAGAGCGCTTTCGCAAATTTCGAGTTTACTCGCAAAGAGATATTCACGAACCATGAAAGCGTTACGGGGAACGGACCTAGAGGCAATTTGAAGCGGCCGCAGCTCTCAGGTCTCCAGCGCATATGGCCAACCGCTCAGCCATGGCAATAAATCAGAGATTGGGATTCACGTCACCGATGAAAATGGAACTCAAAATACACAGAAAGCGAAAGAAGAGCGAGATGAGGAGGATAGGTAGAGTCGACTCCTCAAGTTACGCTCGAGGCTGAACACGAGCGGAACCCCGGTGAGGCTTGATGGAATCGCAGCGCAGGTCGACGCGCAGAACGCAGACCTTATTCTCCAATCTCGTACGACGCTTGCACCTAGTTTGCAGAACAATGAACACGTGTACGAGCCTTCAGGATCTTCCAAGGCCAAGGCGGCCGAAGTGAGTTATTTCTCATCTAAATTTCGCAGGCAATGCTAACAAACAGCGGCAGGAGGATGAAGTCGAGAACGTGGAGCCCGACGTCCACTTCGAGCCCGTTGTGCGCCTGACAGAAGGTCGAGACCAAGACGAACGAGGGGCTCGAGGAGCAAACATTCAAGATGAGCGCCAAGCTGTCCAAGTTCGACAGCAAGTCGTGGGAGTGGAAGGAGAGGGGCACCGGCGACGTCAGGTTACTGAAGCCCACACTATGCCTGCTCACTTCCAGTCTGCCTGCTCATCAATCCACTACGCCCGTTGACTTCCAGTCTACCTATGAGCATATTGTCCCCGACAGTGCCAGCGCACTTCCAGCTTGCGGATTCCCAATGCTTGCCGCTTCACCGATTAGAAGGAGCTTCACGTGCATGAGGAGGGCAATACTAGGGTTAAGGTTCTACTCACTGTACACTGCGAGACGCCACGAGATTGTGGATATAGCACATGCGGAGTTACGTTTGAAGTTGCTGGCGCGGCGTGGAAGGTGTGTGAAGATGAGGAAGCCGGCTTTCGATACTCCTCTGCGCCTCGACAACTTTCCCATTTCCGACCAAACCACGTCCTCGCGCTGGCTATGTTACCATTTGGGCCAGCGATCTGATGATCAGCAAGTGAAGAGGAAGTAAGATAGGAGTGAAGTACGTAAAGAAGAGCGGTCGGAAGTGAAGTGAGAGAGGCCTGGCAATAGCTCTAGAAAGAAGAGCCCGGGTTCTGCAGCAGCTACTTCGCTGCACCATCCCTCTCCGTCTAATACTCAGGTTGAAATTGATGTGAACTCTGATTTCTATGGGTGTCTAGCTCGTTGTTTATATACTAGGGGAAGGAGGGGGGCCAGCCCCGGGGGCATAACGTGGTATCTCTTCCTGACGCGTTACTTGATTCATCCTGTTTCCTGATACAGTACTGATACCGTGCTGCAGCACTGCTGTTGCACTACCTGTTACTTCCTCCTGTATCAGCATGCTATCCTGATACGTTACTGCATATGAGTTGCTGACCCTAGGTTGTAGTGCTGCAACCCGAGTCTAATCGTGTCGACGCCCGCTGAAGCGACCCTCAAGGAGAGGAACGCCCTGGGCGTGCTTCTACTTTGGCCAGGATTAGCTTACACCTGTAGCTATCACTGGCTTGCGTCGAAAGTTAAACGGGCAGACGCAGCCTCAATCCCAGGACTCCTTTCTCTCTGAGCACAGCGGCTATGGTGCGACTCCTATCGCTCCACCAACCCGTCCTCGGAATGTTCCTTCAACTCCAACTCCCTGCCCTCCCACCTCTCCGCCCTCCGCCTCACCAGCCAGGGCTCCAGCCCCTTCGACACACCCCCATCCCTCCCGCCCCGCGGGCCCCGCCCGCACCAGCTCTCCAACTCTAGCACTCCGGGCCGCACCATCACCACCACGGCCGCCAGCGGCAGTGGCAGCAGCAGCGCTACCTCGCGGCGCTCGCAGGTCGCCGTCGACGCCGAGGCGCGCTTCAAGTGCGCTGTCCAGGACACCGTCGCCGCGTTCTAGGCCGATCGCGACTGGCATCCTTGGAAGTATTAAAGCAGGATACGGTTAAAGCGGAGATAATAAACAGGATCCTAATGGCAATGGCAATTGTCTCGGACGGTTGGCTCCCGTCTTCGACTAACTCCTAGAAATTACTCTCTGGACCGTTTCTGGACCGGACTACTAACTGTCGGCACTGTTGGGGAAGGAGGATTGGTTGCTTGGGCACTGGTTTCTGGCGCTTTGTACTTTTATTTTTTAAAGCAGTGGAAAAGGGGCAGAGTAACAGAGTGCCTTCTTTATACTTCGCAGAAATGGTTAATACTGGGGATCAGATATGCAGTTAATGGAATCATGCACTGGTTAAACTAGATCTTATTATACGTAATAGTTTTCTATGCATGTCGACCTCAGCGATCCCGCCAAACTTATCCCTATCCAAACTAGCCTGCAAGACCTCCCTCAGGGCCAGGCTCATCCAGGCACCGCAGCTGACGAGACGCCCGTTGAGGGTTTCGCCCTTCTTTAGCTTCACATGCGCGTCCATGCTGCAGCGAAAAGCAACCCTTTCACCTGCAGGACATTAGGTGAAGTTCTAAAGATCAGCGATTGATGAAAATTACCACTTCCTCTCTCTCAGGTTCCAGCGATCCTGAAAAACGGGCTCCGTCCGTTTCCAGACTTTGGGTGGTTTTCGATAGACCATTTCTCTGGCTGAGTAGCCTTCTTCTCCTAGGCTTGTAGCACAGCTAGCTCTTTAATCAAGCCAGCAAGCTTTGCTTCATCTTCCTTGTGTCGTGGCTCCGTTAGATCGATAAGAGGTTGGAATTCGGCGATGTTATCCGGGTTTACTTTGATGGAGTCTCGCATAGTATCTAACTGTTTATGAAAATGTTAGCAGAGTAGTTCAGGAAGACTCTTCCAGACTATCGGAGCTGGTGATAATTGCTGTTCACTTACGATCGCTTGGAGCTCCGCAAGTGACTTCTCGTACTCCGCGATATCTGCCTGACAGTCCTTCACCGTGCGCGCCATGTTGGCAGGCTTGCGCGGCAGAGGAGTGTCTCCGCCTGGGGCGTTGGGTTGAGGAGATCTTGCGCGAGAACCTAAAGATATTGAGGTCAGAGAGGGCTCTGAAGTGAGGATGTAGACCGCCGATTGGGTTGCGTTCCAGAGAGCGGGCTATATTGTGCTTGGAGGCGGGAGAAACTTACTATGATGACGGCGTTGCAGTGAAAATGGCGCGGCCGCGAGCGGCCATGTCATGCGGAGAGTTTCCAAGAGGCTGGCAGGTTTGGCCACGAAGTTGGCTGCACCCATAGTTATAGTGGTGATGAGGATGGTGGTGGTAAGGTGGTGTGTTGATGAGGAGGTGTGTTGGTCATTTGTAGAGGGGTGAAGAGGATTTTCTATTGTGGGCCGATAAGGCTTCACTAGCTTGCAATCTCGGCCTGTGTGCAGATAGACCGTGTCGGCCCGAGTCGTTATCTCTATCACTGCGGAGGATCAGGCCCAGTGTAGCTGTTGCTCAGAGAAATGAGCAGCGTGCCCATTTTCTTCATAAACTAGAGTGGACTAGAGACCGGCTCGAAGCTAGTCGAATCCGACAGCGACATGAAGTAGCTCCAGGCGCTCTGTAGTGTTGTACCACAAATGGAACCGTTCTCGGTCACCGACACTCCCCCCGACGGCAACCCACAGCGACAGGTACTGCTTCCACCACATTCGCCTCAGTCGACGCTCCAGCTGAAAACTTGCTCTCTAGGTTAGCCATGAACGGTATTCCCCAGCATCAACTTGTGCAGTTTCAGGACCAGAGGGTCGGACAAGCTGGCCGAGGCGATCGCAGACGGGGAAGCAGCTGGAGTGCTGATGAGACGGTCACCATGATTTGGAGTACTGAATGAGACACTCACGATGAGCTAGAGAACGGTATGTCACTGCTGTCTATTCAGTGACTTCTAGTACAACTGACTGTGTGTTCCTAGCCACTGCCATTGACAGCACCGCTACCTCCGTCTCCCACAGCTGACGAGCCTGACCCCATTCCACTGTTCGACAATAGCATCCGCCATATCCAATGTCGCGGCCTTCAGCATGCTCGAAAGCCAACGCCAGGCGTTTCGGGCTGCAAAAAGCTCCGGCAAGGTGTTCAAGCCAATCATGCTGCGTTGGCAAGGTCTTCAAGCCAACCATGCTGCGTCGGCAATCCTCAGATTTTCTAGATGTTGATGGCGATCCTCGTTCTTCTTGTGCTGTGGTTCCTCATTGCATACATCCCTTCCGCAGCCAGAACCCAAGCGGGCCCGCGACAATTCCTGGACACAGTTGCGTTGCATGTACCGCTTCGACTACTATCACGCAGAACTCAACGCCCATGGCAAAGATCCGCGCGAGTATTGTGTCATGTCTACGAACTTTTCTTGGCGACATGACCGACTACGTCAAAGGCATGAGCACGATCTCAGTCGAATGGACACGCAACGTCCAAGAAGCCCTGCGGAGATTTGTCGTTATCTAGCTGATGAGCTGGACCTGAGGCTCGGACAAGAGAGGGAAGAAAGGCGCGAGTACGGTATGCATCTCGTATGATCTATTGGTTCTGGAACGGTTCTTGAGATTGTCTGGAGGTAGTATAGAGGTTACCTATTGGAGGTATTCTGGAGTTAGTCTCCCGCACATTGCACCGAACGTTGGCGACCAACCGAAACCAAAGAACAAGGTGGGAAAGGGCTCGGATGAGAGGCCGCGAGTGGTGAGGAGGAGTCCATCGCATTCGTAGCTCCTACCGCTACACCTTGCGGCATACATAGGCATGGGCAAGAAGCTTCACAACATCTGGCTCGTATTCGAACTCCTCCATCTGCCTGTTGTGATACGATCCACCATCTCCGAGAAGCTTGAGGACCTCCCATAGTATAGTGGAAGTAAGGCTACCGTTTGACTGGCCGAAGACGTGCTGGCTGGGGTACTCCCCACAGCGGTGTCGCGCGAGCATATGTCAAGTCTGGGTCTATCAATTCATCGCTGATCAGAGTGGGGATCAATCAATCAATCAACTTTGACGTCTCCAAGTTGATTGATTGCTTCGTTGAACAGGCTGTGATTGATTTGATTTGATTTGATTAATTTCTGAGATGCTCAAGTTGAGTTGATGAGATTGATACTTTTTGACCCCCAAGTTGAATTGATTGGTTTGATTGATAGATTGATTGATAAGTTGATTACTACTTAGGAGGTTTGATGCCAATTCGACGCCAGGAGCGTATAGATTGCAGAGCACTAAGTAACTCAGGCTTCATATTAAGGCGTCGTACGCCCAGGAGATCGCCAAGTTCGCTGAAAATTCTCTCACAATCAGCTGAGGAGGCTGGGATGGAGTAGATATCAAGGGCTAGCTGGCCTAGAATAGGATAGCGATCTCTTGTGATAACCCAGTACT